TGGCCAGTTCCGGCACTCTAGCAAACGGTTGGGATGCGCGTTTTGCGGATTTCACCTCCCTTTCGGTCCTTTTTTAATATTCCTTTAGTACTCTTGTAGAAATCCCTGCAGGGGTGGATCCACAGATTCGACACGTCCAAATCTGTTTTCTAGAGCCACAGGCCCACAGGCGATATTTTTTGCAAGATCCTTTGGTGAGACTGTGGATGGACGAAATCCATTTCGCACCACGCAATGAAACCATGGTTGAAAGAAATGCTGGTTGGTATTTGCAGGGGAATCAATGTCTGACGTGCGAAAGGGATTTCGCAACCATCCAGAGGATGAAGGGTGGTTGACGTAGTTCTGCTAAATGCAGCTTACTGAGCGGCTGGCGAGCAGCGAGCAACCCTTGCACATCACCGGGGGAATTATGATAGATCAAAACAGAACATATCAGTGTTCGATAATTCCATATAAGTATGTCTATACGATTTATGTCTTTTTTTGCAAAAAGAAGCAGAAAGAGACAGTTTAGGATACTTCTTCTTACGGGAGTTCCTTCTTTTTGGTAGTTGGTATCCCAGAGGACATGTTGGGACGGACAGATCGCCTGGGAGTTCAAACTTGTCCCAACAGAAACCACGGCGACAAAGTGGGGATCTCTGAATGAGTTCATGTGAGGCTCGGCTCATTTTTTTTGGTTTGGTTTGCTCTTTTGTGGTCTTGATCCCAGACCGGATTGATTACATATGTTTGGAGCAGGTTTTCCCTAAAACAAAGGCAAGCCCAAAAAGGGCGAGTGCCGATTCCTTCCCAAAATCCACTGGATCTGATCCACGCCAAAAAGAACCCTGGAGTACGACCAACTGACCTGTTGAAAAGTGGACATCGTTTTTGGCGATGTGTTTGCTTGCCGCTTTCTCTACCGGGGTTCCCACGTTGGTATTGACAAAGTGGTTATAGAGATGGGAATCCTACGTTGGTATCGCAGAGGTTATTCCCAGGTGTTCAGAGCTGTGATGAATTTGACCTAAACCTTGTCCAGCCCGTTTTGGACGCGAGAAGCTGGTAACATCACCCGCCTGCGAGCTTGCGCATAAGGCAGCTTCCTTAGCTGGATAGTAACTAGTCTGGTTACTCTCCCATGTCCCTTTTTGGTTCCATGTTATTTTGTAGGCGAGTAATCCTGGCTGCAAGTGGCCCACAGAACGGGGACTTATAACAGGTGTGAGTTATGTGCAGGGTGACTCACGACTCGTCAGCCACGCTCAGTTTCCCATCGCCTTGATGGCGGGATCAGGAGATTCCAGCCCTCGCAATCCCTGTGCAAAACAGGTCTTTTGTTGCAACTTAGAAAGACTCCTAACCCTTTTTAGCAGAGCTAAGTTTAGAGGTTTCGCCGCCTTAGCTGAAGGGTTACTAGTCAAGCAATCTGCAGGTTCACTCTATCTTCCAGGGACAACTGGGAAATGGTTCACCTATCATTCGTGGGTGGCCCATCATTCGTAGGTGGCAAAGAACAAAGCACATTGCTTTTTTCTTTTCTTTTTTTTTGGGGGGGGGGTACCCGCTTTTGGTTGGTTTTAAACCCAAACGGAGACCAACAGGGAGCCAAGCATTTTGTGGGTCCCCTCAATTTGAGACAAACGCAAATGCTCAACCAAGGATTTGCAAGAATTATCTTGGGCACTTGTTGCCCATCCAAAACGATCAAACCAAAAATGGCTCCTTTTTTTTGCTACGATGGAGACAACCCTCCATCGGAAGGGTTTGAACTGGAAAGCAAGATGCCTGGGCGGGGGGGGGGGGGAATTAGAGTGTCTGATGTCTGGAAGAACAAGTGAATAAGTACCCATCCCCAAACCCAAACCCACTAAAATAATCCAAAACAAGACCCCACAGGCCGGGACCCTCGGAACGTCGCTGATGTTTTGCAGGGGCGCCAGCCGCTGGTGACGTCTTCCCATTCCGGGAGGCGAGTTGGGCATGACTCTAGGGGTTGATTCCTTGTCTATTCTTACCAAAAACTTGCCGTTTTCCCTGGGTTTCCGGAGGTTATCTAGAAAGAAGGATCCCGGGAAAGAATGGGGAAGGTACTAGAATGACAAGTCGCCCTTTGATTCTTTATCTCGCTTTCCCAGAGCGAATCGGCCGTTTAACCTTTTGGTTGTCCAAGCTTTGGCCGATCCATGATAAAAAGATCGGGTTTCGGGACATGGCCGGGGCTTCTCCTCAAAAAACTTATTTGAAATGTGGGGTAAATTGAAATGACCACGTGTGAAACTAGACTCTGAAATCATCGCTTCTGTATACTTACCCCAAAAGTGGGCCAAGACGTGGGACTCACCAAATGTTATTCAAAAGCCAGGAGGACTCACAACATGGTCCCACGTCTTACGGGCGAGGTCTACATTGACTGCTGAAATGGGGGAGCTGGCAAGGAAACTGTTGCTGAACAAATGGCAACCATCACAGGCTTTAACACGTTGTGGAACTCCTAGATTTCCTTGCTCTTCCCTTTTGTACCAGCAACAAGCTGGCGTTTTGGCAGTCCAGTCGTCTGGCTACGTTTGTTGGATGGAGGGTGTCCTCAAATTCAGACATAGTACCTGAAGATAAGAACAACCTCCTATGGTACTAAAAAACAGGAACACTCCCTTCGATTCTTCAATTAAAGACGCCTTTATATTACCCTAAAATAAGGATAGCCCCAGCGGTACCTTAAAAATGAGAACAACCCCTAACATACCTTCAGACAAAGACACCTTTTACGGTACCCTCAAATAAACACATCTCCCACAGTACCTTGAGAAAAGAACAACCCTAACGATATGTTCAAATAAAGACACCTTTCAGGGTACCCTAACGTAAGGACAACCACATGGAAGAACAACCCTATGATATCTTCAGATAAAGACGCTCTTTGCGGCACCCTAAGGACACCCCCATGGTACATTGACATATGAACAACCCCGACGATATCTTCAAATAACGACGAGGACGGCCCCCACTGTACCTTAAAATATGAACACCCGCGAAATCTTCAAATCAAGACACCGTTTATGATACGTAGAAAAAGGGCAACCACTACGGCAGCTTAAGAGAAGAACAACCCCTAGGTTATCTTCAAATAAAGACACCTTTATAGTACCCTACAATAAGCACAACCTCAATGGTTCCTTAGAGGAACCCACCTTTATATAAGGACACCAAAATAAGGACATCTTTACGTAAGAACAGCCCCTATGATATCTTCAAATAAAGTCGCATTTGTGGTACCCTGAAAGACGGACAACGTCCAAGGCACATGAATAGATGATGTCTTTAAATAACCACACCTTGGCGGTATCCTAAAATATGGACACCTCCCATGTTGATTTGAAATTCGAACAACCCCTGCGATATCTCTAAATCAAGAGACCGATTGTGATGCGTAAAGAAAGGGCAACCCCTATGATATGGTGCCTTGAGAGAAGAACAACCCCTACGCTCTTCAGAGAATAACAACCTCCACGATACCTTCAAATAAAGACATTTTGTGGTACCCTAAAAAAAGACATCGCCCATGGTACCTTAGCATAAGGACAACCCTATCATATCTTCAAATAAGGACACCTTTCATGGTACCCTACAATAAGGACAACCCCGACGGCACTAAAAAGAAGAACAATCCCTAGGATTATCATAAATAAAGACAACTTTTTATTATGGTGCCCTGAGGACACGCCCCATGGGACCTTAAAAAAAGAACAGCCCCTAAGATATCTTCAATCAATGATACCTTTTATGATGGCAATTGCCTTGCGTGTCCAATGTCTGTCTTCTTTCCGCCAGGCGCCGCAGAAATTCTCAGAAGCCCGCGCGGGCTATCTGCGTGAAAAAAGATGGCTCGATCTGACATGGTTCTATGCACGTCAGGTTTCAGGAACATGGCAATCTGGTGCGATAAGTAGGGAATGAGAAATGGAATGAACCCAGGGCTCCCCTTAAAGGAAACCAAAAGGGATGGTTTTTCTCAGGGTCAGAAACCATTTCTCATTCAAAGCATCTCTCGCAGCGATCGCAAGCAAGGCGGACTAAAAGAGCCCGAGCAACTCTCCAAAGACCATGTGACGGCGAGGTCCTCCAGATTCCGAGATGGGCAGGAAGCATCAGTCAACCTCTTTCCCACATGGAGAGTGCTTGTGCTTGTGCATCAACGCCCTTCGCTACGTTGGGTTCTTCGACATGTGGCGTCCCCGATGTCGCGGGTCATGTGACCCTTTTCTGGTGTCCCCGGGCCCTGACAGATTTTCCAACCCAGGTCTGTCAAGTTCCAATGTGAAAAGGGTGGGAGGGGAACCTTGTCTTTGGTTTGGTTTGGTGGGGGTTTGAGCCTCTGCTTGTAGAGGGTAAGTGCAGAAAAACCCTCCAAACCCTCCCAACCGCCATTTGGGAAGCTGTGCAAGGGGATGACCCGGGAAAGTCGGTCAGCTCGGTGTGCTTTGTTCAGAAGGCTCACACCTGCAAGCTCATGTTTGCCGAGTGTGGCTTCAAGTCATGACACGGTTGGCTTCTTCCGGTACTTTGCATCGAATTTCGGCTGGCAGGCTTGCGCGTTTGATGTGTAAGGCTGCTTGGAATGCAGGGTTCGAAGAAGGGGCTGGTCAGGAACGACACTCGATAGTTGATCTGCACAAAGCAGAGCCATGATACAAGGCAAAGCGGGGATTTCATGATAGCGATTCCTTAAGGTTTGTGAAATTAAGGCTGATAAGTTCTAGCAGCTTGGTTGCTTGTTGGTAATATTTTTGGTTTTTTATCTTTCGAATCATCAAACTGTTTCACATTGGGAGGGTGAGTTGGATGTGAGGGTGTGTATATATATATATATACACATCATATACATATCATATATATATATATACATATATATATATATATTGTTTGTAGTCCGTATACGTATATAGTACAGTTCTAGCCAAACCATGCAACTTGCATCCCACTGCCACTGGCACATTCCGTCCTTCCCACCCCTCTCGGCAATGAGTGCAGACCTTCGCTCGATCCATGGCGGTCCTCCGGCTGACGTTGCTATGGGCGATGTTGCCCGCCGCCTTTGGCGGCGGACTGATGAACAGGCGAGACATGTCCGCAGGTCAGCGGGGAATGGTTTCTGACCCCGAGAAAAATCACCCGAGAAAAATCACCCCTTATCTTGGTGGCTCCCTAGCTTTTTGGCCTTTTAGTGTAGTGGTAGTTTCCATTTAACCCACTAAAAGTGAAGCTTGTAGCGGGGGATCTGAGGGCAGCCGCATCCCTCACAAGAACAAACACACAAAAGCCACACAAACTCAGGTTGTTTTTGGCTTCCCTTGGTTTGACGAATCTTTTTTAGGTATGATTTAATCCTTGCGCATATCAAAGGAAAGCTAGCGCGTGCTGATTTTATACGGAAGAGTAGAATGCAAGAACGCACTGTAAAAGAATGCCATGCTTTTGTATCGCCAATTCAATGGAGAATGCCCCCGCTCCCAGAATTCATCATCTCAGGGGTTTGGTACATGTTCATGATGCATGCTAGATATACGTATACAGCTCAATAAATCATGAAACACGACACCAGGCAGTCTAGCCTTGAACATGTGAATGTTCAATACATACAAATATTTATCAGGACTTTAAGACAGAACAGGTGAATCCTGCGGGCTGACCATATATATATATATACATATGCACAATCATACACATCTACGTATTGATACATGCAGCCTTGACTTTGGCGCACCCCTCTTGTCTCCAGGGACCTCCCTTTAGTTTCTCAGAACCAGACGGCTCGCTCGCTCGCTGCTCCTCGCTTCTCCGCAGGCTGCTGCTGCGCCTCTTCCGGCTGCTGGGAATGCCGAAGCGGGAGGCGCTGCATCGTTCAGTGCGTTTCTGCGAGCAGCGAGGGATCACCTGCAGGAGGCGGGTCTCGGCTTGGCGTTTCACGACCTTTTGGCATCTCGCCGCCTTTTTCTTGACTGCTATAGGGTTGGATCTTTAGACTTTAACTTCTTGGGAAATCCAGGGGTTTTCCACTAAACCTGCAAGTTTTTCACTTTTTGCAGAGGGATCAGCAGCAACCAAGTTTTGGGGGTTGATCAGTATTCCGTTCGGCCCCAAAATGACCATGGGTAACTGTTCCCAAGTGGACAGTCATCATTTTTGGTGGTCTCTCCAATGGCCACCCCATTTTAGGACCTATTGATCAGCCCCAAGTTTGCAACCTTTGGGTGGGTTTTTCAGGATTCTTGGCTTCAAAATGACCTGTTATTCAATGGCCCAGGGCCAAATCTATGTTTCCCCTTTTCTGGGGTCTCCAACACTATATTATATATTTTAGGGGTCTAAATATCATGCAGCATCGGAATGTACAATTTCTGTGTGCCTGACATAGCCAAGCTTTGCGCCCAAAGGGAGTTTCTCTTGGTGATGTTTTGGAGGTGACCACCCTTGGGCGGGTTTGGAATCGGATTGCTTCCCACTTCTGTACCAGGGAACCCTTACCCCTTCAAATGGGGATGTCACCTTGTTTGCATCAATATGGAACTCACCTTTAAATGGGGAATTCGTCTATTTGGAGGTGGTCTGCTGTCAGATGACGGGATTTTTTGTCCCGAAGATGGGGTCAGGCCAAGTTCGAGAAACAAGTTTTCCGCTTGTTGTCCAAGGGTTTTTGCGCTCAATGTCAATTGAAAGGCCCATAGTTGTTTTGGCTACTGGCGCAAGTAGCCCGGCTTACCTTCCAATGGACTGACCCCTTCAAAAACACCTTTCAGAAAGGGATTCAGAAGGCCCCAAGAGGGAGCTACCTGAACCCCTGGGGGTTATAGAACCTTGGAAAAGTTCGAAGAAGCATGGTGGGCAAGAGGGGCCTCTCTAACAACCCTTCACTTTTGTTGAGATCTCTCTGTTGCAGGGATATCCCGGTTTAAGGGGTAACCTTAAGTGTTCAAATGGAAAGGCTGCGCCATCTAGCCAACTGAAGTCGGTTGGTTCACATCGTTTCGAAGAATTGTTTGCGGAAGCTTCTGTGAAAGGTAGCGGACGCTTCCTCCTTTTTCTTGCTGGTGCGATAGGGAAGACCTTCCTGGTGTTGGGAATGAACCGAAAGGGGATTCCCTTAAACGATTCCCATGAGGGACGGTTTTTCAGGGGCATTTTAGCTCATTCCCTACTGAGTTAATATTGACCCAGGATTAATAAACCCGTCCCATTCTTAGGGGGGTGTTCCCTCCAAAAGTGTCTGAATCCCCACTAAAAGGAGTTGGACATTCCCTGATCAGAATCAGCTAGGTGTTTCTTTATTCGGGGTTAACATTTCTCACCACTGAATTCTGAAACGCTTAATTTATTAACCGTGTCAAGCGCAAGATGTGACAGACACCTTTGGAAGCGATCCAAACAAATCCTCGAGCTGCTTCCTTAAATCAATCCAGCAAGCTTTCCCCCCATTCCCCTCCCCATTCCCCTCCCCACCCCACCCAAACCCTCCCCACCCCACCCCACCCCTCCCCATTCCCCTCCCCACCCCACCCAACCCCACCCCACCCCACCCCCCCCCCCCCGCTGCTGAGTACCCACAAGCCTTAGACCCCACCGAAATCCAAGTTTCGAAAGGCGGAAGGTGACCTCCCTGATGTTCCCCAACCGCAGCCTCACAGGCGCCAGCTCTCATCGGCCTGGGAATGTGTGCGTGCTAGGTCACCCAGCAATTGGTGCCCTACCGTTTCTTTTTTTGGGGGGAGGGTTCCCCTACCAAAATAGACTACAGGAAACAAATCGGGTACTAACTTATTCTAACCTCTCTACTGGAGGAGCTAGGTGTGTGTGTGTGTGTGTGTGTGTTTGTTATGGGAATCGGACTCCCAAAGTGGGGTTTCTTTGGGTTTCCCTTTTGGTTTCCCGGGGAAAAAATAAGGGAAGCACAAAGAAACACCTAAAAAGGGGTACTCTCAACAAAAAGGCAGGCCCAAACGGATTGTGGGAAATGTGGCCCTAAAGGGCCAGTTGCGGAGAAAATCCAAGGGAATGTTCCCTCATGGTTGCTGACTCCTGAGACGAGTCAGCTGAAGGATCGATAGGTCTGAGCGGCGAGGTACAATGAGCGGATCATGGACAGGAGGAGTTTGGGACTGAATGTTTGACACCAGTTCTGCATAGATTGTGTCTTGGTTACGAGAGAGGTGATATTCGTAGCCAGAGACCGCTGATATTAGAGCCATGTGTGATGTGATGATGGCACCATAAGGTATGCAGCAGGTGGATGCGAGTAAATGTCCAGATGTTTGGAGATGGCAGCTGCAGGATGATACACGAGAATGAACGCTTGGTTGCTGACTCCTGTGATGAGTCAGCTGAAGGATCGATAGGCCTGAGCGGCGAGGTTCTGCCAAGCGGCTTTCCTGGGCAGGAGTTGATTGAGGTTGTGCTGGCTTGTTTCTGAGTATAGATGTGCGTGGACTGAGGTTGGGCCTGACTTGGAGACAGCTTTGCCATTTGCCTGTTGCAGCTGGATTTCTGTCACAGGTCAGATGCAGAGCCACACTGGTGCAAAGTACTGGCTGCAGCTTCAAATGCATGAAGCTACAGTTGTCAAGGTTATGCACACACTGTGTTGTAAGTCAGCTGCGTCTGTTGGAACGAGTGATTGGCTAAACAAGAGCTGTTATTTCCCTGTTGCAGCCTTGCTGCTGAACGCAAGACCAACCGCGGGACCAGACGGCTGCAGCCAGGTTCAGGTTTCAGCCAGCTTCGATCCCTGCAACACCGCAATGAGTACCGGGAGCACTGCTGGCGTGAGTTTTTGAAGAAGCCAAGTTCGTCGTCTTCTCCAATGCATCGACGTGTTTGGCCTATTTACTTGTGGCTGGCTTGAGCTGATGACATCAGAGAATGAACGCTTGGTTGCTGACTCCTGTGATGAGTCAGCTGAAGGATCGATAGGTCTGATCGGTGAGGTAAAACGAGTGGATCGCGGACAGGAGGAGTTTGTGGCGGAATGTTTGACACCAGTTCTGTAGAGATTCTGTCTTTGTTAAGCATGTTCTGGGAGAGGACCCTGACAGCCTTTTCCCCTTTTTGTTTGTTTGGTTTTTCCACTAAAATGTTCCCTTCAAGGGTCGCTTAAAATGGCCAGACTTGCCTTTTTTGCTTTGCGCCTTTTTGGTGTTTCCTCTTTCAACTATGTAATAAGTTCACTTTTTGTGCAGGGTTCCCTTGTAGGGTGTCCTTTTCCAGGATTCTTATTACCCTGTTTCTCACTCCCTGAGTTCCTGACCATTTGGGCCTTCTTTTTGGAAACAGCTTGGCAAAGTTTGAGTGTGAGGTTTAACAGACATCACTTTCTAAGTTCCTGCACTTTATACAGTACTTTTTGGGAGGATCATTATAGTGGCAAACGGAAACGGAGCTTGGCCAATTTGGCCAATCCATTCGACTCAAGTGAGAGCTTGCTTACCGAGGCTCCTTTTTCGCCAGAGCTCCATCCTTGACCTCTTGCGGTCCCTGAAACCCAATCTGAGGTGAACCAAAGGCACCGCGCATTTTGAGTGTGTGTTTTGTCAGAGCACCCTTTTTGGGGTGGTTTCAAAGGAATACCAGAATGAACACCTCCCAAGCCTATCAAGCCAAGCGAAACCCAAACATTCTGGCTCAGGAAGCCTATCATCTTGGCCAAAACCTCTCATTTTCAGCTTTTTCAATAAACGACGCGAAGAAAAAGAAGAAGACACCCTGTGTGTGTGTGTATGTGTGTCTTCCGGTGGATGTCACTCCCCGACTCCCGCGCCGAAATTTTCGGCCCAGGCCGCCTGGGTCGGGAGATGGGGTTGCTGGGCGACTTGGAGCACTTGGACCTGAGCCGCAACCAGCTGAAGGGCCCTCTGCCCCGGAACCTCAACCGCCTGGCCGCGTGGCCTTGTTTTGACCAGAGCGAATACCCTCTCCCAGACTAATATGGAAGCTCCCTGGACCCCTTGGAAGACTTGGCTCCAATTACAGAGGCCTTCTGGGAGTTTCCATGTTAGTCTGAGGGAGTGTAGGCGGGGATGCGGGGGAGGGTGGTGACCCATGGTTCAAAGACAAGGTGTGGGTGGTGTGTTTCTTGTTTTTGTTTCTTTTTACAATGGGAAATGATGTTGGGGGGGGGAAAATAGCACCCCCCCCCCCCGGCGAGGTTTAGGCTGTTTTTAGTGCGAAATACGCTGGTGAGTTTTGGTCCATTGATCGTCGTGGACAGCAGAGTGCAAGTGCTATTTGAGGGCTTCTATCTTGAATTGTTCTTGGTCACTTGAAGGCAACTGTTTAAAGCAACGTTTAACACCAGGATGTCCTTGGTTTGCTTTGGGTGAATTGGGAATGAACATGTTGGAGGGGTTGGCCCCGTGTGCACTTGGAGTATGTTTTCTCTTTGAGGCAGAAGGCACGCTCAAACAATCCCTCCATGGAATTCAGTTTCCTTTCAGGGGCTGTAGCCAAAGACAGAATCCATGGGAGACAACTGTTCAAATCAGTATCATTCACTATGTTGCATCATGACTCCGATTTTAGGCTGCACTTTTGCTCAGAGGGACTCTTGGTGCCTACTGGTTACAAGTGATGCTTGGACCCCCAACCATCTGGAGCACGCCCGCTGGGAGATCCACTTAGTTGGTGGATTCGCTAGATGGTTAGTAACCCCAGCAAGCTTACCACCATGGTAAGTGGAAAACAAACAAGGGTTACTTTGGCGCATTTTGCTTGGATGTTAGGGCTTTAACTTTTTGCCAGCTTTTTTTTTGTATTAAACCACTAAAAGTAAGTCACTTTTAGCAGGGGAGCACAAAGCAACCGAGGTTCGTAGCCGCTTAGGGAGTCCACAGAGACCATCTCAGCTCGGAAAACTGAGGCGAAGCTGCGTTCGCTGATGCTGTACCAGCAGCTCGGTGACGAAATCTGCCGATTGTTTTTTTTCGGTTGAGCGAGCTCGCGAAGTGGCAGTGGGTCAAAATAGGGAAACCTCAAAATGGCTTGCCCTGGCAAATAGAACCAAGGACTAAAGCCTGCAGTCCAAGTCCTGGTGGTTTAATTTTGACCCACACCCAAGGGTCAAAACATGGACGCAGTGTGGCAAAGTCACCAGATTTCCTTTCTCCTGGGCAAAACTAAGGGAATCACTGGTGCTTAGGGAGGCGATGCGAAGTCTTCAAAACCCTCTCCGCTTGAGGTTCCAATCCTCGACTTGAGGTTCCACTATGTCCTGAGCTACCCACATGAGGCAGAGTACTTAAGTGGGTAGCCGAGGTTGTAATCCACTTGGGTGACTTCAAGGTGTAACCTGTATGAAACAGGTTCATTGAGTTTTGTGCTTGGCCACTGGTTGTTATTGTGCAGCTTGTCAATAAAATGTTCAGGTACCGTACCTCCTCTAAGCCTCTTAACATAGCCTTGCCGACTACCCAAAAAACTGGGGACAAGCAAATCAGAGGCTCATAGGGGGTACCTACCTGGTTACTTTGCTTGACTTCCCTGACAGGGTTCCCAGTTTCCCTTCAGTACACCAAGGGAGACGTAGACCCAAGCATTCCCCCTTTGGGAAAATCATCTGGGTTTAAGTGTCCCTTAGCGTAACAAAAATCCAACCCCGTCCCCTGAATGTACCCCCCTATTGCCCTTATAAACTGTAGCGTGTCCTTTTTTGGAGTTGCCGCCCCTATTTCTTCGTTTTTTAAGGCCTGTTTGCGGCCTCCTCAAGTGGATTTCCATGGTGAAATCAGTCAACCAGCCGTCCCAGATTTCTTCCTCTCAGTTGTTCAGTGGCACCCTTTTTCCCCTTCTTTTTTGGTGGCTGCCCCACTAAAAATGGTCTTCCCCAAAAAGGGTTCCCTTTTTTTCAGGGACACTGAACAACTGAGTCGTTATAAGTTATAAGCTATGCCTGCAGTGTTGACCATTCAAGATGTGGACATTTCGTGAAGCCGCTTCTCGCCGAAGAAAACATCGCCGAGGAACCGCCTCAAGGGCCCCTTGCCAAACCTCTCCACGTGTGAGGCGCTTCGAATTCCGCAAGTTTGTCGGGCGATTGCAGCGATTTGCGGGGGGGCGGGGGGATGAGGGATGAGGGACTCATCTCACGAAGGTTCTTCCACTAGGAGTTGCCTTTTTTTTGGGTCTGTCTAGCAGAAAGACCCCCAAAATGGCGGTTTTCCTGTTGGTTTCCCTTCACACAAGGGTGCAAAGGCCACCCTCAACATAAATACACCCCCGTTTCCATACTTTGACGGAAAATCTAAAAAAACAGCCTACATAATTCCAAGGCTTCGGCTGCCTTCCCGGATCAACTCAACTGTAGCTAGTTGGAAGGATGGCACAGTGAAGGAAGCCGAAGAGAAACATCCGTGAATACTACCTTTCGGAGCCCAAACGAAAGGAGTTACCTATCCTGTTTCCTGAAGAGCGTTCTGAACTACCCCCAAACCACTACCCCCAAGAGAAATTTAGAATGTATGCCCTTTTTATCGTGGTTGGTTTTGGGGGGAGTTTGGGGAGAGTGCAAGCCCTGTTAGAGGCATGGGAAGGGGGGGGTCCTAAAAAGATGCCATGCGCCATGCATCCTAATCTGAACTGAACAATGGCTACACGGGTGTGGAAATGGACCCTATGCGAAGTTTATTACGACTGGGATTGGCTTTGCTTGGGGTCCCCCAAAATGGGTCGCGTCCTTTTGTTTTCCCTAAGCACAACCAAAAGGACGTCCTTTTTGAGAAACTCCCAGCCTTTGCAGCCAACCCATTTGCACTAGTCCCCTTTAAACTGGATTGGCTGAAACAGGGTCGAAGGTACCTTTGTCTACCAAGGTCACGGGTTTCTGAGAAGGGCTTGCTTTCTATATTACAGAATCGAATCAACCCCTATCCACACTCCAAACCAAACTTTCATGTTTGGTCGACCAAATTTGGACCAGAGTCTAAAATAATCCTATTCTCAAAAAGCAAAGTAGAAGCCAAAGAGTAGTCAGCGCATCGTTTCATGACTCTCTTGTGGACCCCGGTTTTTGTGTGCCAAGGTCTGTTTCCTCTGGGTAAATGTGATTTCGCTCGCTTTGAGCCCACGCCCACATGGCAAGGCCTAGTGAGGCACCCACGAACATACTTTTGGGAATCCCCTCTTGATATGGGCGGGGTAGTCTTCAGGCTCTTTTTGTTGTATCACAGAAGTGGATTCCATTTCCCACAGCCCTGCCCTCGAACGCCAGGCTCTTCTTTAAGAAAGGCAGACGTGGACACTGAACATAGCTAAACAAGGCTTGTTGCCCCAAAACCGATGGGGAGATGGTCAATTGTCAAGGGTCCAGGTAGGTGGGTATTTGTATTGGGCATTTGTGCTATCCCCCTCTGTTTGTTTTGTGGGAAGCGATTCTCGAGCGCAATGATGGCTCGGGATCCCCTTCGTATTGCAGGTCTTGGAATTGTAGCATTATGCAGAAACAACGGGCTCGGAACTATTAAAAAGATAACATACCTCTTAAATCATTTAAAGAGCTGAAGCTAGTTCAATATCTTAAAAAATGAGGTTGCTTGTCGAGTTCCTCATTCGAACGTCAACTTGGTTCCAGATGTCTAGCCTTCCGAACTTTTCTCACTCCCCGCCTTCACTGTTCCCCCGAACATTTCCCGAAGCATCACCGATTTGGGCGGCTCATCACCGATTTGGGCGGCCCAAATCGGCGTTGTTTAAGACCAACAGGACGGGGGTCTTCTCCAAGTGATGTTGCAAGAAACAGCATTTGAACATCTCTCTGCTTCCTACCTGAGATTTGAGCCAAGGAAAACTGAAACATCGAGCTACATCTCGATTTCGGACCTCTCAGCTGTCGAACCAACCTCTGATGTAGAGCCATAGGGAGCCATACCCAACTGTGACTACTTGTGACTTGTCCTGTTGGCCGAAGCTACTTAGCTAAATGGTTAGCAACCCTGGTTATGTGGGTAACCATGCCAAGTGGGTTACAACCGGGGTTACCCACGTAGCTAACTCCCAGACCTAAGTAAGCCAGGTATGAGCCTCTCCTAGGCTGTGGTCCCCCGGTACCGCCGGGGGGAGTCATCTCGCTCGCGCGCATTCGCGCGTGATCTCGCTCGCGCGCGTCGTGAGGAGCTCGCGGACCTCGACCTGAGCTGGAACCAACTCACGGGGGACTTGGAGAATCTGCAGGGCCTCGAACTGGACAGCGCCTTGAAAACGCCCTAAACGAGTGGACGAGGTCTGCTGGGATCTGCTTGGGTTTGCGGATGTGTTTTCTTCTTCGGGAAAGGGAGGAAGAAGACCTTGATATTCTAAGGTCATGGGGGGGAAAATAACCCCTTTTCATGGGTCACAAGACCGATTGGAGAAGACGAGCTCCAAGCAAATGTGAAGGGTTCTCCTTAGATCCGGGGTCAACTTTGTGGCTCCGTGACCTTGCACCACGCTGCCCTCAAAATGGCTTGAAAGCACAAGTTCTTATCGGTTCAGGGTCCACATCAGTTCCCACGAAGATATGCTTTGGACTTTTCTAGGGGACACTTCCCCATTCTTTCCAGGGATCCTTCTTTTCAGAAAACCAGCAGAATCAAAGGGGAAACAGCTGGTTTTTTGACAAAAACGATGGTTGAAAAGAATGGACAAGGAATCAACCTCTAGAACTTTGGCCCAAAACCAAAACCAAAAAACACAAACCAACCAAACCAAACCAAACCAAACCAAACCAAAAATATGCCCGACGAACCAAACCGAGAAAAAAAAAGGAAACAACAAAAAAACAAACGCCAAGACTCGAAGCGACGACGGCATTTCCGAGTCACATCCGAGGCCTGGACCTGCATCAGAACCAGTTCGTTGGGAGGCAGGTGGCTAGGTGGCTAGGTGGCGCTGGGTGGGTTCTGGGCCACAGGCTAGGGGAATTCTTGGGTCTTTTTGCTGGGCGCTTAGCTCAACTTTCCTTTTTGCGATCTCTTGAGGTGCTGTAGTGGTTGGGTTCCCATTTCACCTAGCGGATCTGAGGAGGGGATCAGGTGCTGTAGTGGTTGGGTTCCCATTTCACCCACTGAAAGTGAGTCGTGGCTTTCTTTTTTCGCGGATCTGAGGACCGGGGGATCTGAGTCGATAGCCCCGTGCGCAAATCAGAGTACCGTACCCAGAACAATGGGGTGTGGACGTGATTGCCCGTGCATGTTCAACCAAGCCATTGTGTAACTCAAGTCCAGCTTGGCAACTGGTGATAAGTGGTCTGGCTTGGCCAAGCCTTTCCTGGCAAATGGCCTTGGATCTGGAAATGCCAGTTTTTGAAGTGACCCCCCAAGACGATTGGGGTATTTCTTGAATGTCGCGTGGGCTCACTGCATGCAGAGCAATGTGGTGCTCTCCCCTTGCGACGGGCCTTTGGTAGGCAACATTTTCTGACGCCAGATCCTTTGTTCCCTTCCGGCAAATCCCCAACCAAAGAAACTTGGGCTCATCTTTCGTAGAAGTTGCTGGCTTCTCAGGTTGGATCCCGATCCCCAGTTCCTTGTTCCCTACTTGTGCCCTTCTCCTTTTGCGTATTTGTCTTGTTTCCCCCCCTGTTCCCCTTGCTTGCCTGATTTCCCTTTGCTGGCTTGTTCGTCTTGTTCCATTGTTCGCTTGTGCCCTTATTCTCACTTCCTGATTTCTGGACTTGAGTCACTTTTGGGGTTTGGACCATTTTTGTGGCAAACAAAAAGTTGGGTTACCTTTTGTGGCCCATCCTATCGATCGGAAGTGCGTAATGTTGACCCCATATTCATCAACCCCAGTTTATTTCAAAAGGGGGTGTGTCTTGGGGATTCAACACTTCTGGAGGGGAACACCCCCCCTATTCATAACCTTATTATTCAAAAACTGGGGGTCAACATGATTTTTCTGCTTGCCCTTGTTCCCGTGGTTGCCGGCTTCTTTTGGGGTGTTTTTTTGCTTTCCACGTCGCGTTTCAGGATCCCGGGGTTCCTCTTCCGCTCGCGGCGTCTGCGGTGGGTGGCTTTGAGCTCCAACCGCCTCAGCGGCCCACTGCCGTGCTTGAAGAACTTGAAGACTTTGGAATTCCTGGCCCTCCCGCACAACCGCCTGGAGCCGGTTTCGGGACTTCTTCATGGGGAGGGCGCCGGGAGCCAGGAAGCTTTTTTTGTGCCAGTGGAGGGCGCTGACGTGGTTTTGGCCCCTTCCTTCCTTTGTTGGGTGTGTTTGTTCTGTGGTTTCCGTCTTTTGTGTTCTCTTGGGAAGAGGGAGGGAGGGAGGAAACGGGGATGTGTGTTCTTTGAACGGGTGATTTGATGCTCATTTTGTTTGTTCTTTTTTGGACGTTGTGTTTCTATGCTGAAAAAGGGGGGAAGTGGGGAAGGAGCATGTGGGCGTTCTTTCTGGGGAGGGAAGGGTTCTTCTCTCGGTGTGTGGGGAGGGATTTTGAAGATTCCGAGTGCGGCCCTGAGGCTTGGGTCGTAGGGACAATCCCAGCCATGCCATGTGGCCGTGGGTCAAAACCGTGTTGGCCATTTTGGGGTTTTTGGTGCACCACACATTTTGGAACCTATTTTAGTGGTTGGATTGGGATGTTCACTGGGGGTACGGGATTTTGACCCATGGCCATACTTTAAATGGCTTTGGGCAGACCGTTTGAATGCCGGGCTTTGACTACTAGGTCCCCCAGTAGTGCCCTTTTACCGTTTCTTTCTTGGTTGGGAGGGTTCCCCTACTAACATAGACCACAGAAAAAGACATCGGGTACCAACTTCTTCTATCCTCTCTACTGGAGACCTAGAGAATTTGTGGCTCTGTTGGGTGGTGTTGAAAACGGGCAGCCGCAAGGAACCTGCTTCATGGCACAGGTGTTTTGCTTCGCGCTCAGGGTTCCCTATTTGGTTTGAGCTTCCTTCCCCCGTTTTCCACTGCCTGAGTTCCTGGGCTTGAGTCACGTTTTGGGGAGCCCTTGTTGGTGGTAAATTACAAGGTTTGGACGGAAGGTGTTGGCCACTCTGCTCGATGGGAAGCGAGTTTTGTTCCCCAAGGATGGTTGGACATCCCCATGTCCACCAAAGGGAGCCCCCGCGGCGGGGGGGGGGGGTGAAAGGCTGATTGTATGAGTGCATGAAAACAAGCCCCCATGGCCATGTTGAACCCTTCAGGGGGGGCGGGTTCAATTCATTTGTTTTCGAGCAACCAGCGTTTTTCGCACTCGGGGTTTATACACTAGGGGGCATTTTTTTCTGGGAGAGATTGAGCCAGGAGGGTCCCATCCCCGAGCTGCCGCCTGGGCTGCACTGGCTGGACCTCAGCCACAACCAGCTGACGGGTCGAGTTCCTTCCAGTCTGGGGGCCCAGATGCACCGTGTGCCGGCGAGTCTCCAAGAAGCTGTGGATGGACCACCTGAGAAACACTGGAAGTATGTTTCATTCCAATTCCCATACATGAAGAAGAACGGCTTTTCATGGCATCAAAGTGGTGTTGGTTTTTGTCCATCCACAGTACCTAGATGACTTAGAGGCTTTGAGACTTCCCTACACGGTCAGTAACCCTGGTTTTCTTATACTTGCAGCTGTGGCTTTGGCGGGTCAGGGCAAAGCTAACCACTTAGCGATTCCTCCCAGACCATAGATGCCCGAGTTGGGCAGGGGTTGCTGTTGATGCCTTTACACCTTGGGGGGGGGTCCTGGATGCCTAGAATATGTCTTTGTATGGACCACATTGTGTCTGAAGTTTGTTTTACATTTAGAACCTGCGTATGGACCAGAGTCAGAAGTGCGTTTTCCTGAGGGCATCCTTCTCGAGGTTGCTTCAACTGGACACCAACATGAGAAAAACATGTTGGGGGAGGGGTTTTCTATTTTGAGACCAGAATTCGGCGGCAGCCCTGGGAAGATGAATCTCTTTCCAACAATTTTGGAAGTGGTCAATTGCGGGTTTGGAAGGACTGCCGTCTTCTATTTTTCCCCACCCCCCCCGCTTTCTACGTCTATTTAGCCCCTTGTACTAGACCTCGCGAACCCCCTGGTTACGCAGCCTTGAAGTAGCTGCCGACTCGAGACCCCTTCAGCGTCAGGGTAGCTGGACCCTCCAACCCTACCCATTGAAATGACTTATGGTTAAGGGTAGATAGTGTTTGCACCTCACAAACATGTATGGTCAAATGGTGTCCTCTTTGGAAGTCTGCCAACCTTTCCCAACAACACGGTTTTGCTCGGGAGTCCCAGCAGAGGTCTGGGGAGTGTTTGACACTAAAACGTCTTTGTTTGGTCCAGGGCGAACGCCTCTGCAGTCGTGTTGTTTTTCCTCTTTTCGATGGATCTCGTCTAGATCGTCTTTCCCAGTGGATCCAGTGTATCCACATGTTGGTTTCCCTCGCCATCTACAATGCTAACTGGATACATTCACGGACCGGCCTCCGCCCAACAGGCCTTTGGGATTTTTTTAGGCGCTACTCTCGCCCATTCGCAAAACAGACAACAGTAAAACAGGTAGGTATTAACTTTCCCGGGTCCGGTGGGATTTCCCCAACATTGCTCATTTCCACACTCCCTCTAGCACTCTAGTGCAATTTGGTGTGTGGTATGAGGAAATCCGGGTTCTGCATACCGAGGCCCAAGACACTTAGGCTGGTTGTGTTGATGTTCTTTGATTGCGGGAGTTATTGATGAAACCACAGGAGGGACTCGAATCGTGGATTTGGAAACGGACTTATGCCACTGTCATTTGCTTGAGACTGGATGCCTGGTAAGTGGTTGGTTACCCAGATAGCCCACTTACACCTGTTGATGTCCGTTCTGTGGCTGATGTCCAACCTGGTTACAAGCTAATTTGGGTGCTACACCACATACCTGAAGCTCCCTTCGTTAGCAGACATGGTTTTTGTCCTTTGCTGATTCGTTGCGTAATTTTCATTGTCGTGCCTTTTTCAAGAACATGGGTCAGGGCGATGCGTTTCGAGCAGCTTTTGCTTTCTTCTCGGGTTTGTCCTCCAAGATGATCGGTCGCTTTTTCAGGAGCCCGCAGAAATCGAAAGGCACGAGCAAACACATCCCCGAAACGAGCGCAAATCTCCCCAAAGCGACAGCACGCATCTTACACTCGGTAGCAATTTAATTGCTCGCCCAGCAAAGGGCCCTGTTTTTAAAGGACCGCGCAATTGCTCGCATCGAGCAGGATTTTCGAATCGCTCGAAGACAACAAATTGATTTGCGCAAATTTGTGGCACAATGGGCACTCCAGATACGGTGGTCAAAGGGATCTTAGTGAACTCCAGAGAGAAGAATGATGCGATTTCTTGGCAGTCTTGCTTCGGCTTTTGCTTCACCACTTTGTGTTTAAACCGGGCATCCGTTTGGTGTCCGTTTAAAGGAACCGGGCCAGGGTTGGTTGGTCAATCAGATTTTTGCAACCAACCCATGCGTTTGACCTCCTTAAACTGGGTCTCCACCAAGAATATGGTGTAGTTTAGGATAGACTGATTTTGAAGCGGAATCTGACCATACGGCTGCAACATTAAATGTGGAGCACCCTCGTTATTTTTTGTTCTAAATGATGTCCACCAGACGGTTTTCATTTTTTCAGACACACCCAATAATATGTCTTCTTGTATTCCAAGTTGTTGGGCCCTCGTTGGGTGCGCAGATCTGTGCAGGTCTACGGCTCTTGCACTTGGAGACGCTGATGTTGGACGACAACCAGCTTTTCGGTCCGCTGCCGGCGCTCGAAACACCGATGCTCAGACTCCTGCAGCCCCTCGACGGATGGATCGATGGGAATTCCCAGCGTGCGTCGCTTTGGAGGCTACTCGTCCCCTGTATGGTACATGATACTGGCAGCCCAGTGCCCTGTTGCTTTGGGGGCGGGTTTTCCCTTGAAAATCAACAAGAGGTTTGCCCTCAAGGAGTCGATTTGGAGAGAAGTTGTGTTGCCTTTTGGTGGGTACGAGGGCAGTAATCAAAGGACCCTTAGTACTGCTTGTGATAACCAACGAGATGCTTCCATTTGCTTCAGAATTGTTTTTTGTCATGTCTATTGGTTTTAAAGGGAATCTGTCACTACTGGACATATGCTTTTGTGTGTTTTCCCAGTGGACTAGAACTGAAGCACAGCACATGTTAGAGTGTGGGGACATATTATAGGTGCGAGGCAGGGTTGTATTGTTTTACCTAGATTGCTCACCGCATGCTAAGTACCCTGCTGCAGGTGTCCTATCACGGGAAATTCAGATCAACCAGCTTGAGTTGATTTTGATCGGGGGGTGGTTCAGGAAGGAACACCGCCTACGGATTCTACGCAGGTCCTTGGTCAAGATTCACCCTGAACCCTGAAGCTCTGGGAAAAGAACAAATGCGTTGCCAAGTTTCGCACATGCACAGGGCGGTTGGAGATTCGGCGGAATGGCCGTTTTTTTCTTCTTCTTTTTTTTGTTTTTGTGTTTTTTGTTTCTCCTTTGAGGCTTGCACTTTTCTTTGACTCAAGAATGCTTTTGTTGGGGTCCATTCAAAACCACTAACAAAGAACTACCGGTTGGTGGGCAGGAGCCCCCTGCCAAATGATGAATGATGGGGTCACATGAAAAAACTCGCAGCCATGTACTGGAGCCAAACGCAGACTGTTCTGCATCGTCCAACTCCCGCAAGTCCCTCTGCTTTGCCCAGTGTTTTGGGCTGATTCAATGGAAGTTTTTTAGCCTGCGCTAGTTAAAGTGAGCTCACCCATGGGTAAACCGAGTTTAACCATGAAGGTTTCCTAGGGATTCCTCAGGTGTGTGAAACTAAGCTGGACCCTCAAACTACCCAAAAAGCATCTTCCAGGTCAGTTTGAGGGTCCCCGGAAGCTTCTCAAGATGGATCCAAACCGGGGGGATTTTTACAAGGAGTTTCCTTGCACAGATGTGTTTGGCCAAGGTGTCCTTTATGGTTGTCTTGGTAGAAAAATCGATGGCCCTGGTGTACCTGGTGGTTTTTTCTCATGTACCAGGGAAATCCATCTGTTTGCCCTAAGAGGATACCTATGGTGTTGATGGTTTAAACTGCAGGTTTTCAGTTTGAAAAAGGGGTACCCCATCAGTGGCCCCCTGAGCAAGGATAACACGCACAAACCGGTGGCATGGAAGCCGCTTTTGGATCGAGGCACACGGAAAAGTGTGCCATGGGCAGCTGCCTGATCACAGGTTATGAGCCCAAGGTCGTGACCACGGCGCCGACGCAATGGCGACTGGAGGTGGAAGACAGAGAAGAACCAGGACCTTGGAGGCGAACGAAGCCGCAGGCAAGGGGTCTGGCAGCAACGGCAGACCCACCCTGGAGGCGGAAGAAGATCGAGGACCTACGATGGTGGCAAGGCCGGACGGCTCGGTGGAGGCGGAGACGGCGGCACTATGGCCGGATGGTCCTCAAGGAGAACCAGAGGAGCTTGGACCTGGGCGGAATGCGCTGTTCACACCCCAACAGATGAGGAGGTTGGACGAGTGGACTGATGAGGCACCGCTGATCAATGCGAGTCCTGGAGACGGTGACCGAGGAGGATTTCCGGACTACATTGAGAGGTCCAACGAGGGCATGGTGGAGGCCAGAGAGATGGCGATGGCATCACAGCAATTGGCTCTACCGGTACCTGGAGGACTGGCGGAAGGTCCACGGCCAGATCAATGGTCAGCTCTACAGCGTGCTCTACCAGCACCAGGAGGATATGCTGGAGGCCCACGGCTTCCCCAATGGCAAGATCAGCGTATGGGGCAGCAAGTGGTTCTTCAAGGACATGGAGGACCTGGTGGTGGTCAAGGAATTGCTCTATGGCCAGATCCCATGCAGGAGATGCGCTACTACATGATGCAGCTGGTAGCTGATAACCAGCAGCTGAGGAAGGTAGTTGGGAGCTGCGTAAGCCAGGTCAATGATCTGCAGCGGAGGTGGCAACAGCCGGAACCTGGTCAGGGGCGAGGTGGTGATCAAAGTGACAGGTTTGCAACCCCGGAGGAGCATGGAACCCCTGAGGGTCAAGCTGAACCTGGTGAACAGGAGGAGGAATCGTCGGAGCTCCGTGCGGATCAGCCGGGAGCAGGACCTGGACAATCGCTGGACGTTATGTTGAAGATTGTCCAAGGGATGCAAGCCATGCAGCAGCAGATGCTGGACCAGCAGAAGAAACCTGAGGGGGGCGACGACCACAGCGAGATGGTGAAGAACAACGCCATGTGGAGTACCGACCAGAGAGCCCCCCCGGATCGACTTGGGTGATTGGATCTGCGTCCTGGAGCCGATCATGGCGGACTTGAGTGAGTCCTCACACCAGTGGTGGCATAAGGTGGTGGAATCGGCGAGAGCCTGGTACTCCAAGTATCAAGCAACACCGCCACTGGAACGACTGCGACTCCAGCCGAAGGACCCCGCTGAGCTTCAGGAGGCGAGGTGGAGGAGGTTGGAACGGCGAGCAGTGGGATTACTCCTTCGAGCTCTCCCCGATGGAGCTCGGGAAGAGATGGTGGCAACGAAATCGATGAGTTGCTACGCGATCTTGTGCAAGCTCATGGCGAGCTATCAGCCTGGAGGCTTGGTGGAGAAGTCGGTGATCTTGCAGAACCTGGAGAACCCCCCGCAGGTCGACACCCTGGCAGCGTTGGTGGTTAGCTTGCGGAAGTGGACGCGGTGGAAGCAGCGAGCTCAAGAACTTGGGGTGACCATTCCGGACCCGACGGTGCTTGCTCGATCGTTGAACAAGATGGTCAAGAAGGTGGTGGAGATGCAGCCGGAGCTTTCGAGGGTGCCGCCCAGGGAGGCGGAGAAGATGATCCGAGAGAAGGGCAGCAAGCTGTCTGTGGTGCCGGCCAAGGCGATCTTCAGTGTGAAGGCCGGGAGTTCTAGAAGGAAGACCAGATTGGTGGTCTGTGGGAACCACGTGGCGCGGGACACGGAGGCGGAGGGCGACACCTTTGCGGGTGGGACGGACATCACGGCGATCCGCCTGCAGGTCAAGGTTGCGATGGAAAAGAAGTGGACTATGTCTGCGCTGGACATCAAGTCTGCGTTTCTCAATGCGGATTTGCACGAGGAGAAGGAGCCGGAAAACCTGGTGGCGATGAGGCCTCCGACCATCATGGTCAGATTGGGCTATGCGGAGCCGGGCGAGTTGTGGCTGATCGACAAGGCCATGTACGGACTTCGACAGAGCCCGAGGAGGTGGTCTGATCATCGGGATGCGGAGCTGGCGAAGCTGACGTGGGAGGTGAACGGCGTCTACTACAAGCTGGAGCAATGTGCCGCGGAGCAGAATTTGTGGCGGATCTTGGAGGTTGGTGATGGCACCGAGGTTCTGGCCGGTCTGGTCTCCATATACGTTGACGACGTCCTCACGGCGACAGAGAAGCCGGTGCGAGAAAGGTTTGAGGCGGTGATCTCGGAGAGGTGGGAAACGAGCAAGCCGGACGTCCTGACGGAGGAACACCAGATCCGCTTTCTAGGAATGAGCTTGAAGCGGGAGGAGAATGGGATCTTCCTGCATCAGAGCGACTACGTCGAGGAGTTGCTGAAAAGGCATGAGGGCGAGCTGGTGAGATCCAAGACGCCGATGTCCAAGGAAATTGCGGACGAGGCGGATGAGGACCCGGGCCATTTCACGGCCATGGACCTCACGAGAGCTCAGAAGGTGACGGGGGAGATTCTGTGGTTGATGACAAGGACTCGGCCGGACCTGCTCTACAGCATGAGTCGTATGTGCAGCATGACGTCCAAGAATCCCAAATGGACGATCAAGGCTGCGGGCTATGTTCTGGGCTACCTGAAGGAAACGAAGGCATGGGGGCTATGGGTGTCGGGAGACACTGGACGACATTGGTCGGGTCATGGTGCCGCCGGATTGCAGGCCTATGCAGATGCTTCGTTTGCGCCGTTGGGAGAAAGGAGCCAAGGATGTTCCTTGGTAGCGTGGAACGGCACGGTCATTGCATGGAAGGCAGGAAAGCAGGCTTTTCCAGCACTGTCGACAGCGGAGAGCGAGCTGATCGAGGCGATCGACAGTGTGATCCTTGGAGACAGCGTGGAGGCGTTGATCACAGACACCCTGGGTATGGACAATTTCAAGAAGATGTTGCTGTCGGATAATGCGGCAGCGGTGGCGATTGCCACGGATGTCACAGGCTCGTGGAGAACACGGCACCTTCGGTTGAGGTCATTCCACCTGCGGTGGAGGATCAGGGCCGGAGATTGGGAACTACGACACTGCCCAGGACAGCAGATGCTGGCAGACCTTGGTACAAAGCCATTGGGTCCGATGAGGATCAAAGAGCTCTGCGACCTGTGGAACCTCAAGGCCATGGGAGAAGAGAGCAAGGTGACCAAGGTGAGCAAGGCGGTGGTTCAGCCGGAAAAGGAGAGGTGGATCCAGTTACTGGTGATCTTGATCGTGATCACTGGTTGCAGAGCACAGGGCAACAATCCACCGCCGGAGGAGGACGGTGTGGACATCTCCGTGGTGGTGTTGCTGATCGCTGTGGTTGCGGTGGTGATTTACCGCTTGGCTACCGAAGCTGTGTCGGGGCTCCGCCAGGGGATCAGGAGGTTGAGAGTGAGTAGTGTGGAAAGGAGCACTCAAACGGGAGAAGAAGAAGAAGTCATTGAGGTGCCGAGATTGCAGAGCGCTTCGGTGGCACGGTCTTCCAGCTCTACCAGCGGGACTGCCTCAAGGTCAAGTGCAGTGAGGAGGCGGAACGGTGGGAGCACGGGTCAAGCTGAGGAGCAGCCTGCAGACGAACGAGCTCCCACAAGGTCGGTTGAGCAGGAGACAGAAGATGAAAGATTGAATGCCAGGTGGCGGGAGGAGCTTCGGGTCATGGAACAGCTCCGGTGGCGGGAGCTGCGGCCGGAACCGGAAGCAGTTGAGGTTTACCACATCACCTCGATGGGTGACCGGATTCACTGGCGACGCAACTGCTATGGGCTCCGGAACGCCACTGTCCGGGGAATGCGGGCGGTGCTACCGTGTCCTCACTGTTGGCCGGGAGAACGACAGCGAGCACGGGGCGCAAGATCGTATCGTGGGGAAGACGGCTTTCTGCATGGCAATGCTCGATGTGTGGGCATTGGAAGGGAGCCGCTGAACCCTATGCAGCCTTGCAGGTTTTGCCAAGGTGGCGTGACCGACGAGAACTTTGAGAGAATGCAAGATGAGGGCAGATGGCCCCGAGGACTGATGTGATGCGGCTTGAGCTGGGCATCCTCTATGGCAAGAACGGAGGATGTGAGAGCTAGGAACGTTTTGTCATTTGTGCCCTCTCTGAACACAAAGGGGAGGAGTGCAGGTTTTCAGTTTGAAAAAGGGGTACCCCATCAGTGGCCCCCTAAACAAGGATAACACGCACAAACCGGTGGCATGGAAGCCGCTTTTGGATCGAGGCACACGGAAAAGTGTGCCATGGGCAGCTGCCTGATTCACATAAACAACTCGATCGGGAAGTATGGGCCCTGCTTTAAAAAAGGAAAGACCAGAAACAAAAAAAACAGGCTTTCGGCCCAGCGCGGCCCAGAAGAAAGGGAAACATGTACCCCAACAACGACAAGACTTTTGTAAGGAAACCAGGCTCAGAGGTGCATGTTGCCGGATGTAGCTTGAAGCTTTTGCAACAACGAAGGGGGTTTTCCGAATTGAACCACTAAACGTTTTTTTGTTCCCCTTTGTTTTTCAAAAAAACACTTTTTGCAGGGGAGCAGAAAGCAACCGAGTTTATGTGTGGTTTCAAGGGTGGTTTTCATTGGTGACCTAAAGGAAAATGGAGACACGCGCGGCTTGCAACAAAGGCCCTTCACGTCCCTCGCTTTTCTTTTTTAGGGGCACTGCAGTTGTAGGAATTCCCGGCTAATTTGTGGATGCAAATCAGTGCATTTGTTTTTTCTCGTTCGCCTTTTTTTTGGAGGGGTTTCCCTTTAAAATGAACAAGAGGGAGGTGGAACACATTGGTTTGCAGCCGCGGACCCTCTTGATAAAACCAAACACTCCAACAAAAAAGAGCGCCCTTTTTCTCCCATCTACCGGGAATCTGACAGGATGGATCACAACCAGCTGTCTGGGTCGCTGCCGGCGAGCCTCTGCGAGCTCCAGAGCAGCCCGGCTCTGACGGACGAAGCGGGACATGGGTGTTTTCGAGGGGTGTTGTCCCCGGATCTAAGTAGAACCTGTCCCATTATTAGGGTCGTCCCTCCAAAAGTGAATCCCACAAAAAGGGGACCCCTATTAATCAACCAGGGGTTTATTAATCTGGGGTCAACATTAAGTAGGTTGAGGTCCAGGTACATTTGGGTGGTTTCAACGAGACACTAGCCCATTCTTGGGGTGGTTTCGAGAGAAACAAAAGGACAACCACATATCTGAGCATACTATTTTCGTGTCCAGGGAGTCAGGCCAAGACTGGGTGCTAAATGACCCAGAATGATGAAGTTTCCCGAGCAACCAACCCTTAGCCCCCAATGTTTCGCCGATGTTTATCGTGTGTCCCACCTCCTTGGATCCTCTTTTTTTCGCCGGAGGAAACTCCGCCAGACTTCCCTTCAGTCACCCGAAAGGGCCCCAATTTTTCAAACCTACGCAAAAAGCATGAGGGTGAATCCAAAGACACCCCGACAAACAGCAGATTCCTCCAGGCACACTGCAGGAATTGGGCATTCCCCTGTTAGATGCCTTTTTCTACGGCACGTGAGATTCTCTTCAGAACTTGTCGCTCGTGGTAGTTGTTTCCTGGGAGTTTCTGGAGCTCTAGTCACTTGGGTTTGGTTGCAGCAGAGAGCTCTGAGCTTCCTTGTTGGCAACCGACCCCATCAGAAGTGAGACATAGATGCTTCCATTTGCTTATGTATACTTTCCCCTGTGGGTTTTAAGGCGACTATTGGAAATAGTATCTCATTTTTCCAAGGGGGCGGAAAGGCAAACGGAGGGATGGCACTTCACCTCGAGTCTCACGTGAGTTGTTTTTGGACCAATCTCGAGTCAGAAGATAGAGACTTGGGCCTGTCTTTTTTTAAGGTACCCCCATCTTAGGTTTGTTTTTATTGAAATCAAGGGATTTCAAGGTCCCCCTCCCCCCCATTTGGAGACAAGTCCCATTGGTGAAGGGTTTAAGTTTGCTCATGCACCATCAACCTAGCCTAAAAGTGTGGTGAACTGCCCCAACATTGTTTTTAAGCAGGTTGAGGCTTCAAACTTTTGCTTTGAGGGCCCGTCTTTCCACCCTACCGATTGGGATGTCGGACGGTGTTAGCTACCTGACTGTCTTGGGTTTCGGTATGCGACGGACCTCACCCATCAAACATCATATACTCGGGGTCCATTTCCTATTTGGCTATGAGTTTAAATCGGGAACCCCTTCAAACGTGGTTGGTGGACATACATCCCCACCTTATTGTCCATCAAAGGGTTCCCACCTAAAAATCACAGCCATTTCTTATTTCAGGAGGGTAAATTGGTACATGATTGTTGCCCTGGTGCCAGCTTATAAGATAGCAATCATGGGGAGAGCCATCCTTTCTAAGGATCCTTCCCAAAAAAGAAGCGCCTCCCTTGAAACAGCTTGGGACTAAACCAGCTCGGTTCTCCATAGCCTGTCATTTGAGGGTACTTGTTTCGCAGCCCTTAGGGGGTCCTTGGAACGGGGTTCCTATGGCATCCTTTCAAGGTTTTAGGCTCACTTTCTGTGATGCCGAGGGAACCTTGTGATACAAAGTGAGGGATGTGAACCCTACTTTGGTACGAGATGGGATCTTCCACGAGCACATGAGATCGATTCTGTTTGCTTCAATGAACAGAAGTTGAACCCCCATACTTGTTCAACCCCCTTCAATGCACAGAAGTTGAACCCCATACTTGTCCAACTGGTGGATAAGAAGGAGCGTCCCGTTGAGACAGAACTCACTGCATCCTCCGCATCCGCATCCTCGTCCTGGATCTCGCGTGAGGCCTTCAGTCCCTGTGGCTCAGCAGCAACCGCCTCAGCGGCCTCATCCCGAGCTGCCTGCTGCAGTGCCCCGCTCGGACCGTCGGACCGTCGGACCGTCGGACCGTCGGAGGGGCAGCTCGGAACCCCGAGATCACAACCCGAAATGACCGGGGCCAGTCGAGCCAGAATCAAAACCCGGTGGCTCCCAGCCATTTTAGCCTTTTACTGTTGAGTGGTAGCCTGAGGATCTGGGCTCTGTTGCCCAGCGGGGCCCGTTTTTTCCTTTCTTGGGGTAAGGGTTGCCCTTTAAACTCAACCAGCAAAAAAGGGTGCCCGTTTTTTCCTTTCTTGGGGTAAGGGTTCCCCTTTAAACTCAAGCAGCAACAAAGGGTGCCCTTTTTTTCCCATGGCCACTGTGCATCTGAGTTGGGACCTCTTTGGAGGTCCTTTTGAAGGTCCAACCCTTCCCAGAGATTTCAATGGAGGATCTGGTGCTGAAGGCAAAAAAGGCGCGGATATTTGCCCTCTTTCTGTGCATGGTTCAAATTTTGACAATGACTCTTTTGAGTCACCAGAAATTTAACAGAAGGAAGTGACAGCGGCCCACCCAGAACGAAACCCAATAGCGATGCCCCAGTAACATTGTCAAAGGAAGTTTAGAAGGAACTTCCATGTTACGGCAACTAATTGAAAGCTAGCTCTCTGAGGATAGATGACAAGAGAAGGAATAAGCGCGCGAGAAAAAAATGCGCGCGCGTGTGGTGGGAGAATAGAAATGTGCAACAAACGTGGACCTGTGCGTGAATCGGCGTCTCCGGAGAGCTGAAAGCTAGCCTGTTCGCGGCGCCTGGTCGGGCCGCGTTCGGACCACGAGCGGACCAGTCTCGGATCATGCTCGGAACGCTCTCGGAGCGCGGGCCCAATGGCACGGCAACGCAAAGGTTTCGCTAGGTTCTAATTGCGTGGCAGGCGCAGCACTTTCGCAAGGTCAGGTTCGGATTTCGTGGCAGGCGCAGCACAGATAGAGAGAGAGAGAGAGAGAAGAGACAGAGAGAGAGAGAGAGAGAGATAGATAGATAGATCGGTAGGTAGTTAGATGGATAGATAGATAGATTCAATAGATTAGATAGATAAAAAGAGAGAAAAAGGAGATAGATAGATAGATAGATAGATAGATAGATAGAAAAATGAAATCAAGATAGATAGATAGAGATATCGGTAGGTAGATAGATCGAAAGATAGGTAGATAGACAGATAGATAGATAGACACATATATATATAGATAGATAGATAAATATATATATATATATATATAGATAGATAGATAACTGGAAAGAGACAAAGAGAGATATATAGATAGATAGGTCGATAGATAGATAGATTGATAGATGAAAGGAGAGAAAGAGAGAGAGAGGGAGAGAGAGATAGATAGATAACAAAGAAAGATAGCCAGATAGATAGGTAGATCAAGAGAGAGAGATAGATAAAACGAGAGATAGATGGATGGATAGATAGATAGACAGACAGGTAGATAGGTAGATAGAAAGATAGATACAAAGAGGGATAGATAGATAGAGAGATAAAAAGAGAGAAATACAGAAAGATTGGTAGAAAGATAAAAAGAGAGATAGACAGATAGATAGATGAAGAGACAGATAGATAGATAGAGTATTAAGTAGATAGACAAACAGATAAATAACATATAGGTAGATAGATAAGCTCACACATAGATAGACAGATAGGTAGATAAATAAATAAATTACATTTAGGTAGATAAATAAACTCATATATAGATAGACAGATAGATAGATAGATAGATAGATAGATAGATAGAGAGAGAGAGAGAGAGATAGATAGTTTTTATATTTGTGAAACTTCCGCCCACCGGCTTCGCCGGCTCTACTGGCACGTTGCTCATTTGGCTGTGGCTCAAAAAAGTGGGGCCCATGTTTGGGGCCCTTGGATGGCAAGCTCCCCTTCCGTGGGTTCCCAAACCGGTTCTACTAACGACTTGTCTTCACTCTTCTTTCCAAGTTGTTTTTGTTGGTTCTGTTCGATTTTAGTAGGGGGAAGCCGTTTTTTTGCTACCATACCAAGGGCTGAATTATGTGCCCTGCGCTTTTCAGGCTTCCCAGCAAGGGCCACTTTCCTCTGCCTGCAATTGACCAGCTCCGAGGTGAGTCCCGGATCCGGGCCTAAGAGTGCTCAAGAGGGTCCAGTCCAGGAGGAATGCCCTGAAGGCAATGGCGGCCTCCAAACGCTGTCCTGGTGTGTTTTGTCTTGTGGGGTTGTTCGAAAGGGAAACAAGGAAACCATTTTGCACCATCCCAAACCCTAGACCAACCCTAGTCGATGCTGAAACCCTGAACCGACCATCACATTTCGAGACGCTCGTTTTTTGGGCAAGGGTTCAGATCCTTTGCGGATGGCCAGACCTGGCTTCAATTTTTCTAGGGGTGGATTCCGCATTATATATGTTCAACTCTTTCGAAAACCAGTCATTTCCTCTGGAAGGAATGGGTAGTTGCCCCGTGTTTGAGAATGGGTAGTTGCCCCATTTTTGTGGGGCGGGGGGCGGAGGGGGGGTGTCCAGGAGAGCCCCCAAAAAAACAATTGGGTTGGACCTTTAGACTTTAGTTTTTTGGTTGACATCAAGCTTGTGTTTTCCACTAAACCCCCCAAACGTTTAAAAACAAAAACTACTTTCTGCAGGGGGGGTCTCGCAAGCAACCGAGACTGCAGGTTGAGGAACCTCCGCGAGCTCCTGCTGCACGAGAACCGCCTGGAGGGCGCCATCCCGGAGCCCTCGAGGCAGACCCGGACGACCCGAGCATCGAGCCGCGGGGGGGGGGGGGGTCTTAGGGCACGGGCTCCCTCTGGCGTTGCTTCAAAACCGCACAAACAGAAAAAACAAAAAAACGGGGTAGCCTCAAACAAAAGACAGAGAAAGAAGTGAGAAAATCCCCACTAAAACCAGGGAAAAGCACCCCATATTCACAGACTGGGGTTGATTATTCTGGGGTCAACATTAAAGGGAAGCCAAATGGGGTGTTTTAGAAGCGCAGTTGCAACCACTGGCGCCTTTTTTGTGTTTTCCCCCTTGTTTTTGGGAAGGTTCCCCTTGAACCTCAACAAAGGATGCCCTTTTTTTTTCCCATGGCCACTGGGCATCTGAGCACACACATGTGGTTTCAACAGGTTTGAATAAAGCTTTTGAAGGGGGGTGTTCAATGAAGTTTGCTCAAAACAGGCCTGCACAAGGTGGCCAACCAGCTTGCAACGTTTGAGTCTTAGGGTCAAGGTTGTGATTGGCTCTTTCTTTGTGGGAAACGGTGGCAGATGCAAGGGGCCTCCCAGAGTGCTTGTACACTTTAAACGGGTGTCGTGTAATTTCCCGAAAAGGCAACCGCTTCATCCAAAGCCTTTGGCTTCCAGTTGTGTGATTATGTTGGCCCTTGTTCCCTTTAAGTGGTCTATTTCAAAATATAGAAAAAAGGGATCTTCCATGTTCAACTTGACCGAAGATCCCTTTTTGCTTGGGTATTTCATAAGACCACAGGGGGGCTCGACTCCTTTTTTCTATCGGCGGCGGGGGGTCACCGAAAGCCGAAAGGGCGGGGGCCTTTCGAGGAGCTCCGAGCTCACCGTGCTGGCGCTGCACCACAACCGGCTCAAGGGCGTGCTGCCGAACCTCGCCAGGCTGCCCCAGCTCGCCGCGCCGCGGCAGCTGGGCCCCGCCCCCCCAAGAAAGGCACGAAGAAGAAGCGGTGGCCAGAAGTACAAGGGCAGAAGGGGCTTGAAAAGAGCGGTCCCTTGCGGGGGTTGTAAAGGGAATCCAAAGAGAACGCATCCCTTCCCATCTTTTGTTTTTTTTTGCAGGGGGGGGGGGGGGATGCTCTTTCCAGAAATCATGGAAGCTGAATTTGGAAGACCGCAGGCCTTTGAAACGTCCATTCCCATGGTTGTTGAGGGTAAGGCAAAAGGGTCTGCCTCAGAATGGAATTGACTGGAGTCTTCTTTTGCAAGCCGTGCCTTCAATCAGTGTATGGCTTGAGCTGGGTGTGGGTCAAAATTAAGCCAGCAGGGGACCACAGGTTTTAGTCCATGTTTCCATTTACTAGGGCTCCATGTTGGGCACCAATTTTTGAGCCACAGCCAGCTGGATTTGGCTACAGTTGCGGTGTTGAATCTTCGTCTTTGTCACTCGCCTTCGTTTACAAGCCCTGGTGGTTTTAGTCAGTCAACAGCTTTGTTTTCACCCAACCTTTTCGAAATGGGGCTGCGCAGTAGTGTTGGTATCTGATTAATAAAGGCCGCCTCCCCCCCCCCCTCCTCCCCTCCCCCTGCAGCCTTCAAGGGTCATGGTTTGATGTTTGTTGCCAGTGCAAGCAGAATTTGGTATGGTCCAAACCTGGTTGTGGGGTGATTGTTTGTTTTTTGCTATTTAGTTTGTTCAAATTGATTCATGTGTTTCCCCAAAATGCTTCTTCGTCCGGGGACAACTCGCATTTCGAATCAAGTACCAACATTATACATACATGAGTATAAGTACATATATATATATATATATATATGGTACCCCCCTTCCCAAACCCTACACACACAAATCTTTCTTCATAATTTTGAATCTTGAATCTCGACAAGCGTGGCTTTCAGCCAGGTGGTTTTGTTGGATGTCTTCACATGGGGTAACTCGCCTTTGGTTAGGTTCAGGAGAAACCACGAGCAACCAACAATAAGTTTGTCTCAATCTTGAAAAATGAGCCCCCTGTAACTTCCAATCCCTTTTCATGCTTTGCCACGGGTCCCGTAGGTCAGCGTTGGGGCCTATTTAAATTTCATCTTGCACCTTTGTCAACTAAGAATGCCGAACAAACACCTAGATAGCCACAACGAAATGAAACCAGACTCTAAGACAGCTTCCAGTACCCCCACACCACTACCCCCAGCATAAATTGGGTTATACCCTTTGTATAGCGGCTTTACAGTGGCTGTGTATCCCATTACAGCCCTGCGGGGTAGCGGAAACCATCTTAGACATACATTTTACGTCATCTTACGCCTTTGTCAACTAAACATGCTGAAGAAACACCTAGCTAACCACAACTCGATGAACCCAGGCACAAAAACAAACGAAGTCTGTGGTTGAGACGTAGGGGTCAGCTCCCGGCTTCTGCTGTGCCTGAAACCCTGGCTCCTCGAGCTGCGGCTCAAGGTGTTCACGGCGCACAGCAACTTCTTGTGGGGCCGCATCCATCGGCTGAACCTCACCACCGGCCCCTGGTCGAGGAACCGAAAAGTCGGTCCCCCGGTAGTGCCCTTCTACCCTTTTTTGGGGGCAGGGTTCCTCTACTAAAATAGACTGCAGAAAAAAGGGATACCCTTATTCTAACCTCTCTACTGGAGGACCTAGGAAACCCAGACGAAAAAATCACGAGGTTCGGTCTGGGTCGGAATCAAGCTGTTTCTTTGAATTGCCCTCCCGGCCAGAGGGTCCAATTTTAAAGGAAATTGGTCTTCTAGGACCCCTCAGTCAATCGGATGAGAGGGCATTTGGACATAATGAGTATTTTTTTTATGAGTTCCCCCAGTACTTCAAGAGGCGATCGGATTCGTAGTAGTAACTCTGGGCAAAGAACCCTCCGGTTAACGGGGGAATGCCAATGCTGAACAAATTGTGCCCCCCCCCCCACATGTTTGTTGGGCCTGTTTTTCTGGCACTCGCATGCACTCGCATGAATATATTTAGAATGAGATATGGGTAAATCCACTCCCGGGATCACATTTCTACTTGTGATCCTGTAGACTGGGACACAAGCGGACTCCGGCTGGCTGAGCATTTCACTTTACAAGAATCTTGGAACTGTAAGGGACTCCCTTTCTGAGGTAACCCTTCCAATGCCGACCCCATTTCGCCTTTATTGGATCCTTTGCATATCGGGCAGCTGAACGTTCTTTCGGCTTCAGCCCAAGAGAAGTCCCATCGAAAGATTTTTCGTGAACGAAGGGACCCCCTTAGTTCTGGCTGATTTCTGCTTTCGTGTCATCAAAATACCTGGCTTGAGTAGGAATCAACGCCCCAGGGATTCAGTTCTGTTGTAGGGAAAAGGGTTTCTAGTGGAAACCTGATCTGATCGTGAGCCACACTCTTCAGCTTTCCACGATTAGGTGGTGCGGTTTGGTGGTTACGTTAGGGCTACCTTCCTCATTTGGTTTCAGAAAAAAGAGAGAAAAAAAACGGGTTCAATCCCAGAACCACCAATCCAAACCACCAATTCAGGGGTAGCTGCACTTTCGGAGTTTGGATGGCTCTGAAAATGTGGACCCTCTCGGCTCTCCAAGCAGTGGTTTCGCTGGAAATTTTGATGACCAGCGGCGAGCGGCGAACCACCGGGTAAAAGGTTTACAGTCGGGAAGTAGATGCCCCATGCTTACTCAGGTGAACCATGTCCGGACCCAAATTCGCCACCCCAATGACTGGGGGGGATGGTGAAGGTACATGGTGCAATTCCCTTTGATGGTGTAAGCGGATATGCAGACAATCATGGGTCCATTCGCCATAGAGATCCAAGGGAACTTTCAAAAAACACTAACTAAAGATGTCCGGCTGCCGACTGAGTTAATATAGTGGTAGCTGGAATGTGGTGGGAGGCTTACTTACAAACAGGCAAGCGGCCAAACGCCTTCCCAAGCGCTGGGTTTCTACACAATCGGGTCCAAAGTTTGGGCTCTTGCGGCCTAGGTTGCTTGGACAACTACAAGTATGCTCCTTGGCTTTGGCAAAACAACAGGTTGTTACCCTACTTGGCCACTGGTTACGCAAGTGGTACCCATGGGGCAAATACCCCGCTCCACAGAAGGGGTCTTATGATATTGGAGTAAGTGTGGGTGAGTTATCACGAAAGCTGGCTGAAACAGCAAGAGTTCTTTGCTAAGCTTTAGCTTCTTTTCAGGACTGAGCTTCTTTGGGGAATCTGTCTCGTTCTGACCTGGTCCAAGCTTGGGTCTTAATGACCTTGTGGATGTTCATTTAGGTTTGCCATTCTTAATACCTTAGCAACCCCTGAGTCGTTGTTGGGCTCGCAGCTTTCGTTCGCGCCTCTCCGGTGTCTTGGCCACTGACTAAATAGCCTGTCTGCCAAAATTAATGGCCCACCTTCAGCATGGAAGTTGGGCTCCGTACGTGGTCCCAGCGAGCCTCGCAGAATCGTAGATTTGGCCCAGTGCTTCCAGCTAGCATTCTAGATGGTAGTGTAGCTACCATACTGTGGATGGACGAAATCCTGCACCACCTAAGGAACCCTGGAATGATTTGATTCCCCTGTAAATACCAACAAACAGCGGTTTCCCATGCTTTCCAAGTGGTGCAGGATTTCGTCCATCCACAGTAGGACACCATGGTAACAACCTAGAGGATAGACACCCCGGTTATCCACAAGCGTGTGCCATGTCGCCAACACCGAGAAAAGGGCTTCAGCTCCTGGGTCCCCGGTTTTGATGGCCAGGTGTCTCCAGACAGCTTGCCTTGCGAGCGCTTGAATCCGAGCTGCCATGGACACGCGCTCTTTGCATCTCAGGCTGGGGTCGAGGTCAATCACCCAGAGAGTCCATTTCGCTATATCCCAGACCCTGGTACTTTGCACAGCTTTGCTTTGCGCAGCTATGCTCTTCGCAGCCTTGCGTTGCTGTGAACAGCTCTGCTGTCTGCGCGCGCGTAATAGTCTAGCGCAGCGCTAGACATAGCTTCTTTGCCAGCTAGTGTCAACATGTATTTCTATAGCTTTGCGCGGTTGTTCTGTGTGCAGCTTTGCGTGGCTGTGCCGTGCGTGGCATTCCCGCAGCTTTGCTCTTTGCCTTGCTTCGCTGCTATGGTTTGGAATGGAGTCTGTCTGGACACCCAACCCGGTTCAAAGCCCCTGAACTATGCACAGTCGCTTGTCATCCGTGGCTCGTCGGAGCAGCCTGGTCTGAGAACAAGGCATAGTTGATTTGACGTTCAAGAAGCCATGCTGCTCGGGGCTGGCTCTCTCTCTCTCTCTTTGCTTGTCTGTCCGTCCTGTCTGTCCTGTCCTGTCCTGTCCCTGGGTCCTGTCCTGTCCTGTCCTCGGTGCTGTGCTGTCTCGTCCGACTGACTATCCCTCTGCCGTTGTCTCAGTCAGTAGCTGGCTGCTGCGCTAACATTTGGCGTGCTCGACTGCACGTAGAACGACCCTCCGCGATGACGAAGTTAGAATTTCTGCGCATCCTGTTGCTGTGAAACAGGACATTTGCTCAAGAGTCCATAGTTTCGCCTTGCCAGGCGACTCCAGCTTTGCTTGCTTGGGGGATGTAAAACCTAGAGGTAGCCATACCGAAGGGTTACCAGTTTGGCTTGAAGCAGTGAACAGAATTCTGACGCTTGGGGTTTTGTTGTTTCCCCTGTGTTTTAGTCCTGGTTGAATCTTTGGCCGCGTTGCCGTTTTGATGCTTCAAGCCTTCTGGGGTCATTGGTTCCGGAAACTGGGAGCAATGAGGTTTTCCTACTTTCCGTGGCCAAGGGAACGAATTCCCCTCAAATGATAAAAAGTACCCATGGGAATGCCTCTGAACGCGCGTGGCTTCCACTCATCCCTGTCGCTGCATCGCGCAAAGTGCGGTCAGAGAGACAGGGCGTGATTGGGCTGTTGATGGGGTACGCGGGGTCTGGTGTTTGGAGGGGTCCGCCTACCCAAGAAGGGCTCCCTTGTACAATCGAACCCCGCCCCGAATGTCTGTTTTGGTCCTTGTCAAAATGGGTCCTCCCCTTTCCCGGACATGACAACCGTCAAAATCGCAATTTTCCGAGCAACAAATTGTGTCTAAAACCGTTCAAGGTTGTTTGTCTTTTTTGTGGTTCAATAGTGAACGGCGCACAGCTTTAAACGGTGTCGGGATTGGCGCGGAATCGGAAGGTTTAGTGTTGGCTTTAAACAAAAGCGCATGTTGAAAGCAGTGTTGGGGATCCGGGGGTCTGGAAAAACGATATGTATGGAAAGGGCGTGTTTCTTCATAGGGGGAGGTGATCACTGGGTAATCGAGGTAGCGGCGGCCCGAACTCCCCAAAGACCCCTTACGGACCCAAGGGATAGGGGTCTAAAAGCTGCGAGTGAGCGAAGCGCTCCATGAACCTTTCGGAAGCACATTGCTCCATGAAGCCCACTAAACCCACTGCTTGGATGTTCCATCCACTCAGCAGTTCGTAAGTAATTTATAACCATGGTAAGCCAAATAAACCCAAGTTAGACGCCCGAGACAAGGTTAAACATCCAAGACAAGGACGTTGGACGCCAGTTTGCTCGACGGGCGGGGGCTGGGGTGGGGGGGGTGGACTACTTCATCGCACCTTCATCGCCAGGCAGAGGTCTTGGGGAACTGCCCAAAGACCTGCGGCGCCTGCGGCCGCTGGGTGAAAATCGCTCGCCAGTTCCTTGAAGAGACCTGTGGCGGTTCGTCTCAAAGCGTAACCCTTGAACTGACTGGGGTTTGTTCTTGTTTTTTCTTGAAATAGGAAACCCTGAAATTAGATTAAACCTCAAACTGGGTTGAAGTGGTTTGTATCAAAACTAGGGTACCGGGGCCCCAAATGAGGGGTGTCCTTTTCATTCCCTTTAAACCAAGCCGCCGAGATACTTACGGCTTCCGCACCGCCCGCGTCACGCTGCACCGGAACCGCTTCAGTTGTGACCCATCTCTCGAGATCTCGGAGGTGGCAGTGCAGGCTACTGCGGTGATGGGCGCCTTGGCAGATCGCAGCATGTCGCGGCTTTCGGGCGCACCAGTTTTTGTTTGATTAATTAGCACCTGGGCAAGGTAGCCCCCAAGCCTGAAAAGTGTTTTTTGTGTATTCTATAATAGCACGGAATCACCCCCACCGGCCTGCAGTCCACAAGGGCCAAGATGCGGCGAGCCGGCATCAAAAGAGCAACGGTCAGACAACAACATGTTTTGGGCAAGAGAAAATACGAAAAAAGGGTCCCTGACTTTGATTACCCTCCACATGAGCCATTCTAAAGCCCCAATTTCCATTTTCCGAAGGTGATGTCCTGATTCCCTCTTCCAGACACCCAGCATTGCCCCCTTTGAAAGGCATATCTCTGCCAGTTGCTTAAAGGCGTCTTGCTTCCCGGAATGCCATTCCATGTCCATTCAAGGTTTCTGATTTGCCCCCCTTGCCCAGAGGGACGATACCCGGGCGAGCTGAAGACAGTTACCACTATAGTAGGCAACCCTTCGCAATGTTCTTCTTGTTTTTTTCAGGGATGGTTCCCTTGGATGGGGAAATCTCGGTTCCTCAAACACGACTTTCAACCTTTTGGTTTTCCCTTGCTGGTCCACCAAAAGGTGAGCCATGTATTTCTAGGTCCTCTGGGCAAATGAGAAATGGGGATTGATCAAAAGGTCCTTTATACATGGGACGACCATCGGGAAAAAAACACGAACAACAACACACATGTTGTGTTTCCCCACATGGGAAAAATACCCATGGTCATTTTGGGGCCGAAGGGAATATGGACTTGGTGGCTCCCAGCCATCTCCTTAGCTTTTGAGCTTTAAACAAAAAAAGTGGGGTTCTCCATTTAGCTCACTAAAAGTTAAACTGTCAGCGGGGGATCTGAAAACTGACAGCTCAGTTGATCAACGAGTTTTGCAAAATATGGAAACAATAAAGATGTACAACTAATAGTATGTATTCCTATTGGACATATTCATTGGTCATTTTGCCGGGAATATCGATCAAGCCCCAAGTGGAACCCGGGAAGTTGGCCCCAAGGAAGCGACTCCGACTCCGCCTCAGGCAACATGCTGGGCAGCGGCCGGGAGATGGCCGCGCCCTGGATCGACGAAGCTCAGCTCGAATTGGTCGCTGTGACCTGAGCGGGCGTGGCAGACGCTTCTGCTCCTCGCAGATGTGGCTGTGGCTCAAAAAACCGGAATTCCCAAATGGCTTGCCCTGGTAAGTGGAAACATGGACCAAAATTCCTGCGGTTTGCCCCTCCTTTTTGAGCCACACCCATATGAGTATGGTACTTGAAAGGGAGGATGAAATATTGGAGTGCCAGATGTGGGGCAAGAAGTTGGTTCCCCATAACCAAAAGGCCTCAGGGTTTAGATCCCAGCAGCTTCAGGCAAGGTGTTCTCTAGTTTTGGTGTAGGCGGGTAAAGATCCACATCTCCTGATATCTCCTGATGTGTTTGTCATCGCCCAGGTTGCTTCCGGGCTTGTCCTTGTTAAGACTCGTTGATGCGTTTTTACCCCTTCCCAAGCTGTTGCATCCTTTTTGAGTTAGGACGCCGGTTCAGCAAACCACACATCCATCCAGCAACCAACCAACCACCAAAACAAAACAGAACACACGCCCGACCAACCAGCCCAGCCCCCACCGCTTTTAAAACAAGAGTGACCTTCTTCGGCTCAGTTCACTTCGAATCCCAAGGGATGCGACAGGGCGATTGAAAGGGATGGAGCAGAACGGTTTCAGAGGGTGGGACCTGGGCTCTCAACCCGTGGATGGTTGCGAAATCCATTTGGCACCGCTTGGAAGCCATGGGAAATAACGTTGGTTGGTATTTGCAGGGGAATCAAATCATTCCGGGGTTTCTTAGGTGGTGCAGGATTTCGTCCATCCACAGTATGGGTCATTGCCCCGACATCATGGGGTAAGCAATCCCATGCCCTTTTTGTACCGATGCAAGCTGTTTTACTATGACATGCGCTGGCTTATTTGATTTCATCAGCGTAGTACTTCGTGAGATAATCTTCTAAAGCCTGGTTTGAAACCACTACTCAAAGGGTTGGGTTACAGGAACTTCTACAGGAAAGCAGCTTATTTACGGTGGTTTGGGTTGCCATGTGGCCATGGTTCAAAACCAATGGCACCATTTTGGGATAGGTGAATTCACCACCCATTTCAGTTCATTTTAGTGGGGATTGAATCGGATGTTCACTGGGGGTACGGGGTTTTGACCCATGGCCATGTCCTGTAGATTTCCTGTCACCAACCCTTTGAAGCACCGGAAGGGTCTTGGTCGCACGCCTGAGGAAGAGGAGCGCCAGGACTTCCTGCCGCTCGGATCTCGAGCCTGGGAACCGGAACCCGGAACGATGCTTCGGTTCCAGAGATGCGAAGAGATGCTGCGGTACAAAAACAGGGAGGCGTCCGCAACAAAAACATCTTAGATTTCACTGTTTGGCTCTCATTTTTTCAAGAACCAACCGAAAAGAATAAACACATCTCAGATTTGTGAAAAGGAGTGAGGTGTAAATGAAGGATAAGGAAAGAGAAGCGAGGAGATGGTGAGTCTTTATCCCTTCCACACGTCTCCAGCTCCTTTAATTCCCGAGCGAAGTGATGGAGTTGGATGGAGCTTAGATTTGTGTTTGGCTTTCATTACAAAGAACCAACCGAAAAGAATATTCCGTCTCTGCAGTTGTCAGAATCGGTTTCGGACCCAAAGTGAGAACTCGCGTTTGACCATTCTGTCGCTTTCGGAGAGCCAACCGACATGTGGAGCAGCCGCATGCTGCGCTGCAATTCAGGGTGGGTCGCTGCTCAGAGCACACCTTTTCTTTCGCGCGGTCCGGAAGCTTGCCGCCCACAGGCGGAACTTCCCAGTTTGCAGCACGGTGTGTGTAGGGTGGGTCTATTTCCGCGGTGGCGTGAATAAAGCTCATCCAGGTAAGTGCCGTCGCGATGTGGGTGATGCGTGTCCCAGATGGGTTTTTCGCACTAGCCCATCCTGCATGGCGATAGCGCCCGTAACCGCCGTATGGATCTGCTGCATCGGGCGCTGCAGCAAGCGTGAAGGTTGGTTTGCATCAGGTTTTCCTTCAGCTACCCACTACCCTCCGTCCCACAATCATGGAAGCTGATCAGAGCCGATCGTCCACTTCCATTGGAAAGAGGGTAAGAGGTGCTGGTTCTCAGCAGGGAATAAGGGAATGACCCCTATAACCTATAACGCATCCCCGATTTGGTTTTGTGGAATCGGGAATCCCCTAAAACCGGTTCATTCAGGCAGCACCCGGACTCGCTGTCATTCCCTACCTTTCGCACCAGCAAGACTACGGGGGAATCCAATTGAGCCACAAGCAAAACTCGGGTAGATGAAGGTTGGGGACAATCCCAGCCATAACTAGTTGCGGATATCCGCCTTTGTATTTCCTTACCCTTACATGGTTCTGGGTCTATCATTTCTTTGGTGCATTTTGCTTGGCTGTTAGGACTTCAACTTTTTGCCAACTACTGGGTTTCCACTAAACCACTAAAAGTTAAACTTTTAGCAGGGGAGCAGAAAGCAACTGAGATTTCAATACCGGGTTTTAATATTGGCTCAATTTGGCGCAACTCGGAGCCGTGGGACCCGCCAGATGCCCGGAGGTACTTCTCCGCTGCGGCCCGGAACGGGCGGCAGCAGGCAGGGGTGGGTGAAGAGTCGAAGGCGCATGGCGAAATGCGCTTTGTGGTCTCCCTTTTGTTGTGGTGGACCAACCACAGTTTCTTGGAGCTTAAGCATTCATGCAAAAAACCTTGGGAGTTGAACCAGTAGGATTATTGAGGGTCCATCACAATTCCTGCTGTTGTGTTCAGTGTAGCTGGGGCTGCATTGATATTGTGGATTTTTTTTGGTTGTTTGTTTTTGTGTCGACACCAGCCGGGCACCCTCAAATCTCAAAAACCGTTGCCATGTGGTTTCTGCGACGGGGAAACCCAGGCAAAGCGACTTCCCCAACCAGGTGTCGGCGATGCAACTTCCCCGACCTAGGGAATCTTGGGGTGCATTGCACATGTTTGTTTGGCGTTTAGGGGCGTCAGAAATCAACGGCACCACCTCCGTTGGCGCCCCCACACACAAATGTCCCAGACATACTCTACCTGGTATTGGGCAATACAACTTCAAGTATTTGGCAAGACGACTTTTGAATCGGGACTGGGAGTTCCATAATTGCACAAAGATTTCCTCAGAAGCTTCGGTCCAGTTTCCATCTGATTTTGTATTCCGAGATTTGATTTGAGTTGCAGTTGATTTGATTTGGTATTTGTTGGGCTTGACTTTCCATGTGACGTAGTATTGCTGGAGCTTCCTTCTGAATTTTGTTTTGATTCTCCATCTGGTTTATCAGCTGGAGCTTCCACCTCTAGGTAATTACCGACTTTTGACACGATTTCAAAGGGAATCTATCACTACTGGACATATTTTCTCCATTTTCTCTCCAGGCGAAAATCAAAGGCTGAACCTCAGGGAATGAACCCGTGAATTCGCCGTGAGTTGTGGCTGGAAGAAGACAGAGTCGGTCTTCAACACCTGGTCTCATAAATGGTCTACCCAGAACCAGATTTAGAACGGCGAAGACACCCATTTCTGGTTGGGACTATCCCTGAACCTTCCCACCGACTAACATGGAAGTCCACAGACCCCTGTAGAAAGACGACTTTCCTCAAGGGGGCTTTGTGCGCTTCCGTGTTGGTTGGTGGTTTCTGATTCGATTCCCCCACCCCCAAAAAGCAGCGAACGTTCTTCCCCAACGAAAAAAAATAAAAAGAAAAAGGAAGGATGGCTTCCCACGGTTTGCATCTCCCGAACTCGGTTTTGACATGTTTTGACCCTTCGGCCTTTTTCTCCGCGCGCGCTGAGGTGCTGGGCGCGGCGCTGGTGGCGGCCCTGGCGGCGGTGCTGCGCGGGCGGTGGCTCTGGCGCCAGCTCCAGGCACCCCTGTCGCAAACGAGCCGTTGGCTAGTCGGAGATGCGGCGGCGCGAGGGTTGAGGGTCCATTGGCTGAAACAGATATATATATATATATATATATGTATTTATTTCCCCGACGGGAAGGGGTTGTTAGATTTTAAGTCGGAATCCGCGTTTGCGATGCTTCTACACCATGCCCCCACCCAGTATCCCGCCCGAGAAGCTTGCCAGTGGATCCCGCCGAGTATCCCGCCCGAGCAGCTCGCCAGTGTGGATCCCGCCGAGTATCCCGCCAGAGCGGCTCGCCAGTGGATCCCGCCGAGTATCCCACCAGAGCAGCCCGCCTGTGGATCCCGCCGAGTATCCCGCTGAGTATCCCAGAGTAGCTCGCCAGTGGATCGCGCCGAGTATCCCGCCAGAGTAGCTGGATCCCACCAGAGCAGCCCGCCAGTGGATCCCGCCGAGTACCGCTGAGTGGATCGCGCCAAGTATCCCGCTGAGCACCCTTTGCCGGTGGATCTTGCCGAGTGGATCCCGCCAGTATTTCGCCATAGCAGCTCGCCAGTCTGGTTTTGCTTAATGTCCCGCCCGGCGCACAGTTGGGTTTACATTTCATGTTGGTGCCTTCGTGTTTTGAGGCTCGGAAAGGGTGACGCTTTTGTGTTACTTTGGGCTGTGAATAGGCAACTTCGTTTAATCCCCCGTCGGGTTTCTTTTTGGAAGGGGCTTGGCTGTTTTGTTAACGGAGCCGATGTTTGAGTTGTCGAGATCGGCTCGCAGACAAGGGGAGTTTGACACACAGACAGCAGTCATAGGCCCCAATCCACTCAGGAAGTGATGAGGAACTTCGATGCATTACTTTTGGCTTTGGAAGAGTTCCCGTGGTTGGCTGTAGAAAACGAACTGGAACCACTGGCCCTAAGATCGCTGATGCAGGGGTCCCTGCTTTTTGGGACTTCCGCCAAAAGTAGATCGCTTCAATGGAAACTACCAGGAAGTCAAAACTTTTGAAGGGGCAACCCAACCCCTGTAAGAAAGCTGGACGTACCTGCAAAATGGAGCCCGAATCTTTGCAGTCAAGGTGAGGCGTTTGTTGATCAAGACCGACCAGGCCTTGGCACAGACTGCAGCCGAACAGAGGCCCTCCTTCCTGGTTGTGGTCTGCAAAAAGCGAATCATACCAGGTTCGTCCTTGCACAACGTCTGATGAACTGGCCCACTTGGTATCGGCCAACACTGTTAGTCTCATTGCCGGCCTTGCGACTCCAACAAAACAACCACTGTATGCTGGCATTGCCAATAACTTCATTGAGGCTGAGTATTAGGCACCGCTCGGAAAGTGCTTGCCACGATGAGAATCTAGGCACACCAAGGCACCCATTTTTGGGGCCCATCCAGATAGCACATGCGGCGCGCCCCAGTTTGCGCTGCCGACGGGACGCCAGGTCGCACCATTGTCCGACCATGCCAACCGGTGCCATTCAGGATGACGTTTCTCTGCTCAAGTTTTGGGTATGCCCTGGGAGACCTTGCTCTTTCGTTGCGACGCTCCTCTTGGAGAACAGAGCTAGTGCAGCTGCAACAAAGGCGGTGCACGTGTAGGGGCAGCCCTTATGATCACGGTGAGTGAGATGCCTGCCTCAATGCAGTGGTCAACCTTCTGCGACATCATTCGCACGAACAAAGTCCCAGACGGCATCCCGGCCGGGCCGAAACGCAAAGGTCCTTCGACTTGTGACAAGCTTAGTGGCGCCAGACCCAGTGGATCTGGGCAGTCAGCACAACTGAGTGCAGAATCAATTGGCCATGGGTCAAAACCCCGTACCCCCAGTGAACATCCTAAAAATGGGTGGTGCACCTATCCCAAAATGGTACCATTGGTTTTGAACCTGGCCAATTCTGCTTAACAATCAACAATTGTCCAACGCTTTTCAATGGAGATCCCTTCTCCCCCTTCAGAGATCCCTTTTCCCCTGCAATGGAGATCCCTTTCCCCCCAAAAAAAAATCCGGGGGGGAAGGAATCCGCCATACAGCCCCCAAGGCCTAGAATCCTTTGTGGTGCCCCTACGCCGTGTCAAAAGGTCAAAACCAGTGAGTGGTCTTAAAAGGTGCGAGGCTGATTCTTTAGATGTCCGTTACTCGCAAAAGTCCCTGAGTTCCCGGATTGTAGTCACTTTTTGGGTTTGGTGGTCATGTTAAAAGGCGGAGAAGTTTGAACGTTTTGTTGGCCAACCCGCTCAGGAAGTAGGTTTTGGGAAAGCAAGTAATTTTGACCGTGTTCCCATTTCAACGCATCCACCAGGGATGGTTCATAGGTCGTCATTTTGACACAACCTCCACATGTGCAGCGCCCAAAAAGCTCATTGGCCCTTTTAGCAAGTGGTTATGCCTTTTATGACAATCTGAGTCAAAGTCAGTAGGTCTGACTGGTTTCGGGGACGAGCAAAAGAGCAGTCGTTGCCCCGGGTCCATTGAAACAACGAGCTTTCTGGTTTCCCCAGCCAGGTGCTGCTTAGTGGTGGCTGTACTTGGTTTTACTTGGGTTCCAGTGAGGCCGATAGAAGCCGTTGCAACCGTGTAAGAACCCAAAGTCAATGGGTGAACTTGACTGCTACTGGGCAACGGATCTTTAGACTTTAACTTTTGGGTAAATCAAGTTGGGTTTTCCACTGAGCCCCCAAAACGTATCACTTTTTGCAGGGGGGGCAACAGCAACCAAGTGAAGGGGGGCGCTTCTCACATGGTATGTCCACTCATTTGTTTTTCCAGGCGGACGCCGCCAGCGCCGCGTCGCCCGAGGCGAACGTGGTGAGGCGCACTTCGGTATGGGGCGATCGCTGGGTTTGAAGACGAGTGGCTTCCGCTGTGGATGGACAAAATCCATTCACCACGAAATGAAACCATGGTTGCAACTTTCATTTTTGTTGGGTATTTGCAGAGTGATTGAATCATTCCAGCGTTTCTTGGATGGTGCAGGGGGTTGGGTTGTTAAGCCTTTGTTTCAGGATTGCTACATTCTTCCGCCTTTGAAATGGAGGGTTCAGGCTATGTCCCACCTCTGCGTGCCATTTAGCTTGACTTGGAACCTTGAAGTCAATTCGGATTCGGCTCGGTGCTGAACGCAATATTTGTTCCTCGTGTTGGTTCTCGTGTGGGTTATTTGCAGCCAGCCTTACTCACCCATGACTCAAGCCACAATCAAAACCCGGGTAGTTTAAGGTAAGGGACAATCCCAATCGGAACTGCGGCCGCCCTCCTGATTGTTAAACGGTTTTGGGTCCTTTTTCATGTCAGGTTTTGATTATGACTCGCTTTTCACCGCTTTTTACCCTCCGCCCCTTGGGAACCCTACCTGCCAAAGCCTCCCACAAGAGTGACCCTTCGTCCACCCTGGACCTTCAAAGTGCTAGAACCCATTCTTGCCGGGCTAGGTTGAGGGTCCATGTAGCTTCCAACTGGACAATCTTCCAACAACGATGCCTCTAGCTCACACAGGAAGAAAGAAGCAACTAGAACTGTCTGCTAAAAGGTTCAGGTCCTTTGGGCAAGTGAGAAGTAACATGAGCGGCAAAATAATTGCTATAGTTTATCCCCGTAAGGGGTACTGGGATACAGCGACTGTATAGCCACAGAAACAAAGGGGTATATACTTTTTTTTTCTTCTGCTGGGTCCTGGCAGTGGTTGAACGTCCCTCACAGCACCACAACTTGCTTCTATAGGGCCTTTTGTTCGAGCTACCGAGGTAATCCTTCCTGAAGTGGCCCAGTAATCACAGACCTGGGAATCACACTTTGGCATACAGCGGAGGTGTTTTTTCCCCCGCAACCATATCCCCCCCCAAAAAAAAGCAACACAAATGAACAAACAGAGCAACCAAAACAACAGAGGAAAAGAAGAAAGTCCATGAGTCATGTTCCCTTTCCTTCCACACATCCAGAATGGTTCCCCGTATTTCAGGCAACCCACACTTCGAGGCGTACTATAGGTCACTTCGACCGCGGGTCCCTCATGTTGTTTTTCCAATTTTTGGCCTCCAAAAGCGGCGTTTCTGTTGGGCAACCCACCCCCTCCCACCCTCCCCCCATGTTTACTCTACTCTTGAAATCGCAAGTTTACCCTGCTAGTGGCACACATGCACAACCCCCCAAGGGGCGTAAGCGCCGGGTCTGCTGCATGCACCCAATAGCATCCGGAGCTTGCGAGCTGCAAAGCAGCCTGCGCTATCAACCTGCTGTGGAATGTTCAAAGCAGGCTTCATGTGCACACGATGGCCCAACTCAGAAGAACACAAAACTGTACTGCAAGCGTTTGGCGACTGCTTAAAGATCCAAACCGTGGCTAGCAACGCTTGACGTCATCAGCACTGGGCCGGCCGAAATTCCGAGAACTCGTCTGGCGAACGCAACCTGTGTCTCTGGCGGCCGGAGGAACCAAGCAAAAAGCAAACAATCCCGCAGAAGAAGCTATCGGTACGGGTATGCCGGTATGCCTGTGACCGTTTCGCTGGAGACATGCCTTTCTCGCCAAGGATATACAGGGCTTCAGTGTAAGGGTCTGTGCAGCAATGAATCACTGGGTATGGCAACTGCCTGGACCCTCAACCTAGCCATAAGAATGGGTGTTGTATATGTATATATGTATATGTATGTGTATAAAATATGTGTATGTATATGTTGCCATTGCCCCATTTGTTTTAGTGATTTCAACCATCTACCTGTAAGCGGTGGCCATTTCCTCTTCAAAGACGGCCCCCATAACAAGTGGGCCTGGCCATCGCCCCGCGCCCCCCCCCCCCCCCACCCACCTACCCACCCACCCCACATACTTTTGGTTGCTGATTTCCGTTTTCCTTGCAGGTGCTCAAATGGAATGGCCCCTACAAGCCATCCCCCATGGATTCCCTGGGATTATTTTGTTTCTCATTCCCTACCTATCGCACCGGCAAGAAAATATGGCAGCAATTGTTGGGTAGCCTGTCCAATGGAACCCACCAGAGAACTGGTCCCTTTTAAAGGAAGATCGTCCCTAATAGTTCCCAGAGATGTATAAATAGTTCCGGCCATGGTGCCCAAAACAGAAAATTGGTTTACACAGGCCCACGCGGCCGCAAAAATGGTCCTATTCAAACCCTTTTTAAGTGTCCCTTCCATGCGACTATAGGTGTCCTTTTTAGGTGAGCCTGGTTAAACATAGATGGGTTCCACTGGTTTAGATGTGTTTTGTTCCATGTACCAGGGAAACCCATCGATTTTGTTCCCAAAAAGGCTCACCTATGAAACTGCCACCAGGTTTGGCCCCCAAGCCCCCTCCCCCCCGTCCCCCGTTTCCCGCGCGCGGCTCACGGCTCGCTCGGAACTGCCCCCAGGTGAGCCACAATCAAAACCCGGGTAGATGAAGGTTAGTAAGGGACGATCCCAACCATACATAGCTGCGGATATCCGCCTTCTTAGTTCTTGAAGCATGGTTCCGGGATTACGACCATTTTAGTACCGATCGGTTTTGAGAAAGCGACTCAGGTCCTCGAAGCAGGTGCTCTGCGTCGCCGTTTGCTCGGCGGGGCTGTGCTTCGCCACGCTGCCGGCCTTTCTTCACGGCGCCAGGCCCAGCGAACTCGATAAGTCGAGTCGGCTGCCGGTTGGTCGGTAGGGAGTGAATTCGACTTTCCATATTTTTCCGGGGTTTAAGGTGGAAGGAACGAGCAGTTTTGGGGATTCCCTGAAAAATGGGAAACCAGAAGATATGGATGATTTATAGAAGCATTCCCTCAAAGGGAAACCCGAAGGATGATTTATAGGGGTGAGTCCATTTCTCATCCTGCTGAGAACCAGCAAGTTTAACAGTCCCGGCTCACTCCCTGAGTTCCGAGACTTTTAGGGGGCGAGGATGTTGGTGAACAAACAGTGCTTGAGGTGTTGCCCCGTTTCCGGCTGGTTTGGGGGCCACCGGTTTGGTTGGTTTTTTGCATGTTTGTTTTTTGGTCGGCTGTCCGCAAGATGCGGCCAGGGCAAAACCAAGACAAGCCAAAAGGCAGCCAAGGCAAGCCAAACCACCTTGTTCTTTTAGAGGCTGGCCTCATGCCGGTTTCCTATGGTTGTCAGCGGCCAACAAAAAGAAAGATCGCCCCTCCCCCCCAATCTTAATAGATGGGCGAATGGCGCCTAATGGTGCCCAATAAGGTCTATTGGGTTCCATTGTGGGCCCCTTGGGAGATTCTACAGTTGGCGAACCCGCGGCCCTTGACAACCGCAGGAGGACGTTTTTCCCTAGACACCCAGTGGTGCTCTCTGTTCTTTTTTGTTTTTGAGGCCCTTGTAACATAACACCACAACCAAAAGAGTGCCAATCCCTTTTTCCCCACTGAGCGTCTGGTTTTTTTGTTGTTCCTAGCCCGTGCCTAGTGGTTGCATTTTTGAAGTCTCAAACTTTCTCTTGATTCCCATGCTGTTCCTTGATTTTTGCGAAACAGGACCCCCAAAACAGGTAAGAGTTTTTGGGGGTCAACAGAAACATTCAGTTGAAGTGACACATTCCCAGCTGTTTCTTTTAGTTGTCCAATCCCAATAGGGGCTAACGGCGCCTAGTGTCTTTTCTTTTGTGTTTGAGGCCCTTTGCAGATGAGGCCCTTTTAAGATCAACACCTATTTTCCAGGTGTCTGGCCTGTTGGAAGAGAAGAATCCCTAAAGAGAATGGGAGGGTGGAGCTAGAATTGATTCCCAGTAATTAGGCCCCATAGGTGCCCTTTTGAGGTTAGTTTGGTTCAAAATAGATGGCACTGGTTTAGATGGGTTTTATTCCATTTGCCAGGGACACCCATCTATGTTTTTGCGTACGCCGTTGGAACCGGCGCTGGAGTTTTGAGCCGTTTTTGACACTTTTGCATGAATCACTTGGTTTTTCCTTGCATTTCAGCGTGGGGGGGGGGTTGGGGGGGGGGGTTCGGGGGGGGGGGCTGATAAGCATCCATGTCTGGTAAGCATCCATGTCTGGTAAGCGTTCACTGCTTTGATCCGGGCTCAGAGTCTTAAGCAGGCTGTCGAATTTTCCAGGTTTTCCATGGAAGTGCCATGCTGGTTTTTCAAAAGCTTCGGGGCTTAGAAGCCCGCCAAGGCAGACTTCAGCTGGAGCAGTTGCGCCTCAAGGGCCAGATAGAAGTGGACGCAACAACAATCAGAAAACTGCACATAAGCAAATCGAATCCATCTTGGGCTGTCCCTATTCGGGCTTGGCAGGAACGGCATGGACAGCAGGCTCTGCCACCATGGTTTGATGTGCACGTCAGAATCGGAGGAGCCAAAGAACGCGGCTCTACTGGCAAGATTCTGATGTCACCTTTGCCATACGTGTTGTTGAAGCCATCGGCAAGGCCACCTACCGAAAGCAGTTTAGATGTGATGTCTTCTGACTTGATTTCCAAAGTCAGGCCAGGGGCCACTGTCTACGGGGATGGTGCTCGCAGCTGGCGCAGTGCATGTGAAGACGCAGGTCTTGAGTTCTTCCAGGTTCGACATTGCCTTATGGAGTTCAGCTGCCATTTCTGCACGGGAGGCCGCACAAAAGTCGCTGGAACGCAGGCTCTGGACTCATGCTGGCGTCGATTAAAAGAATACTTGCCGCGAGAAGTTCAGGCAAAACATGTGGGAAGCAAGCTGGTGAATCCAGCTCTTCATGAATACGTTTTTTCATGGCAATGGCGCATGAACGCAGGCAAGGATCTGTGGGCTGCGTTGCCATCTTTAAACCCTTAGAAAGCATGAACAAAAGCGCCGCCCTCAGTGCTGGGGAGGGTTTGTTTCTAGGCCGCCGCTTGAATCTGCCTTGATGTTTTTTGCACTTACACATTCTTTCAGAACGTGCCAAAAACCTCAACGTGCCAAAAACCTCAACGCCGGTTCGCGCGGCGAAGCCTTATGTTTTTCCAAAAGGTCACCTATGTAAGGCCCTTTTAAGATGAGCCAACCCATGAATTGCCCGTTCAGTGTTGGCGCCAGGTATTGTGCCCCCCTTCAAGATGAGGGTGATCCCTCGTGGTGTCCCTTTTGTTGGTTTTGTTTTGTGTTTGAGGCCCTTTGAAGATGCGACCCTTATAAGATCCACCAATGGATTCCCAGTGGTTTCAGCTGGTTGGCGCCAGGTACTACGAGTGCGGCCAGCCCTTTGCGAAGGCCACTGCGGCGTACCTGGCCGACGCCCCACAGGCGTGGGGCTGGACTGGACGTATCTCACCTAGTTGCCCAGTCGATTTCGCTTTGTTTTTGACTTTTGTTTCTGAAAGGCTCGCTTTAAACCCAGTGGGTTGCTTCCTTTTTCCTTTCTTTTTTGGACGGGTTCACTGTAAACCTCAACCAACCAGAAAAAGGATGCCAATTCTCTTTTTTGCCCTGGAAATTCACTGGTTGCATCTGAGGTAAGGTTTTGACCCCGTGGTTGGTATGTAAGGGGAAGCCAGAAGGATGCCAAGCACGTCAAGGGATGGTTAAATCAGACGCTAGACGTATAGGGATAACCGAGGGAGCCCTTTAGAAAGGACGAGGAACTGGGCCGTGACACCTATCCCACCCAAACCATGGACCAATAGTTTGTCAGAGCCAAAAGCAAACAGCCCCTTGGGGTGGGAAACTGCGACCTCCACCCCACTGCCTTTTCGGAGGACCCAAAACCAATCGAACAAGTTGCCTCACTCAGGACGAAAAACGAATCGACCTGAAACGATCTTTGGGTTTTCCCCTCTTGGCCTATTCTTAGTTAGAGGCATGATATCTTTTCCCATCTCATCCTTACCTGCCTTCACTAACATCTTGATTAAGAGGCAGGAGATACAAGGATGATATTTTAAAGGGAAAATACATGGCTCTCTCTTTTCATATCTGCCGTCTCTTGCCTAGTCTCTGAGCTGCGAGCCGTGGATATGAAGGGATATGAGAGAGAATGAATACACAAGCGAATGAATCTTCCCTTCCCCTTCCTTCCCTCTTTCCCATTCTCGTCTATCACCGTCCACTCGCTTCTCTCCCTTGACCGTGTCAACGAGAACTTGTCCAAGAGCGAGTTAGGGAAGGGAGAGATAGGTGAGTGAGGAGGTGGCATGCTGGTTCCACTCGCTTCGCTCGCTCTTTCCCACTCCCAACCGTCCCACCTTTCTCTTACTCCCTTCGCTCGTCTCACCAAATCCCAAGGTGTTACACGGTTGTAGCTGGAGAACCTTCCTATGCCCAAAAGTGCTTCAGAACATTCAGGACCGTGTGCAAAAGAAACAAATCGACTGGGGGTGACGGATTGCTCGCCCATTTACACCTGGAGGTATAGAGCCTCGGGGTACCTGTTTGTTCGTTTCAAGCTGTTGTCAACCCGAGCAACCCATTCGGGCATGTTTTGTCTAGGCAACCCTGACACATTTTTTGGAAGATGTTCTCCATGAACATACACACTTAGTTCTGTAAGGACTCTCCAAGAATATACGTAGCCATGAGCTTCAAGGACACGGGATATTATAAAGGGCTAAATGCTCATGACATTGCTTCCTCCGATATTGACCGCGAAGTTTGGTCTTTAACCGCCCCCAACTCGATTTTCAGGTACTGAACGGCTTCACTTTGACGCTTTCCACCAAGGGCGATTCGGGCTAGTCAAGGGGTGCAAACAGCGTGGCCACGAATTGACACCCATGAAGCATCGCTAGAGGTCCAGAAGAGAAGTTCACACCAGGAAATCTGAACCCAGCAGATAGCACCATTTTGAGGTTGAGCGCAAAAGGCCATTTGAGTAGGTGGTTCTAGTTGGTTTGGGCATTCTAGGAAAGGCCTATAACCGTTGCGGTGGAAGAACCCGTTCTGAATGCGAAGCGGTTCGGTTTCGAGGCTCAGCTGACTCAGGTCTGTGTTGGGCTGCGGATTTTGGGTGACCCTCCCTTTGGGTTTGTCTCAAAATAGGGCGCCTCTCAAAATAGTGCAGATTACCCCCTTTACACTGACCCCCTTCAAGAACAAGGGACCTGTTCTTAGGCTCTTACAGGTTCCGATCGCTGGTGCCATGTCTGTTTGGTTATGCGGGTATGTGTCAAACTGGGGTACCCCGCAACTGGCGGTATTCCATGGTATTCCTGTTGGTTTCCCTCAAAACCGCCCCAGAAGGCGTACCCTCACGCACCCATGTACACCACAGGAACAGTAGATGACACCATTCCCTTGATTTCAGTAAAGAGGAGGACAAAGCCATGGGAAGACAATATGCGGGTGTGGTTTGCTTGAAGATACCCCTTTTGGAGTGGTTTTACAGGGAAACCAACAGAACACCGAAATCCTTTTGGGTCCGTGTTCACCTTTGAGATGAACCATACGGGTGTGTCTTTCTTTTTCAGGGCATGCTATATGGATGGCTTCAAAAGAACGAAAGGCGAACCACCCATTTTGAGGCTTCTTCATTTCGAGACGCAGCAAAACTTGTGAGCCCATTCTTGGACTTGACAGCGCCGCGCCATTGAACTTTTTTATCCGAGGAAGCCATAGGGGATCAACACAAATGGGAATGGGTCAAATTTAAACCACCAATGCCCTCAGTGCACTTGGCCAGCCGCAAAGAGAAAGTCCAGCGCCTGGGGATAGGGCTGTGGCTCTATGGTACCGAAATGACACCTGGGTAAATGGAACCAAAGACTAAGACCTGCTTGAATTTGGAGCCATACCCAGCACCTGGCTTCCATTTGCTTAAGAATATTTATTATTTTCCCCTGTTGGTTTTAAAGGTAATCTATCACTACTGCAAACATGTTTGTTTTTTCCTGGGGTCTTCCCCAAATGGAAGCTGGGGATAGGCGGAGCTGGCGGTGGCTCTGTCCTGGACTTTGTGCGCGCTGCTCTTCGCCTTCGCCATTAAGGCCATCCCCTTCGTGACCGAAACGAAGAAGGCGCGGTCTCGGGTCCACTTTTGGGTTGACATCCCCGGGTAAGAGATCTTCATGGGTGACCTCATTGTAAACCCCTATCGTTATAATGTGTCCAGACCAGTGCTGCCGCCAGAAATGACATCAGCGACATCAGCCGCTGTTTCTCTATGGCTATGCCTTCGGGCTCGGGGAAAGCCTGGCCAGGGGGTTCCTCCAAAATGGTGTGTTTTGAGGTAGAATGTGACTTTATGGCTATTTGGTACGGATCCTTGGACTTAACTGTTTGGTTGGAAGAGGTCGGATTTTCCGAATTGGGCCCACAAAAAGTTAAGCTTTTTGCATAGGGGTCCACAGCAACCAGGTTTGGTAAACTCCCGCGACCTCATTTGAGGGGATCTCTACACATTTGGCGCGCAAGGAAAATGGTCAAGAGGCAAGCCCTAAAATTGGATCGCCCAGACCAGCGATTCCAAGTCTCTTTGAGATTCAAAGGGAAAATGGCGATGGGTTGGCTACTATAGTGGCTTGCCTGGGATCCACTGGGCATTGAAATTCAAGGGCTAAGCCAACTTGCGGCCAGGAGCTGACTTCAAAAGAAACGTGGTTCAGGGATCGGTCCCTGAAATATATCTTGTTCTTGAACATTGCAATGTTTGAAGGGACATCGTGTAACTTTTGCGCTTGCGCTACAATTCGTTTGAATTGTTTCAAAACGCTCTGCTTTCTCAAACATGTGCTTCAAACCGATGGAATTGTTTTTGTTTTTTTAATACTTGACATTCATTGCCGCAATGATTTCAATTGAATCTTGTCGCACCGTCAAGTAAGCCTTTGCATCTTTTGTTTGAGAGAGTGTCCTCAAGGGTTTATTAAAAGGCGAACCCGGATAGCCACCTGTTATGTCGGGTGTTTGAATGTTATCCTTCCAGCAATCTGGTCGAGTGGAGCTCTGCGTTCTTTTTCTTGAGGGCGTTTCCCTTCAAAGTCGACGACCAAGAAAAAGGGCCGCATTTTCCCATGGCCACTGGGGGTCTGGGGTGATTTGTCTTGATTGCAGGCCGCCATTCACCCATTCTGGGGTCGGCGCATTTACTTTCTGTTTTAGTTCAATCTAACATGAATCAACATCTGAACATCTCCATAATTTTCTGTCTTGCGGCAAACCACATACGGAATGAAGCAGCATTTGAAGATCCAACCATTTTCAGCCTTTGCGTACCCCACACTTGTGCCGAAACGAACGTGCCACCTGCTTCCAACAGGTGGCCCTAGACCTGAGGCTGCGAGTGAAGAGGCGACTCCCGCCCTCTCGCCGCGAGAGTCGCCGCGTTTTGTTGTTTCGCGGCGAGCCGCGGTTTGGGTTTGAGGGGACTTGCTCCAAACCGATTCGGTTACACCCTCAACCATCCAACTGGTGGTCTAGAAAATCGCCGCGGGTCATTCCCACACTCCTTACTGAGCAACCTGGGCAATTGGACAGTTGCAGAGGGCCCCCAGCCACAAGGACGCATGGAGGCGTGTTGGATTCTTGGCATTTCGGGCTTAGACTCCAGCAGCTTGGCTTTCCATCACCTGGCTGGGGTCCTGGGGTCTTGCCTCATACTGTGGATGGTTGCGAAATACGTTTCGCCCCACTTGGAAACCATGGTTGAAACCATGGCTTGTCGGTTTGTCGACATTTACAGGGGAATCGAATCCTTCCAGGGTTTCTTAGGTGCAAAATGGATTTCGCAACCATCCACTGTAGCGCCTGAAAGGGGACTGAAAAGCCGTGAGCCCCAAACATGGGACGTGGATGGACAAAATCCACTTCGCATCAGTTGGTAGATGTGATGTATCCTATATCTTTATCCAACTCGTGGAAGATGGAGTCTGTCCGTCAGTCTGCCCGGAAGGTCCAAACACCCTCTAAACGCGGGGAAATCCCACCTTTGGCCAAGTGAGTCGGCAATCTTCAAGCTGTGCAGTGACATGGACAAGAGTTGCAGCTGAAACCTAAAAGAAAACACATCGAAGGTGTTTGAAATGACTCTATGTGTCCAGCCCAGCCGCACCCCTTTTTTTTTACGGCGGGGTTAGGGCGCAGCAAGGCGATGCCAAAGTTGTCAAAGGACCTTGAAATTTTTGGGTTCCTACCAAACAACCGCAACAGAGAATGGAAGCCTAAACCCAGACACCCAGCAATGCCCTTTGGGCCTTTTTTTTGCAGGGGGGGTGGCGAGGAGTGCTCTTCTTTGTCCGTCGCCGCTGCGGGTTTGGGTAAAGATGCAAAATTAAGCCCACTACATAGGCCAAGAAGGCGGTTGGTAAACGGGGGTGTGTAGCATACGGGTCTAAACAATTAGAAGCGTACTTTAAGACCAACTTAAGGCATGATGACAAGGGGGAAAGCCACCATGTTGGGTCCCCTAAAAAAGACGCGCGCATAAGGGAATCATGTGAGTGTGTGTATGTGTGTTTGTGTGACCGAAACATTCCCCGTGAAAGAGGTTCCGGGTTCCTGAAAGGTTCAGCCAAAGGACAACCCTATGCCAAGTTGGGGTTTTCTGTTTGATCCCGGGGAATCCAGGGGGTCGTTCTAAAGATGTTGTGTACACTTGTGAAGTGCCCTTAGCTATCGGAGGTTCCCACTTGGAACATATGAGTTCCACGGTGTTCGGTGTCCAGTGGACTTGAGTGGTTCGGATTGTTTGGCAGTGTGAACCCTTCAGTGTCCTCTTGAAACCAAAGGGCAAGGTACCCCCCCCACCAAAAAATATAAAACAGACTAAAACCTTTCACACCAGAAAATAGAAAAGACGAAAACCTCAATTAGGCATACAGTAGCGGGTCTTGGGAGGCTTCTCACCCTAGCGCATTTTTCAGGGAGGTTTGGAGGTGAGCATTGCGGGGTATTTCTACTGACGTAGCTGAGTGGTAAATGTCCCACAGAAGCGCTTCCATTGGCATGGTGGGGTTGCCTCCTTGATGTCTGTTTTTTGGTCATTTTGATGAGGGTTTCATAAAGCTAGGTCCCCCAGCTGGGTGCTTTTACCCTCTTTTGGGGCAGGGTTCCCCTACTAGAATAGACTACAGGAACAGTGTACCCTTATTCTAACCTCTCTACTGGAGGACCTAGGAAGGGATTATCGCCGGTGACTTTCCCTTTTGAGGGCAGGGTGACGCCCTGAAACCGTACCCTGTTGAGATCCTGCACGCCTTTCGGGGGGTTCTTTCCGTTCCGTTCTCAGCAGGGCCCTTCGCGCTGTACATGTTTTATTTTTGGAGTTTGAACAATATTTTGCTCTGTCCCGGGAAAGGTGTTTGTGTGTGCTCTTTGTTTGGTGGGGTGGAAGAAAAATTGGGGGATGTTTTGTCCCCGGCCCCCCAGGAGAACATGCGTGGTGTGTTTGCTTTTGTCGAAACTGCGCTCTGGAGTGGTTTGGAGCGGACTGGCTGGGGTTTGAGAAGGGTTCCGGGTTGCTGTTGGGGCCTGTTGGGGATACCACCTGGGCTTATTAAGAGAGGGGTTTGCTAAATAGACCATGTTTCAACGTTTTCTGAAAAAGACATCGAAAGGGGTAAAAAGAAAGAAAGACAGACAACAGAAAGCACAGCAGACATCCAGACTCTCTATTTGACACACTCGGGGAGGTGTGGCTGGTGGCTGCTGTGGCTGCTCCTGGTGGTTCCGCTCTTCTCCTTCCCCTCGATCCTCTTTGCAGTGGCCCAATCGCTGCCCAAGCAGAGCCTCCGTTGCAAAGCAGCGGTCGACCTACAAGTTTTGGAGGGGCCTCTTGTGCAAAGCCCATGGGTTCTCTTGGTGAATTAAATGGGCGTTCATGTCAAAGGGGAGGCTCACCCAAAACTTTGGGAAGCGAAGATTTCCCAGGAGTGAGAATTGACCAACATTGCAAATGAGGCGTGTTTTTCCTGAGGATTATTCTTTTTGTGAGCCAACCTAAGGGATCCCTTTTCGCCTCCCATTCTATGTTTCACTCAGGCTCCCAGGCTCTACCTTTTGAGCAAACGGCGCGGGTGAACCAACACGGGAAGTCTTGGACCTTGTGAGAATCGAGCTGTGGCAACGTGTCGAAACATTACACTCGCTGGTTTGCATTTCCATTCCTTCTGTTGATAACTCCTTTTGGTTTCTGTCAGGCTTTGCCAAGCAAGTCTATCCCGTTTGTTTTGAACAAATCCACGGGAGGCTGGGACTCGCATCCCAAAGAATCAAGGAGCCCTGGGACCTGACAAGGGGCTTTGTTGTCGGCGCAGGGGGTTCGCTGCACTTATACTGTATATGTTGCAACCACTTGGGTTTTGGCCAAACCAGTCCAATGGGGAGCAAAGAGCATCATGCGTGCGTGTCTGAAGGAAGGGCCTCTTCAGGACCACAAAAGGGCCTGGTTCCGTTCTGATTTTCCAACTCGAGTTTCTTTGTTTCCCAGTTCCATTTCCCTACGCAACAAAGCGGAACCAGTTCAAACAAATGGCCATGGGTCAAAATCCCGTACCCCCCAGTGAACATCCCAATCCCCACGAAAATAGGTTCTAAAATGGGTGGTGCACCTACCCCAAAGTGGGATCCCATTGGTTTTGACAACCACCGCCAAATCAACAGGGAGAACTGGAATCCGCAGTGTTTCCTTCGAATGCCCTCGTTCCATGGGACGCCTCCGTCATAGGCCGAAGATCGCCATCTCTACACGGGCGCTGAAGATCATCCACCAGGCGAGTTGGGCGGGGCTCGCGGTGGGTTTGTCTCTTCGGTTTTCCCGTGGTTTCCATTTGAGACACGGGGAAACGGGCTTCCTTGTGAAAAACACACATATACACATATAATACATTCATATGTTCCTACATACGTGTATCAATATCTATCTCTCTCTCTCTATATATATATATATATGTGCATATCATATCTGGTACCTGAAGAAGCTGCTGAACAAAAAACAAATGGCCAGAAAAGCTAGTACGCCGTTTTGGGGCCCCTGGTATAATGTCGATACATATATATAGCCATACGATAGGTACATTATATTATATACGGCTCCTTATCGACGTGAGGGCGCGCCGCACCTTGTCGTCTTGCTGGACATGGCCCTGGCACACCGGGTGGCACAGAAGTTCGCCGCTTTCTCCTCGATCTCTTCAGACCGAAGCTGGGCGTCAAAAAATGTGACCGAAGAAAAAGGGAATGGGAGCCCAGGGTGGATACGTCCCATCCTAAATGAAATTGGGGGACAGGTGACAGTGTTTGACCCCTGGACATCTCCAATGAGCATGTGCTATATGGGGAGGACTAGATGAATGGGATTCGGGGAGCAACGAAGAGCCGTACTAATCTTTTGCGTGGTTCCTCTTTGGCAGGAAAGTCGACTTTTCGGAGAGGTGTCCATGTACAATCGATTACCAAAGGTGACAATGTTGTTTTCCCATGGCCGGGATTAAACAACCCACCAGATCAGGAACCCACAATCAAGCAAAACAGACCTCTTGTGGGTTGCTTCCAACCCCTTTTTTGCCACTTCTTTTGGAGACAAATCCCTCAAAGTCAACGACCAAAGAAGATAATCATCTCTTTTTCGGCCCACCAAAGCCAGGGGTCTTCGAATGGGAGGCTCAGACGCCGGCCTTGGGAGACCAACCCAGTGACCATGACCCAACAAGCACGAAAGTGCACGGCGGTTTTTTCGAGGACCGTCAGTTTTTCCGCCTGTCCATGGACCAGCGACCCCCTTTTGCATGGACCAAACTGTATGACCTAGTGATACTTGTGTTCCTCCTTGTAAAAAAAAAAAAACACACACACACACACACACTGCTGGTCGCTCCAGAAGCGTATTGCTTTGCATTTGAAGGTTGACCATGATTTTGGGTCTTGCATATATCCTTTTCGTCGATCGGAAGGGGTAGTTTTTTGTTTTTCCGCATGAGCCCCGAACCTTAGTTGAATGAGCACCGCTTGACCTGTTTGTGGGTTGGTAAAGGTCATGACATGGATCACACTCATCCAAATGAGCCGGTTGGGTTCGCTAGATTCCCATGGGTCACAATCCCGGTCCTCCAGAGGTACTCATTGTTTTTCCTGGGTTTGGAGGGCATTCCCATTAGATGGACCAGTCAGAAAGAGTGCCACATGTTTTTTTTTTTCTCCCCCGTATGACAGCCCAGCTGTTTCCCGGTCTCTTTCGCGATTTTGGTGAATGAAGCTGCCGTGATGCCGAGGTTTGCTCATGTCCTTGCGCCTCTGCTCTGCGTGGCTGCTGTCCTTGCTCACCACCATGGTGCTCCACGAGAATTGCATCGGCGGGTGGCAGCTCAGATGATTTTTGCTTGGGCCAGAGGTGGTTTTAATTTAGCCTGCCAGGGCAGAGATCCCTTCACCTCGGTGCCCGAGAAAATACACAAGAAAGAGGTGTTGTTGTTTCTCCGGTTCTCTGAACATTTTTTGGAGCAGCTGCTTCTTCCGTTTTACAGGATGACTTTTGGATGCCGATTTGATGGACCGCGCCATTTTGACGACCACAGCAACCCTTTCGGTTGCTACGGAAGCCAAAGCTGAATGACTCGCCCAGAACTCTGGGTTGAGCCTGGGCGTTGTTGACCTTGCAGGGTGTTGAATTGGGTGAGAAGTCCAAGGTCAGTTTTGGGTGCTCCTCTCTCCTCTTCACCTAGAAGCTGTTTTCTTGGCTGGGTTTCCCTTTTGATCTTGGCCGGTTCCCGAACATCAACGCAAACAAAGGCTTTGGCTTTTTCCGGGGAAAGGGAATTTTAGAGGGTCCCTTGCTGCCTTCTAAGGAGGCACCGAACGACCCGATCTTACTACAAGCCATCCTAGGCAGGTAAGGGACCCTCAAACTACACACGCAAATCACTTGTTGCAACCCAAAATGGTTCTGGGGCTGCGGCCAACCCAGAATTTATGGGCAGGTAGGTACCCCAAGGTACAAACTTCCGTCCGCGCGACGTCAGGAAGTGGTTCTGGCACGTCTGCGACAAGTCCCACCCGGCACCTCGGCTGACTTTGCGTGTTGAGTGCGGCCCACTGGAGAGGTCTCTCTCCCCCCGCCCCCCCCCCAAAAAAAAAGAGAGCAAACAAACAAACCGAAAAGAACAGGGTTGTGGGAAGAATGTTTTCTTGTTTGTTTCCCACTTCTGTGATACCAGGAAACCTCCCCTTTCAATGGATAATGGGTCATTTGGAAAGCTTGCATTGGTATTACAGAAGTGGGTAATTCCCACAACCCTGAAAAAGAACAACTGCAGGTCTTCCCCCCCCTCCCCACCCCCCCTACCCACAAAACAGCGAAGACACCGAAACAAGATATTTTGAGGTGGGAGGTGGTGAGATGCTCTACTTTGAGGTTGACTAAATATGAAACGGAATCTGACTTCACGTTTGCTGTACCTCAGAGTCGGGCCAAGGTTTGGTTCCACCGTTTACCTGCTGAACTCTTTAACATCGAGTTGGGCCCGTGTAGAAACCCTTCCTACAGATGCATGTCTCTTCCTCCACGCCTGACTTACCTCGTCTGTTGGTTGAAAAGAAGCCATACTGTGGATGGACGAAATCCTGCACCACTTGGAAACCATGGTTGAAACCATGGTTTGTTGGTGTTTACGGGGGAATCAAATCATTCCATGGTTTCTTAGGTGGTGCCTAAGAGGATTTCGCAACCATCCACAGTAGCTCAGCCCATACCCAAGCCCATGGGAAACTGGGGCTGTGCCGCGGTGCACCCGTGGCCCGTGGACGAAATCCTGCTAAGAAACCCTGGCATGCGAGTCTCCTGCAAATGCCAAACCATAGGCTTCAGCCATGGGCTCAAAGTGGTGCGAAAAGGACTTCGTCCATGCACAGTATGGGATTGGTTCGGCTCATTGGGATCGCATTTTCTGCGGATGGGATGGCGTGCTTTCGGTTTCAAGTGGCTACTTTTGCCACAGCCCATTGGCAATATCTGGACTGCCGCAAGAAGAAAAACAAGGCCTTAGTCTTTACCCCAAACCTTGGGACCTCAGAAAGAGTCCAAACTCTGGAGATTCTAACCCCAGGTGTTCAAAGTCCTCGGTAGAGAAGAGTTTGCTGGGGGCTCCCGAAAAAAGTGAAGGATGCCCTCATAGCACACTCCAAGTGCCGAGGACCATGGGAAGTTTCATTGGTACATCTACGGGGAGCCGGTCTTGGACACAGACAGGGACTGGCGGTTGCTCGCACAAGTGCTTTCGTTGATCCTCAATGAGGAAATCTTGAAGTGGTGGTTTGGATGGGTGCTTTGGGGGTTCTCGTAGAGAGTATGGAAACCCCACCCCCCCGCCCAAACCTCCAAGCCACCAATTCAATCCACCAATTAGAGGGAAGCTGGCTCAAATTTTGTCCCATGTTGGAAGACCGACGGTTGTGTTGAGACGTGCCAACTGAATTGATTGAAGGGAAAGTCTTTGCAACTACCCCAAAACTTTGGTCGCCTCCAAAACTATGCTTATTTTCGGGTGGACTGAAGCAGAATCTGGACGTCCTAGTTCTGTGCGCCCCCTAAAAGGAATGGGTCCAACCCACACCGCTTCAAGCTGCATTGAGATTGAAAGTTCCTGACTTGACCCAGACCTCCAGGTGCGCCCGCTTTGAAATGTTCCTGTTTGCAGGGCGGTTTCCCTTGAACGTCAACTGGTGAAGTGAGAAGCGCCCTTTGTGTCCAATGGCACTGTGGCCCCTGGATTGGTTACTTCTCTTCATTTGTGGGGGGGGAGGGGGGGGGAGTTGTATTGCACGTTCCCTGGGCATGCGGGACTTCGGCTTTTTGGGCTGGGCTGAATGAGAGGGTCAAACAGCAAGGCAGGCATGGGTCTGACATTTTCTCGATTCCCAGCCACACCTTTGACACATCCCAGCAGCGAGGAATCGGCGAACCACGAAGCTTCGGGGAAGTTTCTCGGAGAAAGGTGTTAATTGCAATAGCCTTTGATTCCCTTTCTATCACCTGCCGCTTTTTGATTTGGAGTGTCAAACATCTTACCTTAAACTTACCGGGTGGCAAACAGCACATAATCAAATAGAGACAAACGTTTAAATGCCCTTCCTCGTCCTCTGTGCTCACGCAAATACGCACCCACTCACCCACCCACTCACTTATGAGCCACATCTGGGTATGTTGCAACATTGGGCAGCCCTGAGGCAACCTTAAAAAGGGAGCGAAGCTGAAACAAGCCAACCCAGCCACACGTGCTGCCGGAAGGCAGGGATCCCAGACGTTGCGCGACTAGGCAAACCTTGGTCGGTTCCCTTGGCTACGCATACAGGGACAAGGAATCACTGGGTAAACCAACCAAGAGGGGAAATTGTGTAAATGGGAACCCACCCACCCCTCCCCAGCCACCAATCGAAACTAGCAATCCAAACCAATCCAAAGCGGCATGACAGGAAGGCTGATGGTGAGTCTTGAAGTATTCCCGAAAAAAGGTACCAACTCAAAACAGGGCACGCCCATATAGGCAACCAGCTACAGGAAACGATCCAGGAAGTCCAGCTCAACTTGTTGCTCGCTCGGAGCAACCCAGATAGTCATGGGGCTGAGGGGGGGATGGCATGATGGAGAGGGCGAGCAGCCCACCTACGCCGTTGAACTCTTACCATTTCCTGGTGGAAGCCGCATCGCTTTTGAGTGTTTTTTTCTTCCCTAATTTGGCCATCCCATGTATCAAAACCCCTGGCCAAATTAGAACCAAATTAGGAGAATTGATGGGTAATTGGGTGGCCATCCCATCACGGACCTTTTGATCAACCCCCTGGCCAGGACATGTGTCAGCTGCACAGCCGTTGGTGGAGCGAGGGCCGTTGCTCCCGCGCCACCATCGAGGGTCTCGCGCCCTTGCTGCTCAGTCACTCGGCTAAAAGCGGGGGGGGGGTGGCGCGGAAACGCGGGGGTATCCAAGGGGTTGCTTTCAAAGGGACCTGGACCCTCAAACTGCCCTTCAAAGTGGTTTGCCCCAAAATTTTGGAAATTATGGGGTGGTTTCAACCATGTTTAAGGGGAGTTCGAGAGTAGTCCCCTAAACTGCTCATCCCTGTGGTGTGCTGCTTTTTTGCTTTCTTTGTGGGAGTAACTCGGAGCGAACGCACCAGGTCAGGTATCCCTTAGTTGGTTTGCATTGATGTTAGGATTTGCGCCCCTTGTGGCGGGTAAATGGGAAACCAGCCCTAACCTTCAAATTCCCGGGCTCCAAACCACCAAGACAGAAGCTGAACACGCATTCATGGACTCCACAACCCACACCGCACAGCTTTTCTGATTCTTTGCACTGCGTGATTGCTTACATGTTGCATTCCAATCACTGATGTGCAAAGCGTATCCGTATGAGTATGGTAATTTACACGCTTCACGCTGAGAGACTTTTCTTCCACATTGCAAGGTATAAGGTGCCTGTTGCCGCTATGAGATGGGAGCTATGTTACCTATTTAGACTGACCATTTTGAAGCGTCTTCCAACTTTCTCCCATGTGTTCTTTTTTTTAGCAGAGCCAACACACTGACACAGAATGGATTCTGACACAGCTAGCTGGGCAGGAGCCGACCACGGCCCTGAAATGGAGTTACCGTGGCCAAGCCGAGCCGCAAAACCTCCGCCGGTCCTGGCTGAATGTGCAAGGTGCATTGGTCTTTGGCCTTTGGCCTTTTGCTGTCGGCATTGCAACCCACCTTAAACTAGTCCTTACATCAATGAGCAACGCGCCCTAGGCCAAGATCCAGCCAAACCCAACCTTGAACCTACTGTGAATTCATCACAAAATCCAAGTCTGAGCAACCTTGCACCTTCCCTTCATCGGCCCTACGCAGCTCCGAACAGAATCCTAGCACCCAAATCTATTTCAAATCTATGATACGGGGGCTTACCCTAATCCGGCAAATTATTGAAACAAATGCACCCTAAATCAAGCTTGCCAGATGGTTTGGGCTAGACACGCAGAGGTCGATTAGACACTTCAATATTTCAGTTTGTGATGGAGCCGTGCAGCCCCAACCCAGTCCAAGACACGTGCACGTCAAGCTTGTCAGGAAGGTTGCAGCCAGCCTCACTTTGCACCAAGCAAGCCAGGCGATGCAGTCCCAAAAGTGAAGGCAAACACTTAATTTTGAGAAGGTGTTTTCCGGAAAACGGCACAACCTGTCAAGAGTTCCGGCTGCATACTTGCTCTCATGTCGCTCAGCGTCCATGCCCTTCAATTCCAGCAATTCCTATTGCGTCACTTCGTCCCTGAAGTCTCTCTGCGGGGTTCTCCAACTTTTCTGAATGTGCGAGAGCTGTCAGCGCCGGAGAGGAAGGTTTCACCACTCTCCGTGATAGTCTCCATAGCTAATCCGGGCGGTTGGCTAATGCGTAACATCACCGGCGTACTAGTTCTGGTCCTGATCCGAAGGTTGGGGAAGTTGCAGACCAGGGAGGTCATATAGTCAGCGCTGAGGAGCTACGGAAAAGTATGATGGGGTCCGAGTACACACTGTGGGTTCGGGGGTTCTGCCTTCCCACGCCTTTTTGTTGGGGTGTGGCTCTGGCGTTTTCTCCCAAGGACCCCGCTCAGGCACCCTACACAAATCAGTGTTTTGCATTAAATGAAAGGGGGGAAAAGGGGGGGGGGGGGGCGGGTCTAGTAGCCTTTGGCATCTTATTTTGCGTCCCAACCGCTTGCGAGGCTGTCAACTTGATGGGGCCAAGATGTTTTGGTGGTTGATCTCAGGAAGCGAAGAGGGGGCTTTGCCCAAGCTCGCAAGGTTTGGGGCAGCTTTCCGGCAGGCTTAAGGAGATTCGGTTCCAGGTTCGGGCTCCACGGCCCCGGCGGGGCTTCCGTTTTTTTTGCGTGGGGAGCTTGGAGCGAACAGCCAAGGGGTGGCTTTCCTAGAAACGCCCGGGGTTCAGATCCCCATCCAAACCACCAAAGGGTGACCTGAAGAAAAGGTCTTCCCTCCAAAAATAGTGCATCCCAAGAAAACACCCAATCAAAACCAACCATTTACACGGGTCAAAATTCAAATGGGGAAGCTAGCCCAAGGCAAGCTATTGAACCGGAGCCTGGTGCAACCGCTGATCACTTTGGCCACGTGGCGCTTCTCACGGCTGCCTGGCGAGAAACGCTCAAAACGTGCGACTGCAGTTTGTGGGAAAGCTGTGCCTCGTGTTGGACCATTTTGGCTTTTGTGTTTGATTGATTGCTTGCTTGTTTGCTTGCTTGTTTGTTTTTTGTTTTCTTTGTTGTTTGCTGGTTTGTTGGATCCGGTGTTGTTGTTTTTTTCCCTAGGGCTGTTGTTTTTTTTTTTTTTTTTTTTTAATAATATATATGTATATATATATTTATTTATTTTACCAGGTCTGGTGTGCTGGTTGGTTGGTTGGTTGGTTGGTTGGCTGGCCGCATCCCCAACATTTATTGGCCCTGATTGGGTGGCAATTGGGAGTTGCTTGGGGCTGGTTTAAGTGACGGGTGGCTTAGATCTTCATCAGGGTGGGTCTTGGGGTGGTTTGGGGTTGATTTAGGCGAAGCGAAGGGCTGGCATCCAGTCTGCTGTTGGGTGGGTTTGGGATTGACTTTGAGAGGATTTGGGTTGGTTTGGAGCTGATTTGTGGTCGGTGTGCTGCTGGTTTAGCAGCGGCTTTGGGGTTGCTTTAGGGTGTGGTTAGGTGAGTTGTGGTCTCGTTTCGGATCGGTTTGGGGGCGTTGCCCCAAACCACCAAAACTCGTCCACAACTCACTTAATCTCACTTAACCACACCCTAAAGCAACCCCAAAGCCGCTGCTAAACCAGCAGCACACCTCGGTTTTTTGGGTTTGGATCTGCAGAATGGACTCTGTCCATTGCGTTCAGCCATTCCCTGCAGACGCCGCCCTCTGGAACGGGCCCGAGCGCAAGAAGCAGAGGTTGGCGGAATTAGCACCATTATTTTTTCCCCCCCCCCCCAAAGCAGTGTTTGGTTCTTAAAAGGGTTGGTAGCTTTCGTTTACAAACAAACAAGCCGTGACCTCAGCGCCCGGCCGAGCTCGAGTTTTCAGGCTGCAGCCTGGGCCCGATCTCGCGAGAGGGCGACACCTGGAGGCGGGGATTTCCGTCTTCGAACTCGCGGGGGTCAACGCGGCTCGGTACCTGGTGGCCTTCTCAGCGGCTCAGTGGTTCAGCTGGCGCCCTTTCTCCCTCTTTTTTTTTGGGTGGCCCCACGAAAAGTGGCCCAAGCCCCAAAAAGGGTTCCCTTTTTTCCCCAACAGCTGAAAGCTTTGGGGTGAGACCAGCCCAGATAGGCTGCGGGGTGGTCCGGGGCGGCCCTGGGGTGAGGTTCCACCAGGGTTTTCACCAGGGTTTTACGAGGTTCTGCGAGGGGTGGAGCGAGCACTAAAAAGAGCACCGCATGCTGTTGGGGATATCTCCTGAGCTTATTTTTCCCAGGGTCACTGAACAACTGAGGCAGGGAATGAGAAATGGAATGGCTAAAGCTATCACCTGCTTCCTCTATTCGGGAATCCCCAAACGGTTCATTCCCAACACCCGGAAGGTCATTCCCTACGCTGAAGGGAAACGGAGAGGACCGTTGTGGCCCTTTTTCAGGCCCCCAAATTTTGAGACACTCATCTACGGAAGTAAAGAGGATGATATGGGCAACCCTCACCAAACTACCACCAGGAATTGGGGGGGGGTACTCACCAAAATCCAATGTCACTGGGGGGTTCCAATGAAACATGTAAAAACGTAAGCTTGTCCCAAGTGAGCCATTTTAAGCAGGGTGGCAGTCCAAACCCAGAAACACCTTGAGGCACAGCAACGGTCCTGAAAGTTGCAGCTTTCCTGTTGTTCCCTTTGCTTCCACTTTTTATGAACCTCAAAGCACCTACACACAAAAAAGACAGACCCACATGTACTGTCCTTCGAGCTCACCAATTCACGGGCAAAACGCACGAACGCTATGATGTAGGTTTTTACGTGGATCCAATTCTGACTTCCTAGCTTGACGCAGATGCGTGGGGGCCAGTCCCAACCAAGGTGCGGAGATCCGCCCTAGTCATTTTTTACAAGGCCTTGTAAGTACCAGATGTGGATGTCTCGTGTGACTCTTAGCGATTCCATTCGCGAAGGTTTTGCATTCAGGAAACCATACCCGGTAGGTAGCGGGGTTTCCATCGCCCTTTTCGAAGCCAATCCATGTGCTAAAATCAATATTTGTTGTTCTCCCCTGTTAGTTTTAAAGGGAATCTATCACTGCTGGATTGTTTCCCAGGGGACTTATGCAAATGGAAGAACCAGAAGGAACATGTTTGTTACTTAGGGTGATGGATTCCCGTTCCACGGTAGCGCTGGTTAGACGGGTATCGTCTGGTATGGTGGGTTGCCCACATTTCTTTTGCCATGTGCAAAGGGTCTGAACCGGGGAAATCGAGTCCATTTGTGACATGGGGGTTGATCAAAAGGTCCTTGACATAGGATGACCATTCGGGGAAACCACTAAACGATGATATGATCCCCTAAATGGGAAAAGTTAGCCATGCTCATTTGGGCCAGGAATATGAATCAACCCCCACATATAGCTACGTATGGTGGTTTTAAGATGGGATAATTTACATCACCCTAAGTATCTCTGTATTCCTTTTATAGTGTTTCTTCTTACGTGTCCAGAAGAAACTATTTCGGGCTGTGTGGTTTCCCTTTTGTTTTGGTGAGACTAGGGTACATGAGCGTTTTGGGGTTGTTGCAGGGGGTCTTGAGCCCACTTGGCTACCTAAGTAGAATTAACCCCAGAAATGATTTCTCCAAAGGGAAGGCGTGGCGGGAAGCCATACGTCTTTCCTCAGGGCCAGATGGATTTTGGGGGCCCCGGGGACCCCACAACATGCTTGAGGCCTCAGGGGCTTGGGAGCTTGGGGCCTTTAAGTTTGAAGGGGGTGATGCGCATTGGACATGGGATTGATGCCCACCACCCATTTGCAGGTTGTTTGAACTCATTGAGGTTAGAACAAACTCCCTTGTGTCCCCTCCCTGCTCGTCTGGTTGCATTGGTTTTGTCTGCTCAGGACCTATAGCTGATGTTTGTGACCATGTTGCATATTTGTCCTTGGCCAACATCATGAACGCACAACAGAAGAACAACTCCTAGGTTCAATCTTGAACGTTGGCCTGTTTAGCCTTGAGGCAGAGTAAGCCGGGGCATGTTTTGGTCACACCATATGGTTCGAGGAGTCTCCTTTGACTCCAGGTGTTGTTTTCGCTTCTCCTCGCCCCTCGTTCTCTTGGCCCGTTTTTAGCAAACGGACCCCTCAGAATGGAAGTGGAAGCGGCCGCCCGTTGAGAAACGCCCCAGAGTTCGGGCTTGAGGAAGCCCCCCCCCACCCCCGCGCGTGTGACAAAAGCGCCTCAGTTGCCCTTCAAGCGCACCTCCGGATCTCTGGACTCAACGCGGCAGCACGCGCTGCTCACGACGCTCCTGGCGACTCGTTCGATGACTCGTGGGTGCGTCGCTTTTTTTTTGGAGGGAACCGGGACCCAACAGAAGTGGGTGAAACCGCCGGTTTTCCTCTAAACCAACATCAGAAAGGGTAAACCACCCTCAAAAGAGACAACCTATGTTTGTCTATGTCAAAATAATTAGCAGTCCTTCCCTTTTTTGTCGTGTAGCTCACACAGGAAGACAGAAACAACTGAAACTGTCTGCTAAAAGGTTCAGGTCCTTTGGGCAAGTGAGAAGTAACATGAGCGGCAAAGTAATTGCTATAGTTTACCCCTGTAAGGGTTACTGGGATACAGCGACACAGAAACAAAGGGGTATATACACTGTTTTCTCCTGGGTCCTGGCAGTGGTTGAACGTCCCTGACAGCACCATGGACAACTTGCTTTTACAGGGCCTTTTTTCGAGCTACCAAGGTAATCCTTCCTGAATTGGCCCAGTAATCGCAGACTTGGGAATCACACTTTGGCATACAGCGGAAAGCTTATTTTTTCCGCAAGCATACGCCGGACCTCCCCCCCCAAAAAAAACAAAACAAACAGAGCAACGAAAACAACAGAGGAAAAAAGAAAGTCCATGAGTCATGTTCCCTTTCCTTCCACACATCCAGAAGGGTTCCCCGTATTTCAGGAAACCCATACTTCAAGGCGTACTATAGGTCACTTCGACCACGGGTCCCTCGTGTTTTTCCCATTTTTGGCCTTCAAAAGCGGCGTTTCTGTTGGGCAACCCGCCCCCTCCCACCCTCCCCATGTTTACTCTACTTTTGAAATCGCAAGCTTACCCTGCTAGCACATGATGGCAGCCATCTTTGGGTCCCCTCCTGTCCACGTATGGAACCCACCAGAGAACTGGTCCCTTTTAAAGGAAGATCGTCCCTAATTGGTATGGGTTTTGAATTAGAGGAAACTCTTTTGTGGACCAATTTCTGGATTCCTGAATTTGCTGGTTTTGTTTTGGAAGCAATGAGGTTCATTGGACTGTCAGCACGACCATCAGCTTTTGAGTGCTGGCAGGTTACTACTCACTTGCGCAGTCGGAAACGCGGGAGCAGCCCTTGGACTTGCGTATCCCAAATCGGGTTCGCCCGAATCACTGCTGGCTTCCTGGGGGAAAAATGATGGAGGCTCCTACAAGTCATCAGGCAGGGAATGCATCGACGCAAGCCACTTGTTTTGAGGGGACGGGACCCACTTGTTCTGAGGGGACGGGGACCCCTGCTAAAACTGCGGACCCATTTGGGATTTGATTCAGGATAGGGGTTAAGGGGCCCCTAAGCGGCCGCGGGTTCCCGATGGCTTCCCTTGAAAAAAAAACACAAAGCAGAGAACTGTGTTTTGTTTTAAAGAAGTCCGTGGCGAACTTCCCTTAAAAAACACAAAACACCGAAAAAGTGGGGGGGGGGGGGTTCCCGAAATAAGCCCGCGGCTCACCCCGACCCCGACAGCTACCATTCCGGATTTGCCGGAGCGGCTCCTGTGAGCAGAGACCCCAGATCTTTCAGCTGTTGTCCATTTGGAGAGGACGAGAAGGGGGCCCACCCAATATCCACTTTTTTCCTCACAACAAAGAAATACGCTATTGAACCAACTGCAAGTAGCATGATGAATGAACACCCTCCCAAATTGTTGGTGGACAACAACAATCCACCTGCCCACTATTTCGGGTCTTTTTTGATCCATTTGCTGTTTTTTTTCACACCCAAAGGGGTCTGTCGTTTTTAAGTGGGTACCCTTTTTTGTTAGCTTTAAAGGGAAACCGCAGGGAAAGCGAAGCATTTCACTCAGGAGACCAGCATCTTCTGGGGTCCTCTTGTGCCATTGGTCAGCGCCTGCGTGGTGAGTGCCATGATCGCCAATCTGCCGCCCGCCCGAATCTGGAGGTGGATGTTGGGAGTTCAGAGCCACCGCCTTGTCGGTATTCATGGAGACCAGGAATAGAACATTAGGAAATTGTGCAAATAACAATATTCCAGTGGAGCCAAGTTGCTACTGGGTAGCCTTCGCCATCCTTCGCCCTTTTGTTGTGAAGGAAGGGTGGTTCCCAGCATGGGGAAGTGGAATCAGGTTCAGGGGGCTGAGTGGTTCGAGTGACTCTCAGCTTGGATTGCCTGGATCTTGGGTCGAAAGGCTTGGATCTGTGGCCATGTTCTCTTGCTGACAGGTGTCGCTTGGCTTTTCTTCTGTGGCTTGGGTCGCTTGACATCGCTGTCGTTGCCATGGAAGCCACCAGAGAATGTAGCCTTGTACAGGGAGATTGTCTTCCAGGACCCTCAGGTTCCACGTCCGACAGGGGCAACTGGTTCAACGCTTTGCCGTGTTCATCCCTTCCTTCAAACCAGCAAGAGACGTGCCGGGAGAGCGTGGATCAAACTGGGTGAAGTATCCTTTTGGTTGCCCTCCACCACCCCAACAACTTGCTGGTGCTCAGCAGGGAATGAGAAATGGAATGACCCATATAAACCCTTCGTTGTGGTTTCCTTTAAAGGGACCCTGGGTTCATTCCCACCCTACCTATCGCACCAGCAAGAGAATGCAGCTCCAAGGCGTCGAGGACTTCTGCTGGTCTTTGGTCGGCTTGGGGATCCGTGCTTGTGAAGGTTTGCAAAGGGGGCAGAATGGTTATGCTTGGTACAGGCCCCGCCCCCCTCCCTGCCTTTTAAGGTCGACAAGGTTTGGACGAGCCCCAAAACTGAGATTTTGGAGGACCCTGCCTGATGAATCTGGAGCCCTTCGATCCTCGTGATTTTACTTCGAGAACCCCCTCCCTGGGGCTCCAACCCCTTCTTGCGGGTAGCGTGAGGATCCTGGTCGACTTTCTCAGACGAAACCGCCATGCGACTGGAACCAACCAAAATGACCAAAAGAGGCACTTTCTCAAAAAACAAAAACAAAACTGGAACCCCAAAACGAGCCAAACTCTCGGAGTTTCTCCGAGGCTCCTCTTCCGGCACGGCACGGAGGCGCTGGGGGTTTGCCTCAGCAGCGACGCCGCCAACTGCCGGGCCTCCGTGTCCAAGACGTACCTCGCCGCCGTGCTGCTCGCCTCCTGCGGCGCCCCGGCTCCAATCTCGCGAGCCCGGCTTTCATGCGGATCGGGGCAGGAAAGCGCAAGGGACCTTGATTTGAAGGTGGGATCGAGCTTGGAGTTCTGGTCGGTTGTTTGCTTGGCTTCCATCTGCATGTGTTTTTATCCTTGTTTTGGCTCATGCGAAGTGTCAATGGGTTATTGTTGCGTTGTTGTGGCCTTGTTTACCGCATGTCCATGCATTTCCGACTGGACTTGTCCAAAACTTTGAACACCGTGTGTTGGGCGTCATTTGTTTACCCTCAAGCAACCAACACAGTGACGCCCGAGTTGGGAATTCCTCAAACAGAACGGTTGAAAGCGTCGCCTTTTGCCGCCTGGTTCTGCCAACGGCCTCTAAATCCGTGGGTTCCGCAGAGTCAAAAGGGTTACTGGTCTGAGGCTCGGCTCTTTGACGTTGCCTCTTGTTTAAGCTCTGTGTTGAATAAGGACCAATAAACTAAGAACACTGGAAACCAGAGCGGGCAACTCTTCAACTTAAACTGGAGAATATGGACGATTTCTGGCAGTGCTGATTTCAAGCCACCCCTCCCAACGCCACACAGAGAAGAACAACACAATTCGACGGCCCCTGTATTGGTCGGAATCGAGACAGGCGTCACGAAGTATGCGCTTGGCAAAAAGCTTACGAGCTCACCTGGGGGGTAAAACGAGCTGATCCGCGGCGGCCTGTCTTGGGAGTTCCCTAGGTACGATTTGTGAAGGATAGGAATTTGCCCAGACGAGTCCCGAGTTTCCGGTTCATCCAAGGTGATGCTTCCATTGTTTGGGTTGAAAGGAAGACGCAGAAAGCCAAGGCAACAGCCCAGAACTGATGCACACCCCACCCCGAGGCTTCCAATGTTGGCACTTCTGGAGCAACTCGCTCTGCGGGTGGCCGCTGCTGGTACTTCAGCCACTTCTGGTCTTGCTGGTGCTGAAACTTCCAGTGCCTGCCAAGCACCTAAGGTCCTTACCAGGCTGGCAGCAGGGCGTTCGCTCGGGTGCTCATTTCTTTTGAACTCACTTCCTGAGTTCCTGGAGCTTGAATCACTCTTTTGGGTTTGGACCATAGCGGTAGATCAAAACTTCTTCTTTTTTCTGGCCGGTCCACTCAGAAAGTGTGGGACAGAATCTCTGGAAGTAGTTGGAAGTGGTTGGCTCTTGTCACTTTTTAAGCTGAGAACATGACGCTCCTTTGAACTGTCTCCAAATTATTTATCTATGCACATACATATTTTGTTTTACATGGTCCCCTGTGTTTGTTCCAGTGTGTTATGCCTTTCTTGCCTCGTTGATTTTGTGGCAGAATTGGGGGGGGGGGGGGGGAGTGGTCCGGGGCGGCTCTGAGGTAAGGTTTCGCAGGGTTCTGCGAGGGTTCCGCGAGGGTTGCGCAAGGGTTCCGCGAGGGTTCCGGGTATGCACGGGGCGGTTCCAAGGAGGGTTCCGCGAGGGTTCTGCGAGGGTTCTGAGGATGCACAGGGCGGTTTTCGAGTTTCGTGGGTTCTGCAAGGGCGAGCGTGGTGCTGTTGGGGCTATGAGATGAGCTTATTTGCACCGGCCCTTTCAATCACTTCAGCACTGTGGAGAAGGCTTTCACCAGCCCGCACTTGGCGCGTCCAACGCAGGTGCTGCCGTGGGATGAGCTGCCCTGGGACGGTGTTGCAAAGAAGGTTACCCGAGTTTGCTCGCCAGGTTCAAGATACCCAAATGATCAGCGGTGTGACAGCTCCTCTGAGAAAAAAAAGGTTCTGCTCTGCTTGCAAAATGCCGTGTGCCGGTGGATCGCGAGAGCATGCTTGGAGAAGCCGCGCTTGCGGGCACAAGGTGCTCAAAAGTGCTCATGCTGCGGTAAAGTCGGCCACAATATTCTGAAGATCGCTGGGACAGGGTTGTCACAAGCCCCATCTTCGACGGGACCGTGTTGCGCTTGGCCTGCTGAGTGCCGCCAGCAAGGCATCAAGCTGGTCCAAACCAAGCACTCCAAGGCGGAGATATCCGATCCCGGAAGACGGCGAAAGGAGTCGTTTCTTTCGGGACACTGTGCTTAGACAGATTTGGGCAAAGCATTGCCAGATTCATACCAACTTCCTTGAGCAACAAGCAACGCAAGAGTACGTAGCCCACTCTTGCATCAGCCCTATGCTTGTTGTTGGATCAAAGAAGCCATGCCTGCGCCCGCGTGAAGCCTCTTCATCGTCAGAGGGTAGTGCCGAATTCTCTTTGCGCAAGCATGAGTGAAGCTTCCCTTGTCATAAGACGCAAGCTGATTTTTGCTGGTGCTTAGATTGCCTGGAGGCACCCCTCATGCAGGACCGGCCGGCTGCAGGCGAGTGCAGGCGATTTTGTTGACTCAGAGGTTCTTTGTTGAAGACTCACGAGCGCATGCGCATGCCTTCACATGGAGGTATCATCGCTCAAAACCCTTTGAAGAAGAATCTGGCCAAGCTGCGGTGAAGCGCAATGGAAAAACAATAAAAGGCGGGCGGGCAACAGAACGTTGAGGCGCCAAAGTTGAGGCGCTAGCAGAGAAAACCTTGCGGGCGACACATTCGCCGCCCCCCCCGCCCCCCCCCCCCCCGAGCGGAAGGGGCTCGATCAAACAACCCTTCGACTAAGATTGTTCCGTGCAAAACCCTCCAGTGAGTGTTTTCTTGTGGATTATGAATGCCCACGCGATCGGCGCCAGGGATTGGTGGCGTATCAGCCATTCCTTGGCCATGGGTTTCGAACCACCAAATTTAACAATGGTGGTAAGTATAACCGCCATTGCAGGGTTTAATCTGTTGCAAGTGCGTTGTTTGGTTGTGTCCATCCACAGTAGGTGCCAAGCTGCTCAAAGCGAGCGCAGATCCTTGAGGGTCTCGAATTTTAAACAATTGTCTTGGTGGTTTTGTTTGGTTTCTGGGGGGTGTCGGGGTTGTTGGGTGAGCTCGTTGGCTTCGCATTGGCTTGGACTTCAGTTGCAGGATTGGGTTCGGGTTGGTTTTGGGTGGCTTATCCGGGTTGAGGTTGATTTAGGCGTGGTGAGGAGTTGGCTTAGAGGGTGCGCTCGGGTCCTGGGTTGGTTTAGTCTTTGGGGCTTTTTCCGGGGTTAGTTCCAGAGGGATATGGCTTGGCGGCCTACAAACAATTGAGTGGCGTAGGTGTAGGATTCTGGTCTGGTAGTTTGTTTATTGCTTTCGTTTGACACGAGCCTTGGCAGTTCAGATCTTTGCAAGTCGCCATCAGAAACCAAGAAACCTTTGTCAGTTCCAGCAAAACATGGAGATGCTTAGCTGCCACGGCATTCAACCCTGTTACTGTCTGCCTGGTCGCTGTAGTCCAAACACCCTTCTGGTGGAAAGGCTGGCCGTATAAGACAAAATCCTGCTGAGGGCGCCATGACCATGACTGACATAATATGTCCGTCATGGTAATATGGAGTCGTGACCCTGCCAAGACGGTCGGAACCCTTGTGGCATGTCATGTGCGCAGCCTTTCTTCAACCAGTCCAGACTTATAGCTACTTGCTTGTATGGTGGCAACTGAGTTTCTCTTCTCTGCGGATCCTTTTTGGTTGCGCATAAATCAGGCCTTAGTTGAGCTTCTTTGGTGACACCTGAAGTACGGTCGAGCCTGTCTGTTTGTCAGCTATGGTTTTGTGGAAAAAACGGTTTGGATGTGGCTTTTGTGAATCCACCCTGTAGGATATTAAAAGAGTACTAAAAAAGGGGGAAGAACAAATGAAATCCACAAAACACATCCAAACTGTTTTCTAGATTTTGTGGATTTTTTTGCGTTTGAGTTACGCCAGTGTCAGAATCGCATTTGACCCCTGGGCAAATTAGCAGCTCATCGATGCGGTGAAGCGACTTGTGATGGAAGTTCTTTGCCACCCTAATCATCAAAAAGGACCCTTCACTGGAGGGGTCGGGATCTTCACAGGTTTGGAACCTCAAAACTGCCCTGTTTGAGGTACCCGAATTCTTACCCAGGGGGGAATCCCCGGTTTTGGCCAAGGGGCGTGTGATCCGTATTGGTTCCCACTTTCCAACCCAGAAGCAATTGGGGGTGTCTGAAGGGACGCGTTTGACGAGCTAGGAGCGGGTTCCGATCGCTTGCGCCAAAGGACAATCAATCTGCCTTCTGCGTTCGAAAGGAACCCAGTAGTTAGAACGCAGTGAAGGAGTCACGTGGACCCAAATGACATGGTCATTTGCGAGGTGGTGGACATAGATTCAATCTCCACCTAGCATGGTGTCTACCAAAAGGCCCCTAGCAAAAAGTCCAGGCTTGGTTTCTGGGTATTATGTGTCCCGGAGTCTTGACAAGTAGTACCTTTTCATCGGGGAACTAGTTAAATGACAAAAGTTCCACCTGGACCCTGAAACAAGCTTGTAATATGGGACATAATCCGATATATTGTTTAGACCATAACCCAGACTGCGCTGAACATGGGAAGCAAGCCCTTCCCATCTCTTTCTGGAGAACCCACCTTTTTTGGCACCTTAGTCCCATATCCTTTGAGACAACCCATTTTGTCTGCAGACACATCACATGCAGTCGTATTGATTGTCCGGTCCTATGCCATGCAATCAGAGAACGCAGTGCCCGGAGGCGTGGAGAACTGGGTAGAGCTCCCAGCGATGACCTGAAGGCCGGGGCCATTTGCGGGAAACACACGGAGAGAGAGACACTCAATGCAGGGGCGAGAAAAAAAAAAAAAAAAACGGACACCCAAGAACGGGGAAGGCGACTTCGACGCCTTCCATTTGCTGCAAGGAATATTGACTCTAAGTCAGCAAGCAGTTGTTCAAGGAAAGAACGCCTGAGCTTCCACTTGCTGAAACCAAACTTGTGTGTGTTTTCCCCGCTTGGTTTTCTAGGGAATCGATTTCACTGTTGGACCTATTGTCTCATTTTTCCCAGGGGGGCAAAAGCAAATGTCCCTTCGACCCATGGCGCATTTTGGGGAGGGTACCCGGGAAGCCTGCGATTTGTGCCGTGAAAGTGGAAGGAAGGGTAAACTGCTGCTTGCGATTTGTGCTTGAACTGTGGACTTGATGAGATTTGGGGGGGACTTCATACTGTGGATGGACGAAATCCGTTCGCACCATTTGGAAAGCATGGGAAACCGCTGTTTGTTGGTATTTACAGGGCAATCGAATCATTCCAGGGTTCCTTAGGTGGTGCAGGATTTCGTCCATCCACAGTAGTACGTTTTGTTGGGCTTCGTGCGTTTTGTTTTGGGGAAGTGTTGGCTTGCTACTTGGTGTGCTGTCGGGGGCTGGGTGGGTGGGAGACTTGATGCGCTAGAGGGGGGGGGAGTCTGATTTTCCAGTGGTTTAGGGAAGCCGCCAGAAAGCAGAAACAACTGGACCTTGCCAGGGTAGATGATTTAGAGGAACTTTGGAACCCAAAGCAGGTGGTTTTGGATGTATCTCCAAGGCCATGGAAGGGCGGTCTCAGCCAAAAACTATGCTATATATCGGGGGAGACTAAGTATCAAACAGCATCAACACATGATTTTGGGAGTCTCGGAGTGGGCCAAGTTTTGATTGTGACATGGACCAACCAGATAAAGAAAGCTGTGTGTGTGTGTGTGTGTGTTTCGCGGAAATCACCGGAACCATCGACTGCGCTGGCTTCACTTTGGCTTGATGTTCGGGTTCTCCAAGCAGGCACCTGATGACGAAGCTTGCAAGTGTCTACTTCCGCTTCTTCGCATGACGAGCTAGACAAGCAAGATTGCTTCGTCACAACCTTTTGGGTTTGACCTTGAGTCTTCTTCTGGCTTGTCGAATGAACATATACTATGGCTGTGGGTCAAAACCAAAGGAACCGTTGGTAGGTGCACCACCCTTTTTAGTCTATTTTAGTGGGGATTGGGATGTTCACCAGGGGTACGGTCTTTTGACCCATGGCCATATGTTGCAGGGTCCAAGTCCAAAGGGGGCCCTCTGTTTCCGACATCAACTGGGGTCTCTTCCAAACATATTTGACATGTTTGCGCAGACTAAATACCGGGGATGGACGAAATCCTGCACCACTTGGAAACCATGGTTGAAACCATTGTTTGTTGGTATTTACGTTGGGGAACCATCAGAAACCAGGGTTTCTGAACGGTGGTGCCTAAGAGGATTTCCTCTATCCACAGTATGGAACAAAATGGGTATGGGTCAAAATCGAACCACCAGGGGACCGCAGGGTTTTGTCCATGTTTCCACTTCCCAGGCCAAGCCATTTTGTGGTTACCACTTTTTGACCCAGAGCCAAATGCGGAGCAGGGTCAGAATCAGCTTCTTCTGTGGGCCCCAGCCGGGCCAAGTCCACCTCCCCAGCTGCTTTCCGGTGTTTTACAAGCCGCCCGTCCGCAGGCGGTGCGGCGAGCGGCGAGCGGCTAGCGCTTCAGGCTTCGTTCCAGCCGGCGAGATGTAAGGAGGCAGCCAAGGCGGGATTCGGAGTCCTTATGCTGGGCTTTGGGTCCTGAAGCGGTTCTTTTTATTTTAAGGCTTTGGGGAGAAGGATTTGGCTCTTTGGGGCTTGGAATTGTCGCATATGAAGAAATCTTAGGCACAAGGCTTTCCAATGGGTCCGATGCTAACCATACCGGGACCCTTCACTATACTTGGCGTGTTGATACAACTTCCTGGGGTTCTTTTTTTCGATTGTTGTAGGTTCTTAAAAAGTTTCAGCTTGAAGAGGGGCCTTGGAAACGCCAGTTTAGCCCGAAGACTGTGAGTTGTTACCCTTCCGCTGGAGCAACGCTGGTAACGTTGCCCCGGCGGAGCTCCACGTTTTTTTCCCCAACAGCTGAAAGCTTTGGGGTCTCAGCCCAGGCTCCAGGGTGGTCCAGGGCTGACGATGGGAGGGTGTGGTGCTGTTGGGGATATCGCCTCCCTGAAAGATCCAGTGCAGAAAAGCCGCCTTCGGGCATGAAATGGCACCCTAAATTTTCCTTGCCAGCTTCTTTCCAGTGCCCTCGATTCATTTTTTGGGTGCTATGATCCATTATGAAAATACGGGCACTTACTCCTAAATCAAAGAGGTCAGTTAAGCCATTTAAAGGGCACTTAGACCCTCAGGATTGCCCTCCCCAGCAGATCCCTCCTCAGTCCGGGCAAATCGAGCCGCAGCGACACGTGAATGTGAATGACACTGACACGGGGGCGGGACCGACGCTGGGCAAATCGAGCTGCAGCGACACGCGAATGACATTCACGCAGGGGGGACCGACACTAGCGTAAGTGACCTTTTCAAGGGGTAAGCGACCTCGATTTGCACCCCCAATGACACTCAAATGACACGCTTTGACACTCAAATGGGGCAGTTGTCACGCTTCGAAACGTGTAGCTCTTCGATTTCAACAGAATCCCAACCCCTATCAAGCCAAAAAGGGCACGTAGCAAACGAATCAAAGGGGCACTTGCCTTAAGTGCACTCGATTGGAGGACTAAACATATGCTGGTGGGGTACTTTTGGAAGGTGCAGAAGGGTTCCCTAAGGCGTTGGCGTTTCGAAAAAAAATCGTTCAAAGCGATCAGCTCACAAGGTTCCAGGTTGGTTCAGCTGAACCCCTTGAGCCACCCTGAGGTCGAGGTTGGGAAATCGAGGCCTCGACATGGGGGCCGCTGGCCCGGCCGCGGGCTCCGGAGTTCGGAGTTCGGACGAATGATTTGCGGTGGGGGCAACCGCAAATCGGCCAAATTTAGCGGGGAAAACAAGTGCCGCAAAGAGGGCGCCATGTGTTTTTTCCATGGAACTCCACTGGAAGGTTTGAGGTAAGAGGGAAGATCGGGTATTTTGAGTGTTCAAGATACCTTTAAAGAAGTAGGAAACCATGGTAGAATCAGCCAACCGCTGTTGTTCGGCTTACGATACATGGGTTATGCCCTGAGCAACGGTCACTCTATTTACTGTATTCCACTGCACACACCCACTAGGAAGTCGAGCTGGCCCTTACCAACATAGTGAAGTATGTGAAGTGTTTTGGTAGCCCGGGAATCTTTTTTTTTTTCTCACCAGGCCGCATTTGAATGAGCAAACACTGCAAGTGTGGCCCTAGGGCTCGGCTGGTCGGGGTTTTTGAGTGGGTTTCGCTTTTTACCCCTAAGGGACCACCCCGCACGGCCTGTTTTGCAAGCTCCTTCTGAAACGTTTGGAGACCCCAAATATGAATGTATTTTTTTGGGGTGCCCTTTTGCCGGGTGGGCTAAAGGGAAACCAAAAGGACCCCCCCCCCCCCCCCGCCATTTTCCAACTTCTTGGTGACGGAGCCTCGTTTTGGAGCCTCCCAGGTCCGCAGGGGCGAGAAGAAGGCGGCGTCGGACATCGGAAGGCGTCTGCCCGAACCGAAAAGGGCCCTGCAACAACGGGCATTGCCCATGGGGTCGTGGACACATTTTTAGAGGGTCATGACGACTCCAGGTCGTACAGATCACCAAGTAGAAGGACTTGGTTCGGCCATCAGGATGGCCGATCTGCCTCCAGGGCATGTTCCGCGGGGTGTGGCTTTCGTGCGTGTGCATGAAACATCCTGGTGGGGGGCGGGGGGGCGGGGTGCTGAACGATTCCGCCAAAACATTGGGAAACAGCTTTCGGGCCAATCGTCCTTCAGTTTTAGAAACGCGGAAGCTGGCAACCCAAGTCAAATTATTCGTGGCTCGTGTGGGCATTTGGTAAGACTTCGAGCTACTTACACTCTGCGCAGGTTGCTCTGTGCAAGTACAGTAGGCTCCCACAGCTCGTGCACGACGTGTGCTCCCGCAGCTCCAGCTCTCTTCGCAGAGCAACATTCACAGGGCAACTTGCGAAGAGCCCGCGGACAAGAGGGGAATCAAGCCCGGCACCCACCGATTCCGAGGACACACGCAAACCACGAGACAGCTTGAAAGACTCATCTGCGAGCATCAACAGTAGAAACAGCTTGAGTTGTTGAACCTCGACCGCGCCAATCCCCTCAGAGGGTCGCAATCCCGAGCATTGCCGACGGTCCCACCCTGCTGCCGTCCTGCCGCCTTAGAAAGCAACGTTTAAATAGGAATCAAGTTCTCTAAGCAAGTTTTCTGAGCAAGTTCTCTGAGCAAGTTGCTCTGAGAGGGTTCTCTGAGCAAGTTCTCTGAGCAAGTTGCTCTGGGCAAGGTCTCTCAGCACGTTCTCAAGCAAGTTCGCTGAGCAAGCTGCTCTGCGCAAGTTAGTCCAAGGGCTCCACACGTCCGGAAGAATCCTTCGCGATACTTTCGGGGGAAAGCATAACTCGGTGCGGACATCAAGAAGGCCTTTGTGCTGACCAAGTTTGACTCCTTTGATGCCAGGTTTAATCATTAGAGGGCTTCGGTTGATTCATTTGGCTGGAATCCGTGTGTTCCTTTTTGATGGCATCCCGATGGCAGATCCACCATCAAACAAGTTGGGTCACGTACCACGGGCTGGGCACGCAGGCAGCATCCTGGAGAATGGACGACAAGCAGAAGTGAGGGGCAGTTGGAGCCAGCTTGGAGATTGGGTGAAGCAGACCCTGCGATGAGGGAGGGAATGTTTCCCTTTTGTGATAGCATCTGCAATTGGCCAACTAGACACTTCACTGCACTCCATTTTTTTTTTGCGAAGCCTCCAAACCTGAGCATGCCGTTGCTAGGGTTCCGGAACGCGCCCCTGGTCTTCGCTTGGGTCTAGACAGACGGATTCGAAAACGAGAGCTGGCAGGCGACAGGCCCCCAGAAATTCGCGGAAGGAACCCCAAAGGGGTGCATTGTCCAAAAGCCAAAAGGAGTTTCCGATCCCTGCGAATGGCGGTTTTAGGTTGGTTCCGTGAAATATCTGTAACACATAAAAGTGCCACCAGAAGAAGCTTGCAAGCAGTAAATTTGTCCTTCTGCAACTGGTAAACAAGCTTCATACCAACTGGCCAAACCAGGAGTGCCATTTTTTAAACACATAACCCCATGGGAGATCCCACTGGGAGATTGGCGGGGTGAGGAGGACCGATCCACGCTATTTTTCTTTGCTTTTTCGGCCCAAGCGCCTTTCCGCTGAGTCCGTGCGAAGCGCCATGCGGCCATGCGAAGCTTTCCTCTTTGGCTTTGGCTCATGGAGGTCATTCGGCGAAAGGGGTACTTAGATGGTCTGGGACGAATCGCTAAATGGTTAGTACCATAGGTGTCCTTTTTGGTTGTTTTGCTGAGTTTTGCTGGAAAAATAGATGGCACTGGTTTACCTGGTGGTTTAATCATCTACCAGGGCCATCTATTTCCCCTAAAAGGACACCTATGGCTAGCACCCCTAGTTACAGCGGACTTACAACTATTGTAAGTGGGTTACAACCAGGGTTTCTGGCCATTTAGCTAATTCTTAGACCATCCAAGTAGAATGTTGACCCAGGATTTCTCTAAACCCGTCCCACTATTAGGGGGGTAACACCCTCCAAGAGTGGTCTGAACCCCCACTAAAAGGAATTGGACACCCCCCGATAAAAAATCAACCAGGGGCTTTTGCATCCGGAGTTAACATTAGTGACTGCCGATGGAGTTCATGGACTGTAGTTTGACTTTCAGGGTTTGGTTGCCATTCTTGGGGTAGATCAAAAGGTTGGTTACTTTTCTTTTCGGCCGATCCACTCAAGAAGTGAGGTTGGTGTGAATTGGTCAGGAAACCCCAAATTGAGGGTTTGGATTGGTGGTTTGCGATTTGAAGACCTGGTTCTTGTAGAGGGCAAATGAAAGCTGAATTTGGTTGCTGTTTGGACCATGAACTTCGTTCAGTGTCAGGCTTCTCAAGCACTTTAGTCTGCTAGTTTGAGAACTGTTGCTAGCCACCTGCCTTTCAGAGATAAGTTGGGTATGGGTCAAAATTAAACCTCCAGGGGATCCATTTGGGTACTCCTTTTTGGGGCAAGGAATCCCAAGCTCTCGCGTGCGGACGGAAGATCGCTGGAACAGTTGGATGCATCTACCTCGGCACTAAGGATGGCTTCGGGAGTACAAAGGGATCGCAGGGAATGACCTTCCGGGCTTGGGAATGAACCGTTTTGGGATTCTCTTATATATGTTCCAGGCCGTGGACCCCCCCCCCCCTCCCCCCCTGTGGGGGTGGGGTGGGTGGGTGGTGGGGTGGTGGTGGGGTGGTGGGGTGGTGGTTGGGTGGTTGGGTGGTTGGGCCAACCCCCCCCCCCCTGTGGGGGGTGGGCTGGGTGGTGGGGTGGTGGGGTGGTGGGGTGGTGGGGTGGTGGGGTGGTGGGGTGGTTGGGTGGTTGGGTGGTTGGGTGGTTGGGTGGTTGGGTGGTTGGGTGGTTGGGTGGTTGGGGTGTGGTTCGGAGTTGGTTTGGGCTTGGTGGGTTGGTTTAGGGTTGGTTCAGGGTTGGTTCAGGGTTGGTTTGCGGTGGGTTTCGGGTGGGTTTGGGTTTTGGTTGATTTAGGCTTAGGGTTGGGGTTAAGGAGGGGTTGCAGGGTGGTTCGGTTTAGGGTAGGATGTTGCGAGAGGTGCGGGGGTGTTGGTTCACGGGGTAAAAGGGGGTCTGGGACCGAAGCTGCAGGGCTCGCACGGTACTGGACAGCATCCCCAGCATTGCCAGCATCATCCCCAAGATGCGGATGATGCGGGGGAGTGGGGGGACCATACCATTGGGGGGGGGGGGGGGGGTACGTGGCCCAGGGACTGGTACATATATAAAGGACGCCAAATCGGAAAGGTATATTTTTCTCGCAGTCCGACTCCCTTTCTCAGGGTCCCTTCATCTCTCAAGTTTCGATCCGATCGCAAGTTTCGGTGTGGGCCAAGGTATCTGCTGAGCCAATTGAGCGGATGTTCCGCATCTTGCAAGCCCTGGGCATGCCCCGCACAGAGGCCCGCAACGGGCCCAGCAACTTGCTCGCCGGAGTCGGAGCCTTTTGTTTTTCTAGCCACTTGCTGTGACCAGCGCCCTTCTTTCTTTGTTGTTTGCGGAAGGGGGGGGGAGGGGGGCCGTTGAACATGGACTAAGATATTTTTTCATGGCCACTGGGTGTTATGTTTCCAGATTATCTTCAAACTACAATGGTGTTCCCCAGTTTGTTGTTGATATAAGACGAGCGCAGTCATGAAGATCTCTCCCTTCATGTGCGAATGATATGGACATATAATGGGGTCTCTGTTTTTGGTGGCCCTATCAGTTTTGCAGATTGGTGGATATCGGTTTAGGGCAAGCCCCTATTGCTTTTGCTCGTGTATGTTTGTGTGCCTGGTTTGTCGCTAATACTCGTTTGTTCGCAGCTTGTCCTGATTTGTGTGCTTTGTCTTGGGCTTCTCAAATTAATTGTTGAGCTGTTAAGTTTAACATCGAATTGTTCGTGGGTGTTCCCGTTTTGTTTCTGATTTCTATTTCGCCCGGTGGGGTGTCAATTTGCAAACCCCTCTTTTGTTGTGCATTTGAAAGTGGGTCCACATTTGAATAAGTGCCCCCTTCGTCTGTCCAGTTTGTCTCCACTGTTCTTGTTGCTTTGATTCTTGGTTTGGGTTTAACTTTGGTGTTCTTTCCTTTTTTCCCAATTTGATCTGAAGGTTGGCTAAGTCCAGTTAAGTTGAGTTGCGTTTTGAGATTTGCGGTTTTAGGTCCAACATGTCGCTCTTGGCTCAACGTGTTTGTTCTAGCTGTGTTGATCTCCATGTTTTCATTGATCAGCAAGGGTTCCTGTCCGAGTGTGTTGCGGATTTGATGGTTTTGTTGGTCCTGGTTGGTATTTGGTACACATTCCCAATGTCTTCTTAAGTTTGCTTGACATGTTGTTGCATTTTCATCTGTATGACATGAGTGGCAGCTTGTTGTCCCAAACTACCCATATTCTTAGCCTTTTTTGTCCTACTTGCATTTGGAGGATGTTTGCCCGACAGGGGTCCTCGTATCGTTCATGTGATCCTTCCATTTTCTTAGGGTGGAAAACGACTATATAGGTGAACATCGGCATGGCCGGTACTTCTGAGCTACACTAAAAACCGGAGATGAAGATTACTGCAAACTATTTTAGATTTTAGGGTAGACTAAGAGTGAAACAGAAACACAAATAAAGGAATATCCCGGATGGGGGCCAAGATTAGGGACAATCCCACCAAGAAGCGACACAAGAAGCTGGCCGTTACGGTGGATGCAGCAATACTGTTTGCAGCGGGGAACAAGCTGGCAGCCCCTTGGCAAACAGGGTTTTGTGGTTGGATGTGTTTGGCCTTGCAGTAAGGAATCCAACATAATTGTTTCATTTCCACGGGCGCCAAACATGTTTTCTCCAAAGCAGAATCACATTCGTCCGGGTTGAACAAAGGCTTGTTTTGGGTTATGAAAGGGGCCCCCGTTCCAATCAAAGGATTCGCCACCCCCCCCCCCCCAATTTTGATCAGCGCGCCTTGTTTTGGGACAGGTTTCCCTCAACAGGAATCCAAAGGCTCTCGATTTTGATTATCTGGATGTGGGTCAAAACCAATTTTTGGGGTAGGTACGCCACCCATTTTAGTCTACTTTCGTGGGGATTGCGGGCTTTCGACCCATGGCCATCTCAGAATGGAAGGTCTCGGGGCTTGCATTGCAATCATTGAACTGGGCCGAGGAAAGAAGTTATCGCAGCCCCGCATTCTACGCGGATAACCCTTGTGAACCAAATGAGCGCTCAAATGTCCTGTAAGTCCATTTCCCTAGTAGATACGCAGTGGTATCTGGGATATGTCTTTTGGGGGGAACCAACTTCTGTGCGAAAAAGGGGGGCCAGCCACCAAAAAAGAGACAATAACCAACGGAAAATGGTTGGTTGCTCACTATACCCTCCTTCCAACAATCATGGAAGTGGATGATCGCCTAAAAGGAAGATAGTCTTGCAGCATCTGTCAACTTCCAGGATCTGCCAACAACCTGCCCCTAGCCTCGCCTTGAGGAAATTGTTCGGCCCGCCTTTTTCTTTTTTTTTGTGTGTGAATATTAATGGAAAACCGATCGGTTTTCCAAGGCAAATATGGCCTTTTTTAGTCAAGGATGAACATCATACCCCATCATACCATGAAGGAACTCTTGTCAGCTTCCATGATTGGAGTATCTGGGATCTGGCCTTATGCTCCGCGGCGACTGGCAGGCGTCCCTCCGCGCGGAAAATGTGTGCGGCTGGAGCGACATCTCCACGTGCACCGCGGCGAGTTTTTTTGAATTTTGTCTTTGCGTCTTTGTGTGTTTTTGTGTGTTTTTGTGTGTTTCAGACGCGAGTTTTTGAATTTTGTTTTGTGTTGTTGTGCGTTTCAGACAACGCCGCTGGATTCCTCGGGGGGATTTGGATCCCTTGGTGAAGGTAGATGGGGACCCGATGGCCCGCCAGGACCCAGGCTCCAAACCACGGGGCCTCCTTCGGCAGTTTTTGGCTTTGTGTCTTCAGAAGTTTTTTGCAACAAAGGTCAACTTGACTCTGTTCCACGTCTTATCTACCCTCAAACATGTGATATCACAGTTTTGGTTGGTTTGGAGACCCCAGTCAAGGACTCTTGCTCAGGGCAAGCCGCTGAAAAATGTTTGAATTGTTGAGGTCCCTCTATGTTTGGCACATTGTGTGCGTGTGCGTCTTTCCTGAGGATCGCCTGTTTTGATGTCTTTTAAGCGGGAGGCAATAGGAAACCACCAATGTTGGGGCATTTGCAGACGCACCCATTTGTTTGTCCTTGTTCCCTGGCTACAATGGCTCACTCGCCTTTGCCTTATATTTTCCAACTTATTGTAAACGCTTCGCGTTGCCCGCCTCGGCCAGTCCGCTGTTGGCTGGCTTTCAGGTATATACAGTGTTCTAGCCTTGAAGTGTTGTGTTTGTTAGAGTACATTGTAACAATGATCTCTCTTCGGCTCAGGAATTTACCCTCTGTAAACCTTTAGGTTCCCTCTTTAGACTCCTCACACTTTACCTGGTAACAATGACCCCTCTGTGGCTCAGGAAGTGTCCCTCTGCAAGCTCTCAGGCTTTAGACGCTGAAATTACATTGTAAAAATGATCCCTCATCAGCTCAGGAGGTATCCATCTGCAAACCCTCGGGAAGTTCCCTCTGTAGATTGTTCTTGGACTTTACATCATATCATTGTAGCAGTGACCCTCCTTTGGCTCAGGAGTCTACCCGGTACCCTCTTTAAAGTCCCCGACGTTTTTGGATTGCAGCTTCTTTGGCTCAAGAGTTTCCAGACAGCCGGACATGCTCGACACTTTGTTGGATAGAGGATGGGTGCACTGTTTCCACATGTCTTCAAGGACCAGAAAGAGAGCTGCACAGAGCTACAGAATAGGCCAAGTGAAGGTGCATGCTTTGCAAGTTCCGAGTGATTTGACCGGAGTTGGACCGGTTTTTAGTGGTTGGAGGATTTGTCCGGTTGGGTGTTTGGCCGGAGTTGGACCGGTTTTGAAAGTAGATGGGAAGTTGATTTCTCGGGGTGATTTGACCGGTTTCTAAGGGGAAATTGACCCCTGCATCATTTTTGATCGGGAGTTGCGCTGGTTTTGAGCGGAGACAGATTCGATTTCTGGATGGACCGTTTTTGAGAGGGGTTTGAGTGGTTTCTGGGCGGGTTTCTGGATGATTTTTGATTGGTTTTGAACAGCAACTGTCAAGTTTCTGGGTGATTTTTGACCGACCACTTCCAGGCAGGCGGACTGGAGGCAGCTGGAGCAGGGATTTTGGCTGCGCGACATGGGGTAGTGGTAGGTTAAACGGGAGCACCCCGCTGTGTTTTTTTGGTTGCGGGAGAAGCAAACTAACCCGAAGTGATGAGTGCCACTCGCCCGACACTGCGGATGGCCTAAAACGGGGACGAATTGAAAGGCTTGCTGCGGCTGGCTTACTGCCAATACATAGCCAAATGGAGGCACCCCCAAAATGGCAAGGGTTTCCCTTTCTTTGGTTCCCCTTTAAACCAACCAAAGAGGGGGCAAAAACAAGCTTCCGCGCCCACAAAACGGGAATCCTTGTTTTGACAAGCCTGGTTCTCCATATCGTGCTGAAATTGTTCCAAATGAACCCTTGGTTGCCCTCTGGCTCGAGTTGGGCCAATTTCTGTCCCGAACCCCAGTGATGTTTTTTGCCAAAACATGTTCACTTCCCTCTAGTTGGTGGTTTTGGGGATCCGAACCCTGGCTCTTGTAGAGATGGGAAAGCCCCCCCTTAACCACCAAACCACTGGGCTCATCACCAATTGGAAGGAAGATATCCCACTGAAAAAACCTAGGCTAGAACCTTCTTGGCGTTGAACATGCAACTGGTCCTTTGCCTAAGTGGTGGATTGAGCCTCCAAGTAGGCACCGCGCGTGTTCGAGGCAACCCCTCGGGGGATCTCACGATGCTGCACCTCCGAAACAAGAAGCTGGATGGGTACGTGCCCGAGGAGTTGACGGAGCTGACCACGCTGGAGATCATCCATTTGGACGGCCCTTCGTCCTCAAAAGCCAGGAGAGTAAAAGGGAAGCCCTTCCTCAACCACCAATCCACCGGGCTCCAAACCACCAAGTGGGATGCTGAATTTAGCGCTGAACTTAGTGCTGAATTTCGTCAAAGGCCGTGAGGCAAACGTAGCAACGAAATATGCAGCGGAGTAAAAGTTGGAATTTTCTCTACCAAGTTCAGACTTGCATTGGAAACCAAGTATAGTTGATAAGTTGATACAGGAAGCTACGATTACCTACCTGGTTCCTTTGGTTTAGCTTTGGGTCTTTCCTGTGTACCCCTTTTTGTGGGTCAATTTGAGAGTTAAACGATTGCTCCCTCGGCCGTTCCGAGATGAAGCCCAAGCGTTGGTGTCCAGAGTAAGCGAATTGACCTAACCTTATGGGGTTTCCTTTCTAAGCCGTTTTTCAAGGTGCCAACCAGAGTGAGTGCCTCTAAGCGCTGTTACAGAATCACTAATCCAAACCCAAGAGCAAGGTGATATGGGGTGCCATTTTTAAGCATCACTTTGTCCCAAACACATCAATGTAGGCAATAAATATTATATACATGCGGCTGAAAAGGAAGCACATTACACCATTGAAGGAACGCGACTAGGGACTAGCGACCAGGGACCATCATTGACCATCGTATAAAGCTTTGTGGGAGCCACTCAGGTCCAAGTACCTCAGGATGGCTTGGAGTTCAATTTCAGTGAAGTTGCTGTGCCTCAAAATGAAACGCGCCTCAAGCTACGGCCAGCCCCGAACGTCCTGAGGGAGGCGATACCACTGTGGATGGAAAAGCGAAATCCTGCGCCACCTTCAAACCATGGGTAACCATTGTTAGTTGGTATTTACAGGGTGAATCGCATCATTCCATGGTTTCGTAGGTGGTGCAGGATTGTGTCCATCCACAGTCTGAGGGCCGTTCAGCTATTAGAAATGGGGTTGTGGTTGGCAATCAAACTGAGCCATAGGAGTAGGATATGTTATTAAGCACGATCTAGCCCTCTATACTATCCTCACCGTTCAGCAATGTTCAGGAGCTTCATCTAAATTGGGTCCCAAGTTGCAATGATTGTCAGAAGTTCAAAGCGAACCGACCTCTTCACCTTTTGCCCATCAAAAGGTCAACCTTTTGTTGCAGGTCCTGGCGTTTTGACTCGCTCGGGTTGAGTGACGCCTCACCGGCCCCTTCTGCAGCCTTCAGCAGGGTATGGGTCAAAATTAAACCACAACAAATTGGACCGCAGGTTAAATCGTCCTTGGAACCCATTTACCAGGGCAAGCGTTCCATTGTGGGTTACCCTATGTTTGACAACCACACCCATATTGTCCTCGGGTTTTAAAGGGAATCTATCACTACTGGAAATATTTTTGACGAGGCAACCGCCTCACTGGGCCCTTGCCGCAGTCCATGGAGAGGCTGGTGAACTTGCAGTCCTTCAACGCGCGCCTCGATTCGTCGATCGAATCCACGCCAAAAAGGGCAGGTACGAGTCCAGGTGCGGAAAACCATAGGCTCTTTTTTTCCACCTCGGTGTTAAAGTTGGATTCGAGTTTTCTACTGGACGTATGTTTTGATATTGTCTCCCCTGGGGCTGAAAAAGCAAATAGGTTACCAGTCCCAAGGCTCAGTAGACATGTTGTTTAGAGCGGCTGTTTGAAGTCGCTGAGATGCTTCAGCATCTAAGGCCCGCCAGTGTGCGGCCCAACGAGCAGTTTCATAGTTTACCCAAGAGGTTGTCCTCTTGCTGAAGTTGTCGTTTTTTGCCATTTCCCCTGGTTCAAAAGGGACGCTCTTTTTCATTACGGGAGATGTGTTCTCATGTGTTCCAGGGAGCTTAAGCAAACGGAGGTCATAACTTAGAGAGTTGATGAGGTTTCACTTGGGGAAATCAAGTGTGACGTTGGGAGTGTGGGTGAATGGTTGGACACCCGCAAGGATGACCAACTCCGCTAGAAAACGCATTTTGGGCACGGCCAGGAATCGCATCGGTCTGGACCCGAAACAGTTTGTCCTACCGTGGCTGGCTGCGACAGTTGGAAGGTTGGGGGCGCTTATCTCGGTCTTAGGAAAATTGACCTCGAACACAAATACCCAGCTTCCATGGATGGAAATGGACCCGCTTTCAGCCAGGGAAACAGGATAAACATATGAGCTTGTCTTAGAATACCCCCCCTCCCCCCCTGCCCCCCAAACAAGCAAGTAAACAACAAAACCATCCAAACAGGGCACCCTCAAAGAAGCCACATGTGTCATATTTTGAGGGACCCCAACATTTCTGCCTTTGGTTCTATACAATCCTTGACCGGGTTCCCCAAACCAAAGATATCGCATATTTTAGGGTAGACTCAATATGGAGAGTCAGAAATCGTACTTTCGACCTCCGCCTCCGAGGGGTTGAGCGTTTGGGCAGGTTTTCAAGCGTAAGAAAGTGGAACTGAATGGATCACAGCCACACTTCGATACAACTCCCCTTGAAGAGGTTTTCTTGGTTACACGGAATCACTCTACTGAATGCATTTGTTCTTCATCCATCGTCCTTTTTTCCCTGAAAGGTCCCTTTCCTTGAAGAGAAGGATCACTGAAGAGAATGGACATGGAAGTATGTTTGGTTCTAGCACCATCCTCTGTGTTTTCTGGGCAACTTCCCTGGGGAATGTTGAATTCAGCTCACACGCTTGTCAACAAACATCTGGGAGTTTCTCAAAATGGTGGACCTCAAGTTCGTTGGTACTTCTGACGTCTGAGAATTGGGACTCCCCAAAATTGTGATTTTCCGATTGGCCTCCTTTTGAAGCAGGTTCCGAGCCTCACCAAACAGACGCCCAGTCCAGTCTGACTCGGGAAGCTGCGGGCGTTTTTTTTCCTTTCTTTTTCCCATTTCGGCGAGCGGACCAACACAACAAGGTTCATTTTATTGCATGTTGCTTGGATGTTAGGACTTTAACTTTTTGCCAACTAATGTGTTTTTTTTTGGTATTAAACCCACGAAAAGTTAAACACTTGTAGCAGGGCTTCGCAGATTTGGCAGCCGAGAATGGGTCAGAGCGGCGCGCTGGGCTCGAGGCACGGGAATCAACTCACCGGGCGTGTCCCGAACCTCGGGCCTTCGATCTGGTCCTTGGACCTCAGCGGGAATCGCCTCACCGGGCTGCCAGAGCTGATGCATCTCACGGACTGAGACCCCGTCCATTTGCAAATCAGTTTTTTTTTCTTCATATTTTCCCCTGTTGGTTTTAATGGGAATCGATGTCACTACTGGAAATATGTTGTTTTTTCCTTTTTTTTTCCAGGGTCTTAACCAAATGGAAGAGAATGGGATGGGATGGGGGAAGGAAGAAGGGTGGGGTGGGTGCTCACGGCCTTCAACTCGCCTTCACGTGTCCGAATTGGTTTCCCTCACCCAAAAAGTTGGGCTCGGTTCCCCAAAAGCCATGCCCACTAAACCAAGAAAACCGAGCATCCCAAAGAGATGTCCGCTTTCCTCTGGTTTTCCCGTCTCGTCCCATTGCTTTCTATCCGTGTGCAACCACAAACCACTCGAAAACCAAGCGATTTTTCGCCGTCAGGAGCTTCGGGAACTCAAGCTGCAGCACAACCGGCTCTCGGGCTCCATCCCGGCGCCTCGCCAAGCCACGCGCAGCCGGGGTCGCACAGCCGGGGGCTGGGGCTGGTCCCATGGGGTCATAGCCTGTCTGAGCACGCCCAGACCCCTTTGCGGGTGGGGGGGGATGTTGGGGGGGGGCGGCTGCACGTGTTGTTTTTTTAACCATGGGGATCTGGAATCTGAACTGCAAAGGCAAATTTGCAGGAAAGGTTCTTAGCTGAGATCCTGCTTTCCAACCAAAGGAAACAGGTTAGAGATGGATTGGTCGAGGATTTGTTCTGAGCCTAATGACTAGCCTTGATCTTGGCTCCTGAAGTGCATCTGGTAACCCTTAGGTGGTTTGGATTGTTGGTTTTGGCTTTGAAGCTTGTTCTTGTAGGGTGTGTGCTCTTGTCTTGCTGGTTCGGGTTGCCCCCCCCTCAAAAGAAAAAAAAACAAAAGCAAACAAAAAGCAAGGGCGATGCGCAAATGAGTCGTAAGCAAAACCAGCTTCTGTATATACTGTAGAGACAACAGGCGGATTCCCAAACCCGGTTTGGGATCTCGGTTTCCCGCACAAGGAAGCCAACCATTTTCCAGCAATCCGCTATTCTCTGAGACCCCGCGTTTTTTTTTTTCTCTCCAAGGCTTTGGGCCCGGCCTTGAACTTGAAACGCATCGACCTGAACCACAACTTGCTCTCAGGACCTGCGGGAGCTTTTCTTGAGCTTCCGGGAGAAATTTGTTGGTTTGATCCGAAAGTAAAACAGCGGGGGTTTGTTGGGGTCAATACATTTCGAGGGGAAACTTCCCCATTCTTTCCAGGGATCCTTCTTTCTAGAAAACCACCAAAAACCCTGAAGAAATGGCTGGTTTTTGAAAAGAACAACAGCTGAAAAGAATGGGGAATCAACCCCTAGAATGTTTGGGTCCCAAACATATCTCGGATTTTAGGGCAGACTCAAATTTATGGCAGGTAGTCAACCGCAAACTCGGTGTTGTTTGCAGCGCCTTGATCTTGACCCGGGAAGCTCCTGCGGGCTGAGGGAGTTTGGACCCATGGCCTTGGAGCTTGGGAAGGAGGTCACAGGCTTCTTTCACAGTCCCTTTCTGGTGAATTGGCGAGGTGCCCCGGTGCCCTTTCACTGTTTCTTTTTTGGGTTGGGAGGGTTCCCCTACTAAAATAGGCTACAGAAAAAAGGGCACCCTTATTCGAACCTCTCTACTGGAGGACCTAGTCCCTTTACGGTGAATTGGAACACTGAGAAAGCTGGTGCTAAAGAATTACACGCCCCATTGCCCGGTCTAAGTTACAAGCTACGGCAATTCCCTGCAACTTCCCTGATTGGAAGGAAGCCAACGAGCAACACATCAACATACAAAGAACCGCTAGGTCCCCCAGTAGTGCCCCTTTACCCTTTTTGGGGGAGGGTTCCCCTACTAAAATAGGCTACAGGAAAACACGGGTACCCTTATTCTAACCTCTCTATTAGAGGACCTAGACAAACATCAGAACAAAGGGATGACGTTTGGGCACCCTCTTTGTATTCCATGGTGTAGGACATCAGGTTTTGTTTAAACCATCCCAGGGGAAACCTACGGTTGACAGAGGCTGTTTTACCACTGACCGCCTATTCAATTGTTGGCATTCACGAAAGATGGGTGCATCATTTCGGCAATTTCTTGTGTTTGCAATCAAGACCCTTTAAACTGCTAATGTTAAATGGGGAGCGGGAGCGCGAGTTTTTTGTTTTGGAAAACCACAAAGACAACGGGGCATGATTTCCACCGTCAACAGCAATGATTATTCACGTTTGCTCTTTCAGCAGCCCGTTTTGTCAGCATGGTTCACTGGCATGCGTTCGGTGGCTATGTACTGGCTGGCAAACGACTTAAACATGACGCAGGAAAGTAGCGCAACTTGCAAACCCAACAGAAACTAGCAGAGATCCCAGTGGCCGGGGTGAACACTGCACGCAGCGGTGCGTTGGACACTGGGGCTGCGCAGAGGGCTTTTCACAGGGATCGGGAAGGGTTCGGCTTGTGTGGGGGGTGGGGGGCAGCTTGTTCTAGAGGTACCCCCCTCCTTCCAAGAAGAAGCTGTTTCGACCGGGTCGAGCTCTTCCCCTTGGGGTGATGTTGAAAGGGGAGATGCAGGGAGCGACTCAGATCCAAGGCTGGAGAGCCCAGGTCCAAGTACTCAGACCCCTTCCCCCCCCCGCCCCTTGCACCCTCAGAAGGTATCAACAAAAACCCTCTTGAAGGTTGGAGCAAAGGAAAAAACGGGGGGCGCAGCAGCCCATTGCAGCTGGGCCATACCCGGCCTCACGCTCCAAACACTCCAAACGCGCAACAGCGAGCCGGTGGGAGCTGGCAACCTTGAAAGAATTGGCACCAACGTGTCGCTTCCAACAGTCGCAGAGGTGGTCAACGCGATCATTTGGCTGTGGGTCAAAACTCATGGGATCCCATTTTGGGCTACGTGAATTCACAATCCATTTTAGAACCTTTTTAGTGGTTGGGATTGGGATGTTCACTGGGGGTGCGATTTGGATTTTGACCCATGGCCATTGCAGCATAGCAGAATCTGAGCATAAAGCATGAAGCAGATTCTGAGCAGATTATTTTCTATTTGGCTGTGGCTCAAAATTAAAAGGAGGGGCAAACCGCAGGAATTTTGGTCCATGTTTCCACTTACCAGGGCAGCCCATTTTGGCATTCCGGTCTTTTGAATTCGCCACAGCCATCTCGGGCCGTCATCAGGACCAATCCCGGAGCTGCCGACGCAACTCAAGTCCCTCGCCTTGCGCCTTCGACAAAGAGAAAAGCTCGGAGTTCGCGGTGCGAATCGATCGGAGTTCGATTCGCCGCTTCGCAATTGCGAGGTTACCCCCAACTGGTTTGGATTGACGGTTTGGGGATTTGAACCCCTGTTGTGGAGATGGGGGTTTCCCCTTTCCCACTAAACCATCGGGCTCCAAACCACCAAGGGGGAAGCTGATATTGTCCTTTCAAAGCTTTTTGAGGCCTCCCTTGGTTGGCTACAGGGAGATGACATTCCTGTGACGTGAGGTGCTCAGGGAAGTCCTGTGCCCTTGAGGCTTTCCGAAGGCGATCAACTTGGCTCAGCGAGAAGTTACTCACCAAGCATGTCCCAAGTCCCCAAGTCCCCACTCCAGAGTTATTCTGAGGTCAGGGTTGCAAAGCACTTGTACTCAGTACCGAATCCTTCTTTCAAACAGCATCAAACCCACGGCGAGCTTGTCAGATACCTGCCCAGATGCAACTGCTAACTGGGTTATAGCCTACTCTCTCTGAGTTTCTGGGCGCTATTATTCGATTATACACAGTATATATATATATATATATTAATACATATATATATATATATATGTATTAGATATACATATGTACACAGTATGTATATATATATATACACGTATACACAGCATGTATAAATATGCACTTTTTAGCAACATTTTGGTGGTAAGCAAAACAACATGTTTTTGCCAGCCCACTCACTTCCAAGGAGGGTATGTGAATCCGAGGCAGAACAACCAGCTGACGGGGCCCGTCCCCAAGTTGCCGCCCTTGTTGGTCTGGGTGGATTTAAGCCACAACCGCCTCAGCGGGCAGATGCCAGCAGACAGGCAGGTCGAAACCGGGTTCTTAAAACATGGGACCAAGCAATTGTGTGAACATGGAACCAAGCAATTGTGTCTGGGTGAATTATAACGACCTCACACGACCTCACCCCAAATGGTGGTTTGTGTGGGGAATAGCCCCCAACCACCTTCAGGTTGGTGCAATATTATAAAAAACACCCAGAAATTGCGGGTTTCCTGGTGCATTCCCTTTAGAACCCGCCGATAAGTGGGCGCCTCCGGAAGCCCAGTCGGCCAAATCGCCCCCGAGACAAATTTGGATTTTCCGCCCAAAACCGACGCGGCGGGAAAAATATACAAAAAATCCGCGGGGGAGGGCGGGGCGTTTAGGGCTGGGAGGGCTGGGAGGGCGGACAGGCTGCGTGGCCTATGGCAGCTCCACCAGCTGCAGCTCGAGGACAATCAGCTCGAGGGGAGCCTGCCGGACCTGTCGGACGTGGTGAACCTGAGGCAACCAGCTTCTCACGAGTGCTTGTTTTTTTTTTGTTTATAATATTATTATGAGTATTATTTGTTGTTTTGCGTTTTGAGGAGGTTGTCTCGCAACGAAAGGATTCCCCTTGTGCCGCATGGCCTCCCGTAGTAAGGAGGCGCCAGTTTCCCCTGTGGATCCCAGGATTTGTTCGCCAAAACATTCCTACTTGTTTTTCGTTGGAGTTTCCTCTTGGATTTTCCCGGGTGGTTTTCTCTCTACCGGCAAAAACTTAGTGGGCAAGCTGCAAGCTCTCGCAGGCTTCTTCACTTGGATCACAACCGTTTCTCCGGGCAAGTGCCAGCCACTTTGTGCCGGCAGCAGCACCTGCACTCCCTGTGGCTGAGTCGCAACCGCTTCAGCGGCAGCAGCTCAGCTCAGGTACGGATGGGTCCACTCACCGTCAGCCCAAGGGATCGTTTGATTTTGGTTTTGAGCGAAAACAAGTGCCCTTGTTTCATCAGGCTGGACTGGGTAGCCATAGATCTAGTCATTCTGGTTTGAGTTGTTCCTCGGTTTTGACCCAGACAAATCAGCTAGGAAAATGATACCACCTCTACCGCTTACAAGGGCAGCTGCTTTGTGCGTGGCTTCACCGGTTTCTCTTCCATTTTTTTGGTGCTGCTTTTTGGCCAAAACAAAAACATATGACATATTTTAGGGAAGGCGGAATATGGACCAGAACTCAATTAAATCCTGTTTTGTGTACCCCTTGGCTGCATGGCTGCTTGTTCGGAGGAATCCCCGACTGTCTGTTCCACCACCACGGTCTTCGGGAGCTTTTGCTGCACAAGAATGAGCTCAGCGGAAGCATCCCAGAAGTGAAGAGGAGGGGGCCGATATTCTTGGTTTGGTTTGTACCTCATTAACATGGAGCCCAGAAGCCCGCAGAGGAAACTGGAAGAGGACCCTGAAAATAGGTTCCATCTTAATTTGTAGGGCTTAAGACACAGTTGCCCGGTGTTCTTTGTGTCGTTATTTTGCGGGCTTCACTTTCAAAGCAGCTGCCAACAATACGGTGCATGGAATAAATATTGCATGATTTTTGAAACAGATCCATGCCATCTTGTTACAACTTGCCCGCACCCCCTAGTTAACATTGGTGCTCAGTTGGGTTGAATGCAATATTTAAGTCCTTGACAACCTATGAACAGTTTTGCCCGCTGCAGCTCAATGTTAAGTAGGGGGCGCATGGTGGCAAACATGTAGTCTTGTAGACTCATGCAAGATGTCCTCCGTCAACAGTATGGCGCCCGTTTGATTCTTCCATGCAAATCCACGCTTCCGAGGTGTCTAAGGATGTCCAAGACGCATAAAGGGACAACAAAAGGGGTAATGTCTTGTTTTGGGGGG